GATCTGGTCTGGCTTAATGCCAAAAATATCCGTCAGAAAAGACCAAATAAGAAACTCTCTGATCGACGACTTGGTCCGTTTGAAGTGCTAGAGAAGACGGGTGATGTAAATTACCGCCTGAACCTTCCAGCAAAATATCAGATTCATCCGGTATTCCACGTAGAATTACTCACTCCGCATTCCCCCTCGACCTTAGTCCAAAGACCTCCACATCATCGTCCGCCGCCAGAGATCTTATCAGAAGGCGATTCCGAATGGACAGTACGAAAAGTCCTAGACTCGAGACTGCACAGATCAAAACTCCAATACTTAGTAGAGTGGGAAGGATATCCGATAGAAGAAGCGACATGGGAACCTGAGGAAAACCTTGAGAATGCACGGTTGAAAGTTCAGGAATTTCACCGGCAAAATCCGAAAGCATTGAATCCCCGCAAAATTAACAAATCGGTGTTCGAAACCCAAGAGTTTTTGGAATGGCGCAAAAAGTTTATTCGTCCTAGTTTCATTCGCGATGACGCTCATCCTAGAGAGGGGGTAATGTCACGAGTTCCAAATACAAACCATTATTCGTTCCTAAATTCTAAGTCCTTTAAGCGCCCAGTCACAGCGCCTGTTCCTAAGAATGTATTTACTGTTGAAGAAGTTCCTATTATTGCGTCTATTGTAGAATTACCAGAGTCACGTGATCTATCGGACAAAGCCGAAGATGTTGATGTCATGCCTCGCGACACTCTTGGAATGTTCCAGAGTCTTACTGCGGCTGCGGCACATGTTATGACATCATAGTTATATATAGAATCGTACGATACCTTTAATTATTCTGATTGGTTAGTTAGTTCATACTCAGTTTCGATCTCAGTTTCAATATGTGTATATAGGTAGCTCGTCGTAGTCAGTAGTTCTTTAGTTCAAACCTCTTGTATCTCCAAGTGAGCAATACCAAGACGTACCTGCTGCCTACCTCCTCTGCGTGATTATTCTTTGTTTGAGTCCTAGTCTCTGCCCAGCGTTAATTCGTTATTGGGTTGTGACACAACGTCAGCATCATGCCAACATCGCAAAAGGGAAGCTTACCGTCAGCAGCGCCCACAAAGTACTGGGCCACGTGTCCCAGACTGCAGCCGCTGATGCAATCCGGAAGGGCCTAGTCACCGGCCTAGAACTGGATGACGCATCGAAAGCCGAATTTTGCGAAGCCTGTGTGCAAGCTAAGTCAACGAGGAAGCCCTTCCCAGAGGAAAGCACGAGCCGCGCACTTACCTATGGTGAGCTCGTGCACACTGATCTATGGGGCCCTGCCCAAACGGCAAGCATCGCCGGGTGCCTGTACTACGTCACGTTCACGGACGACTACAGCCGGCAGACTAAAGTTCAGTTCCTCAAATTGAAGAGCGAGGCACTTACAGCGTTTAAGGCCTATGAAGCCTGGTTGGCACGTCAGATGCCGGGAGTTAAGCTGCGCAAGGTCCGTTCGGACAGAGGGGGAGAATATCTCAGCACCGAGTTCGACCTGTACCTCCGTCAGCAGGGTATCGAGCGTCAGTTAACCGTCCACGACTCACCTCAGCAGAATGGCGTGGCCGAACGCCTGAACCGGACCCTCGTTGAACATGCTAGGGCCATGCTGATAGGGAGGGATCTCCCTAAGTACCTGTGGGCAGAGGCGGTCAACTATGCAACTTGGTTGAAAAACCGCTTACCATCAAGGTCGACCCCCGGCACTACGCCATACGAGCTCGTACGCAAGTCCAAGCCGGACTTGTCGCGAGCCCATGAGTTCGGGGCGAAAGTCTTCGTCCACGTGCTGGATGCTGGGAAGTTGGAGCCGAAGGCAGAGGAGGCAATCTTTGTGGGGGTAGACGCTGAAAGCAAGGGTTATAGAGTGTACTGGCCGGGGAAACGCCGTGTATCGGTGGAGAGGAACCTCACCTTTGCACCGGCAGAGATCCTGGTGGATGCACTGGACGAGGGGGAGCCTACTGCTGTTAACGAACATAACAGCGGCAACGGTAATAATAACTCACCTCATAGCGTCCAGCCCATCACCACTACCACGCAACAGCAACCTCAACCATCTACCGCCCAGCAACCTCAACCATCTACCGAGCAGCAACCTCAACCATCTACTCCTCCAAGGACGACGAGGGCCAGACCTCCTCCGGGCTACTATGCTAGCCTGAACGAAGGCAGCAATGCAGCGGCCATAGCGATGGAGAACCTGTTGGAAGCGTCAGAGGTAGATTTATTGGATGAAGAAACTCACCTTCACCTTGCCTTGGCAGTCGCCCAACCAGAGCCCACCTTGCAACAGGCGTTAAACGGACCAGATGGAGTAGAGTGGCAGGAAGCTGTTGATTACGAGATAAGTCAGCTTGAGAAGTTGGGGACGTGGGAAGTAGTAGACTTACCTCGCGGCGCTAACCTCATCCCCTGCCATTTCGTGTTGGCCACGAAACGTGGACCCGACGGTGAAAAACTCAAACTGTGGGCACGACTCGTTGCCAACGGCCAGAAGCAGCAGTTCGGTGTCGACTACTTCGACACGTTCGCGCCCACAGCCAACATGAGCACCATACGCGCTGTATTGACGATGGCGGCTCAGAACGACTGGGAAATCCACCAAGTCAACATAAAAAGTGCGTACCTCTATGCGAGTATCCAGGAGGAGATTTACATGCGCGCGCCACCCGGCTACCTCACGGAGAGTCAGCGAGGAAAAGTGTTGCGGCTGCGAAGGAGCTTACCTGGTTTGAAGCAGGCCGGTTTTGAGTGGGCTGAGGAGTTAGCAGGAGTTTTTGCGAAGATAGGTTTCGCCCGGTCCAAGGTGGACCAGGCAGTCTACTACAGACGCGCACCGGACGAGCACGTCGTCATCACCGTCTCAGTGGACGACATGGCCGTTACTGCCAACCGGGCCTCCCACATCACCCGCTTCAAGTCCCAGCTCCGTAAATTCTTCGAAATCACAGACCTGGGCGAGCTAAACTGGCTGTTAGGGCTAAAGGTAACGCGAGACCGTGGCGCACGTACCTTGACACTCTCCCAGAAAGCCTATGTGGACATGATCGTCGAGCGCTTCTACATGGGAGACGCTAAGAGTGCACAGACGCCGATGGAACCTACACTCACCTTGTCCGTTGACCAGGGACCTGCCACGGTGCAGGAGATCCAGGCCATGCGCGATGTACCGTATCAGCGAGCCATTGGCTCGCTGATGTATGCAGCCACTAGCACCAGGCCGGACATAGCATTCCCTGTCGCGACATTGTCGCAATTCATGCGCAATCCTGGTAGGCCTCACTGGGAGGCCACCAAGAGGGCACTACGCTACCTTAAGGGCACGGGAGACTTCGAGCTAACGCTCGGTTCGACGGACGGAGGTCTTGAAGCCTTCGTGGATGCGGACTGGGCATCACAACCCCACCGGCACTCTATGTCCGGGTACGTAGTCCTTTTGAACGGAGGTCCCGTTGCATGGAGTGCCCGGAAGCAACCACTGATCGCGCTATCCACGGCAGAGGCTGAGTATATCGCCCTGACCAGTGTGATACGCGAGTTACTTTACCTTAGGTTGCTCCTCGGGGAGCTATACGACCCCGTCCCCAATCCTATCCCCGTGTTCTGCGACAACCAGGCTGCCATCGCATTAGCGTCCAACGGCAAGTTCCAATCACGCACCAAACACATAGACCTTCGATACCATTTCGTCCGCTCCCACGTCAAGAACGGCACATTCAAGCTATTCTACTGCCCCTCCGAGGACAACATCGCCGATGCCTTTACAAAGGCCCTGCCGAGACCGCGACTCCAGAAGTTGCGAACGATGATGAGCGTGGCTTGCGCTCGAGGGGGAGTGTTGGAGTACGAGACCGAGAGATCCGAGGCCAGGGGGAGATCCGAGTCGAGAGAGTCCGAAGGATCCGAGTGATAAGGGGAGAATGGTTCGAGCGCGCGCCAAAACGGACGAAGACGAGCGACGTATGACGTCGGCTCGCGTCCTAGTTTATTTTCAGTCTCTCATTCATATGTTCCAGTACCTGACCAACTTACTATAAGATTACCAGCAGTACCGCAGGTGCATCTCAGTTTTCGTTCGAGACAACTGAGATGTACGTGCCAACAAGTCCCTAGAGTTTACAACGCGTCTAATGATAGTTATAGCTTGTCTTTGTCGTTCTAGGTAGACGCACCGTTATAGGAGTTTTCGTTCGAGACAACTGAGATCTTGTCTTTGTCGTTCTAGACTCCTCGTGACCCTCTTGCTCGTCATAAACGCCTTTACATTCTGCTCTCTCTCTTTATTGGTCTCTCCTTCGGCACATTATGGAAGGCATAAACATTAGTTGGTGCTGCGAGAAGCAGTGCGTGGTTGCTGCCAGTGTGCGTCGATTTCTTATCAGTTTGAACACTTTTGTTGACGCTTCATTCAAGACATGCCGCAGAGCACATTCGTGACTCGGAGAGACTGTTAAGTGTGTCGGAAGTCGTTGATGCAAGAGCTATCCCGGGCCCGGACTAGAAAGGTATACCCTGTTATGCAAGCTGAATTGTCGATGTTCCTGTACTTTCTGATGGTAGTCCGATACAGGCGATGCACGACACACAATCGTTGATCACACATTTATTTGACACTATGGCATAGGCGCTCTAAATATGTGCAATGAGCGCCTGCTCTTTCGGCTCGATCCTTACCGGTCCTTAAAATTTCTATGTACTACCATCTGATTGCTTTTGCATAACGCCGATCTACTTTCGCTCGACTGTTCTAACTCACAGATCCTCATCTCATCCACTCTGCCAACGATCACATGGAATCATCCCTACCCCCAATCAGATCGCTCAGAGGCCACACTGGTTCGACGTTCTCAAAAAACAGGAATCAACTCAAAGGAATAAGCACATACTTCGACGAGACGGTTCGGATTTGGAACGTGGAAACAGGAGAACAGGAACATTCGTTGGAGGGGCACACTAGTGTGACTCTTGGACTAGCTGTATCGATGGATGGAAGGAGAATTGTGAGTGGGGCGAGAGATGGCAGGATAATCATATGGGACGCAAATACGAAGGAGATCATCAGATGTCTGTCGGATCACACAGACGATGTCAATTGCATACAATTCTCACCTGATGAGCAAAGATTCGCCTCCGCATCGTCCGACGGCACACTAAAAATCTGGGATGCGGAGACAGAGGAACTGGTATTCGACATCGATGATCACCAGGATAAAGTGTGGACAGTGGCCTATTCTCCTAATGGAAGCAAGATTGCGAGTGGGTCATATGATCAGACGGTTCGCATCTGGAACGCAACGACTGGCAAGCAACAAACACAACCATTTTCCCATGGTGATGCAGTATGCTCAATAGCCTGGTCTCCAGACAGTCGTCGTCTCATTTCTGCCTGTAATTGGCACTGTCATGACGAATGCCGTGTCGCCCTCATTCGTGTCCCCAGCGTCCAACATCACGAGCTGCATCGATCAGGTGATGAATTTGTGTCTTGTCTATACACCAGTATATCTGATGCAAGTTTTATTGAAGCCGTCAGCAGGCTCCGGTTCTCTTTCAGTCTCCTAAGGCTACACACCAGCTTCGGACGAGCTACCGGATGGAACCGAGTTTGTGACAGAACCTGTAGGTTCGCGTGATGCTGCTAGCTCACCTTCCCCATCTCTACCCCCTCAAAGTCATTCCAATCATGAAATCACTACCCCAGTCCACTCCCCTCCTCGTCAAGCTTTCCGACGGAATCCAAGTTCCTCCAGAAACCATCAACTCGCGTGATGCAGCTGCATCCTCTTCCCCATCTCTTCCCCCTCAAGGCTCCTCTTGTCCACAAATACCTATTGCTTCAGCTTCCACTCCAATGCTGACCTCACCTCGAAAATCGTTTTGGAAGCGCTTTCCTATATTCAACAGGTCTGCAGCATTTGCAGACTCTAAGCGGTGGAAATTCCCGCGCATTGGTACAACGGTAGCATCATGTACGCAGCTTCTTTGCTCTATGAACATGTCCTGAATTTAGATCCTTAGGCAGCGCAAACATCGGAACGTGGGACCTGATGATACCCAGCATTAGCGTGCTTCCGGTTTTTGTCTTCATGGGGGTGAAGTTCCCCCTCCCATTCTATCGTATCGTGTATCCCGTACCCAGTATATATCATGACTACTGTTGCTGTCCGTGTGTTCACTATCACGGATTAGGCATAATATTTCAGTTATTCTTCTGAAGCCAGCGCTTTATCCAGCGTGGCACGCCCGTGATACAACCGCTGACCCACACAGCCCGCAGTCCTGTCGACCGCAAACAAATAATCAATCATTCGATTAGCATAAGCCTAATCTACATAATGTTGCCTCGCACTACTGATTAAGAGCAAAAATCGCTGGCGGTAAGCAATGAACTGAGTACAGTGTGTCTATCCCATACTGGTCCAAAATCACTGGCCTGTCAGTGCGGACTTCACCATCGGCTCTCTCCAGTATAACCATACACATGAGTCCATCATAATACTCTTCTGGACTTCAAGCTTCAAGCTCCAAGCTGCAGTGACTCGAGTCCCAAACGATCACAAATAGCAGTACGACGGCTCTCTCACTTTCAATACCATATTTCTGAATCAAATGCTTTGAACAAGATCTATAATCATCAAGTTTTAATACGGTCAGATGCCTATATACCTTGATATCCAGCAACTCATCAATAAATACTTGCAGAGTGCACGAATCCTGCGATAATTCAATCCGATATCAAATCTCCTTGTGAGTCACCTCTTACTCATCCCTGTCTTGTACTTCATCCGGCAACTGGGACGCTAGCCATCTCAATCCACCGGCCAACACAATCAAGACGACAAAAACTGCATTTCCTCCTAGAAGGTTGTGCTCTTCGATACAGCAAAGAGCGAAGTCGCCAAGGCAGGACCAATGGCACGAGCTACCGCTGCAGAAGTTTGGCCGAGGCCATTGATAGCGCCAAGGACATTGTTTGTAGGAGCAGAGGCTGTGATGAACATATAAATAGTCCCTGCAGCGAGGTGAGTTACCTGTAATGACGAGATGGCTTCATTGCAACACGCACCATATGTTGTATGCCATATGACTATCATAACTAGATGGAAAAGCAAGGCAAACGTGATTGCATAATCGACTTCCCCTCTTGCGCGCACAATCCACGACATTATTGGAAACATAGCCATGAGTGGTGCGTAACACGACACTGAGACGCAGAATAAACGCTTCGGACCAATCCAATCGACGATTCTGGCGAAAAATAAGCCCTGAAAGGCACCATCAATGATCCCAAACAACGCCAGCCACGAGCCAATGACAGCAGGATCAAATCCAAGACCGCCAAGGTAAGTAGGTGTCGAGAAGAACAGTGGCATAAGAACTCTGAAGGAAACATCGAGGAGGGCGACCATGGCGTAGTTTGCCATCGGAATGACAACGGAAGGCGTAAGGAGAGATCGCAAGGGCATGTTTGCCATCGAGTTTTTAACGAGAGATTCTCTATCGGGGCTACTTGAAACGCTGACCGTAGTTGAAGTGAACTTCGGCCGACGCTTTGTCGATAGTGTCTACTGACCGTGAGTGATGTGTGCGATATGGCAGGCATGTAGAACTTACTTCGTCTAAGAACATTAACATCATAACAAGGGCCACGACGAACAGACAGGCTGCCACTGCACAGGGGAGAAAGTAAGGATAATTTCTCCAAAACGGACCCGCGAATAATGCAGGCCAATGATCTTGCGGTCGTGCAAGTGTTCCTCCTATCAAAGGACTAACAACGTCGATTGGGTCATTTGGCAATTCCATAGTCGACGACTCCACTTACCCAATAAAGCCTCCAATGGACCAGACGATCGGGATCAAGGCGAATGCCTGAGCCATATTTGTGGAGTCCGTCGATTCTCCCATCATAGTCTTCATAACTCCCACATTGCCATTTAGAAAACCGCACATGCAGCGGCTAAGTAAACCTAGCATATCAGCATCGTACATTTCCTTTAGCTGAAGACACACCTAATGACAAGACTCCAGAATGTCGTTGAGGCCGAAGCACAGTATCGATATGCAAGCACCCGAGAGTCCAATTACCAACACTGGCCTGCGCCCAATGCGGTCAGACAGCCTACTCCACTTCAGCACCGTCAGTGCCTGCGCGACAAAAAACAGAGATTCCTGCCAATCACATCCGATGAGATGCACTTCGTAAGTCATAATCCTGGCACTTACAATGATTCCAGCATAATATCCTACAGCCGCGTCATCGCCCCCAGTGATTCCAAGTTCTCCGATCAGCTAAGAGAGCGGAACTATGTCAAAGGTGTACATCGAAGAGAAGTATCGTTGTGCGAAATCATACCTGATTGATGTACGGAAATATAGATGTCGAAGCGATGGGTTCCGCAAGTTGCAGCGTTATAAGTATGCCTATCTGAAGCTTTGGAAGGGGTGTTTTAGGTTTCTTCGAGTTCTTTGCAGGTACTACCAGAGGTGTTGTCTCGTTGGCCACGATTTCATGAGAATTAGAAGTAGAGTCCATGCTGGCGATCTGGATTCTGCGCTGTCGTCCAGCAACGTTTGATACTACTGCTTCTGCATGTCATGGATCCCTTTTATACGTTCGCATCCTTATCTATAGGCACTAGTTTGGACGCCTTGCGGTGAACGGAATCTCTGAGCCTGGCATCAGTACTCGCCACATGGACAGTGGTATCTCCTTATGTTTCAAGATCAACATACGGCTCAATGCGAAAATGTGTGGTATCTGCGGCTCCGTCGTGCGGTGCCGGCCGTTTGATACTGCCGCTCTTGCACTTTCAAAAATATAAGCTTGTATTCCTCGCCTTGTTTCTGTAGGCATTGGTTTGGACACTTTCAAGCGGGCCGACAGCCTGAGTGACTTCAAGTTGTGATGAGCCGAATATCTGAGATTGACACCATCGCCCGCCACAGGGACAGCGGCGACTCCTTGTGCGGTGTCCAGGACCTCTGTTATCATCAGCGTAAGCGTGCTCCATTCTCGCCACACCTAGTGTGTCCCCACTAGTAATAGTGATCATACTACCGGGTGCTTGCTAGGGGCAGGAACCTGTACTGTGGCACATGCCTTATTTCCGAAGAACAGTAGCCTATGAGCGGACGTCACACGAGGTGGGATGATACGATTGTTCGATTGGGAGCCGGGCGTGTCTGTAAGTAGTCAAAACGGTTGTCCGCTTAATCGTTACGTCAAAATTGAAAGCTTGTGTTTCAATATCTCGGACAGTATTTTTGTAGATTATAGGAGCCGGCGGGCTTCGTGAGATATGGAATACAGATGACGGAGTGCGCCATGTTCTGGCACACCGCGTGTCACCGAACCGTCGCAGGACCCTAGACACAACAATTAGACACACCGGGTGACTGAAGACCACATGATACATTTCTGTTCATCATGACTCTTATACACTAGAAGCACGTACTTGATCGATTACTCTTCTAGTTCCTTGACCAGACCACGGGCCGGGGGAGGACCAAACTATCATCACCCCTTCTTTTAAAACTCGGCAGTTCGTCAACCGTTCACAAAGTCTGAATGAATGTGGGACCGTGCTGAAATCCTGCAAGGGAAGATCGCGGGATAGCTAAAACAACAAAAAGTAGTGACAAGAGTAAAGACGAAGAAGTCAAGTACCGAACCAGTCCCGTGATCGATGAACGTGAGAGTAAAACTGATCAGAAACATCCAATGCAGCCAACTCACAATGGCAGACCACGCGGAGGCCCATCGATGGCATCAACAATATACCAACCTGATTGAAGTCTATATGTCAGCGTATCTTTCTAGGATTCAATCAACTTACATTAAAAAAACAACGGATCTCTTGTTTGCACTTTGTGAACGTATTGTGCCTTTTGGTGGGCCAGTGGCTTTCTACCCGGCAAGCGGATCAAAGTTGTTCTTCGAAAAGTTGGATGCATTCCGGAAATGGAGATTCGGGCGGACAAGACGAAAAAGAGATGACATCGTACGCTAAGATCTAACATGTAAATGTAAATGTAAAACTCGACAAAAGTGTGAAGTAAATTAAGAAGCAATCTCAAAGGCATGATGATCCGTGTACTTATTAACATAGGCCCGTAGGGTTTTCTGGATGCCTATATACCTTGATATCCAGCAATTCATCAATAAATAGAGTGCACGAATCCTGCGATAATACAATCCGATATCAATTCTACTTGTGAGTCACCTATCACTCATCCCTGTCTTGTACTTCACCTGGCAACTGGGACGCTAACCATCTCAATCCACCGGCCAACACAATCAAGACGACAAAAACTGCATTTCCTCCTAGAAGGTTGTGCTCCTTCGATACAGCAAACAGCGAAGTCGCCAAAGTGGGACCAACGACACGAGCTGCCGACGCAGAGGTTTGGCCGAGGCCATTGATGGCACCAAGGACATTGTTTGTGGGAGCAGAAGCTGCGATAAACATGAAAATAGCCCCTGCAATTAAGTGAGTTTCTTGTAATGACAGACGGTTTCATTACAATACACACCAAATGCCATATTCCATGCGAGTTGCATACCTGTAAGGCAAAGCAAGGCAAACGTGATTGCATGATCGACTTCTCCCCTTGCGCCTACAATCCACGACATTATCGGAAACATAGCCATGAGTGGTACGTAGCACGACACTGAGACACAGAATACACGCTTCGGACCAATCCAATCGACGATCCTAGCGAAAAATAATGCTTGGAAGATACCACTCGTGATCCCAAACAATGCCAGCCACGAGCCAATAGTAGCAGGATCAAATCCAAGACCACCAAGATGGGTAGGCGTCGAAAACAACAGTGGCAAAAGAGCACGGAAAGAAATGTCAAGCAAGGCAAGCAGGGCGTAGTTTGCAATCGGAATAACAACGGAAGGCGTGAGCAGAGATCGCAAGGGCGTATATGCCACGGATTGTTGAGGCAGTAATTCATCACTTGAAATACCGAGCATGGCCGATGTCGACTTCGTTCGACGCTTTGTGGGTAATGTCTGCCGATCGTGAGCAACGTGTACGATAAGACAGGTATGTAGGACCTACTTCTTCTAAGAAGATTGACATCACGAAAACGGCTAGGACGAACAAGCAGGCTGCCACTGCGCATGGCAGAAAGTATGGAAACTTTTCCCAAAAGGCGTTGGCGAATAATGCAGGCCAACGATCTTGCGGTCGCGCGAGAGTTCCTCCCATTAAAGGACTGACATGCCAATCCATTATTTGCTATCTCCATAATCAATTGCTCCGCTTACCCGATAAAACCTCCAATGCACCAGACCATTGGAAACAAGGCAAATGCCTGAGCCATATTTGTGGAGTCCGTCAATTCCCCCATCATAGTCTTCATAACTCCCACATTGCCATTTAGAAAACCGCACATGCAACGGCTAAGTAAACCTAGTATATCAGCATCGTACATTTCCTTTAGCTGAAGACACACCTAATGACAAGACTCCAGAACGTCGTTGAGAGGCCAAAACATAGCATCGAAATGCAAGCACCTGAGAGTCCAATTACCAACACCGGCTTGCGCCCAATGCGGTCGGACAGTCTACCCCACATCAGCACCGTCAGTGCCTGCGCAACAAAAAACAGAGATTCCTGCCAATCACATCCGATGAGCGAACCATTCTTCCAAGCACTTGGCGAGTCATAATCCTAACACTTACAATGATTCCAGCATAATATCCTACAGCTGCATCGTCGCCCCCAGTGATTCCGAGTTCTCTGATCAACTAAGGAAGAAAAACAGTATCAAAGATGTACATCGAAAAGAAGTATCGTGATTGCAAAATCATACCTGATTTATGTATGGGAATATAGATGTCGAGGCGATGGGTTCTGCAAGGTGCAACAACATAAGTATGCCTATCTGAAGTTTTGGAAGGGGCGTTTTAGATTTTTTCGAGTTCTTGGCAGGTACCAGAGGCGTTGTCTCATTCGCCATGATTTCATGAGACTTGGAAGTATCCATCCTGGTGATCTGGATTTCGTGCAGGTTCCGTCGTCCAGTACGTTCGATACTACCGCCCCTGCACTTCATGGATTCTTCATATACTTTCGCATCCTCACCTTGTTTGGTTTGGACGCTTGGTGATGAGGTAAATCTCACACTAGTCCTCGCCACAGGGATAGTGGTGGCGGCCGGCGGGGGCTAGTTAAACTCGGTTAGTACTCAACAAACTGTCAAGTAATAATTGAACTAACTGATCCGATCTTACGTGTCAGCTGGGTAGCTTGCGCTCCAATGCATACATAAACGACCTCTTTGCTCACTCATATGCGAAAGAAGGTATGAAAGCGTAAGTGGAGATTGTCCAGAGCAAAGAGCGGGAGATTGGCTGCAATGTCTTGACTCGCGGTCAGTAAATTTCGGGAGCCAACCTATATTTTGTAAGCCGAAATGTCAATCTCTTTCCTATACATGACGTTATGCTAGATATGTTACCTTGTATCGTAATGCACAGGAAAGAACACAATGTCCTCACCGGGTGCTGCTGTGACTTATCACGCGTCCGAAGTAATAGATCGGCTCTCCATCTTGTCACGATTCAACTTACGTTATTTAATAAAGGTTGGACTCCGTAAACTTTGTCGGAGAGAGGCGTCATGTATCATCGTCCTCACTGCCATCCTTACATGGTCTTTGTGGGAGATAGGCATTCCAGACTCCCTGGGATGTGAGTACGAGTAGTTTTCATCTGACCTCCCGGCTTATCGGCATGGTAGACCGTATCGATGAGCGAACCACTGAGCTACAGTAAGTCGTGTTTTCGTTCTCGCCTTGGTGCAGTGTGGTTGACGATGCGATTCGAACATGTAAGCAGTTCGTTGATAAGAGGCTCAGTACTCAGTCACGGTGCTTGGCTGTCACCGTGAACAAATTTCACCCTCGAGCAGGCATCAAATTAGAGCATCATCTCGAACACTTGACCGCATAAAACATGACTGAAGTACTTATGACGCGTTATTGTCGTCTAACGTTGCAAGTGGATCTCTGGAGTCTGTATAACTTGGATCAATGTAATCCCACTGGGGCCTTGGCTTCTCAGCGCCAGCTCGCAAATATTGTTGACGGTTATTGTTGTGCTTTCAATTCCGAACTCGATCAAGGCTTTACTCACCAGGCCAACCACGCATGTCCTATCATTTTCTCGGATGACTTCTTTTCGTTGCTCTATAATCTTCTATGCTCTCGAAAATCTGACACCCAATCATCTTTCCAACACATCATTCGCTCAAACCACCCCGAACTCGAATGCAACGCTACGTATATATATAACAGATGATAGGTTAACTGTACACTCCATATCGTACTCCACAAAGTGTCTCTGGCATCTCCTTCAATTAGTTTACCGGAACGAGGCTATCGTGATGAAGAGCTATAAGGATCGAGTTGATTAACTGCGAGGAACGGAAAACACTGGAGACTCACTCCTTGTAGCAGTCCTGCCAGTGTGTGCCATGTGCCACACGACTCAAATCAAGCTCAACACCATTTTTGGGTATCACTAATGCAGTCGGAGAAGTATAAAATGGTTCTCGAGAAGCCGGTGGTACCCTGAATACTAAGAGCCGACGATTGGATCCCATTATCCATCCAGCACAAATGTGTGGTCGTCATAGGAGGTGTGCCAAGAATTTGTCCCATTACGGAACGAAACATCGCTGACTGTGTTTGCTGAGACTTGGGGTCTGTATCTGTCCTTTGGTATGATCTGCTTCAAAATCAAGTGCCCCCGTTCGACACCATCGCGGGACACGATGACATTGAAGAACTGAACAGAAGATGAGCCGAGAGGAGGTGCTTCGATGTATTTGCAAGCAAGACGTGCCCACTCGAAAAGACCATCATCTTTCTGGGCGAGGGCTGTTAACTCTTTGCTCCCAAAAATCCGAAGCCCTTCTAATTTCTCCGATACGTAGGTGCAGATATCGCGTTCAACCACTTCTAGTGAAATTGTCGTTCATGGAAATCCTTCGAATGTGTTGAGCGCGCGCAAACGAATCCTAAATGTCGCGAAGCGGGCGGGAGGTGACTATGATCCGGAAGTTCTTTGGGAGTTTCGTGATATGGGTGATGGTTGGGTCTCGAAGTTTACCGGAAAGAATGCGAAGAAGGTCACTACGTGTCTCCACTGCCTCGCCACCCACTTTCGTCCAGTGCGTCGATAACGATCACGACGGGCCCCACGGGTAACTCGGAAAGCTTCTGCGTGGCACTGCTGTATAATGTCCGGTGTAGTCTTGAGCGCAATTTGATTCTTGACTGCATGCGCTAACGCTCGTCTCATCTCCGGATGATGGTCAGCCAGGTCTCGCGCGATAGTAGAGAAAGCCTTTTTGTGGCGATCCCGTGTTTCGGTCGAAGCAGTAACAAGCACCAAGTCCGCCCACCCCGATGAACGAGCTGGCAATCGTAATGGCTGATTTACCCATTACGGCAGGTCCGACTAGCCATAGCACACGTGGAACATCGTCTCTGCTGTCGTTGATCCACCCCATGATGTCGAGTCAGAAGCAAATACAATCCTTATTTGTATCGTGAATATAGGTGGCTACGTCGCGAGTGACTTGGTCGCGGAAGTTCTGCATGAGCACATCCAACACATCATTATACTGTTGTATCGTGTCGTTTGTTTCCGAGACGATATTGTTTCCGAGTCTCTCCCCTATGATAAGAATGAAAATCTGCCAAGTGCAACGAGTTGTTGGAGACTCAAAAGCCTTTCTTCTCTGAGTAATCCCTGATGAAACTGGCGCATTCTAGGGTCTGCTGAGAGATCTGTCCAAAGATGTCCCTCATTAACGAAATCTTGAGAAGCGTGTCGTCTTGCGTTATGAAGCCATACACTTGACCCAACTTCTTGTAGTATTCAAGTACCGCTTCGTCACGATCCGCTTGAGCAAGAATTATCTGCGTGCAGAACAGTGAGCAGCGAATACGAATAACGGCAAGAAAAACGTACTTTTGATGCGCAAGAAAGCATGCCCAACGCCATCTTTGCATACGGATGCACCTGCAGAACGGTGTTGATCTAGTTCTAAAGAGAAAGAGAGAGAACATACCTTTGCTATCGTCCCGGTCAGTGTCGAATATCTTACGGGGTTGAAGATAAGTGGTCCCTATACTGTCTATATTATCGAGCGCTGCTGGTCCCTTTTTGCCTGCAGATAACATGAGTCTCGCATGTCCACAGCTTTGTTTCATCTGATCTGCACCATGACCGGTATCCTGAAGTGCCTTGTTCACAGATTGGAGATCGGCGCCTTGTTGCACAACAGCAAAAGTATCCTGAGCCCAGTGTAGCCAGTAGAAGTTAAACAGAGAGCAGACATCGAAATGCCACCTACTTGAACGGGGTCGCGGCTGCGTGAATCGTTGAACTTTGAGCGCTTGTGTAGGATATCAGCACTATCCCTAGACTGAGTATTGATTTCGACTTACGGAAATCTTTTTGATAACACCATTCTAAACCTTGCCCAGTAACGACAGATTTTGCCACGGGGTCGGCCCTAGAGAAAGGATGGATCATCATTGAGTTTCAACTTCATGAACATGAACCACTTACCCGGCGCTCAGCAGTATTTGTTTCGTTGGGTGTCTCGATGTCTGGAGGAGGGATGACCTGGACTCTGGGTTCCCCAATTGAATGTGGTGAATAGTTGAAATTAATGATCAAAGTAAGACAAGAAGTCGGATAAAGGGTGGGCCTCGACGGCCCTCGAGGCAATGTTTGCTGCTATGTTGACTTCGGACGCTAAGCGCTAAGCATTGGGTGGGCGCCACGGAACTCCGGGGGAAACGCAAGGAAAATGAATCGAAGATTTGTTGATTTCATGTTGCCTTGGTCATCTTTAGATCCAATGCAGCCAACATAGTCACAATGGCAGACCACGCGGAGGGCATCAGCAATATACCAAGTCTATATGTCAGCGAATCTTTTCTAGGATTAAACTAACATACATCAAGAAAACAACGAATCTCTTGGGCTTTCTACTCGGCAAGCGGATCAAAGGTCTTCGAAAAGTCGGATGCATTTTGGAAATGGAGATTCGACAAGACAAGAAAGATGCAAAAACAGATGCCGTTGTGCGTTAAGATCCAATAAATGTAAAAGGCATGATGATCCGTGTACTTATTCACATAGGCCCGGAGGGTTTTTCTGATGCTGAACATGGCTCACCATGGTGAACTTCAATATGATATCTCTAAATCAAATAAATAACTACATAGTGATAAACACAGTGCAATCAGATATATCGATTCCTGTCACCTCTTACTCATCCCTGTCTTGTACTTCATCTGGCAACTGGGACGCTAGCCATCTCAATCCACCGGCCAACACAATCAAGACGACAAAAACTGCATTTCCTCCTAGAAGGTTGTGCTCCTTCGATACAGCAAACAGCGAAGTCGCCAAAGTGGGACCAACGACACGAGCTGCCGACGCAGAGGTTTGGCCGAGGCCATTGATGGCACCAAGGACATTGTTTGTGGGAGCAGAAGCTGTGATAAACATGAAAATAGCCCCTGCAATTAAGTGAGTTTCTTGTAATGACAGACGGTTTCATTACAATACACACCAAATGCCATATTACATGCGAGTTGCATACCTGTAAGGCAAAGCAAGGCAAACGTGATTGCATGATCGACTTCTCCCCTTGCGCCTACAATCCACGACATTATCGGAAACATAGCCATGAGTGGTACGTAGCACGACACTGAGACACAGAATACACGCTTCGGACCAATCCAATCGACGATCCTAGCGAAAAATAATGCTTGAAAGATACCACTCGTGATCCCAAACAATGCCAGCCACGAGCCAATAGTAGCAGGATCAAATCCAAGACCACCAAGATGGGTAGGCGTCGAAAACAACAGTGGCAAAAGAGCACGGAAAGAAATGTCAAGCAAGGCAAGCAGGGCGTAGTTTGCAATCGGAATAACAACGGAAGGCGTGAGCAGAGATCGCAAGGGCGTATATGCCATGGATTGTTGAGGCAGTAATTCATCACTTGAAATACCGAGCATGGCCGATGTCGACTTTGGTCGACGCTTTGTGGGTAATGTCTGCCGATCGTGAGCAACGTGTACGATAAGACGGTATGTGGGACCTACTTCTTCTAAGAAGATTGACGTTATGAAAACGGCTAGGACGAACAAGCAGGCTGCCACTGCGCATGGCAGAAAGTATGGAAACCTTTCCCAAAAGGCGTTGGCGAATAATGCAGGCCAACGATCTTGCGGTCGCGCGAGAGTTCCGCCCATTAAAGGACTGACATGCCGATTCATTATTTGCTATCTCCATAATCAACTGCTCCGCTTACCCGATAAAACCTCCAATAGACCAGACAATGGGAAACAAGGCAAATGCCTGAGCCATATTTGTAGAGTCCGTCAATTCCCCCATCATAGTCTTCATAACTCCCACATTGCCATTTAGAAGACCACACAAGCAGCGGCTAGGTAAACCTAGCATATCAGCATCACACATCTCCTTCAGCTGAAGACACACCTAATGACAAGACTCCAGAACGTCGTTGAGAGGCCGAAGCACAGTATCGAAATGCAAGCACCCGAGAGTCCAATGACCAACACCGGCTTGCGCCCAATGCGGTCAGACAGCCTTCCCCACCTCAGCACCGTCAGTGCTTGCGCAACAAAAAACAGAGATTCCTGCCAATGACATCCGATGAGCGAACCATCCTTGCAAGCACTTCGGAAGTCATAATCCTGGCACTCACAATGATTCCAGCATAATATCCTACAGCCGCATCGTCACCCCCAGTGATTCCGAGTTCTCTGATCAGCTAAGAAGGAAAACAGTATCAACGATGTACATCGAAACGAAGTATCGTGATTGCGAAACCATACCTGATTGATGTACGGGAATATAGATGTCGAGGCGATGGGTTCCGCAAGGTGCAGTGATATGAGTATGCCTATCTGAAGTTTTGGAAGGGGCGTTTTAAGTTTTTTCGAGCTCTTGACAGGTATTAGAGGCGTTGTCTCGATTTCATGAGAATTAGAAGTATCCATCCTGGGGATCTGGATTCTGTGCAGGTTCCGTCGTCCGGTACCGTTTGATACTACTGTCCCTGCCACACTTCATGGATTCCTCATATACTTTCGCATTCTCACCTTGTTTGGTTTGGACGATTGGTAATGAGGCAAATTGCACACTAGTCCTTGCCATGGGGACAGTGGCGGCGGCTAGTTAAACTCGGATCACCGTGACGGTTAGCTATAGGCCCAGTCATCTGAAAAGTACCGAGTGATGTGTGACCTGTTAGCATTCCGAAATAGATCGGCTCTCTATAGTGGGACTCACGGTAGGTTTTGGGAAAATCGCTAAAGGTCGCTAAAGCCCGCTAAACTCGGATAAAGCTGGGCCGAGCGCCCACCCAACACGCGCAAGACATGCGGCACCCTTCGGCATGACGGCGGACTTCGAAATTATGCCTGCTTCTCGACCACCACGTCCTCGTCGCTCTGCGCGACTCAAAGCCTTGCACACTTACTCGCGGAAGGTCGTACCCACCATGGAACCCACCCAGCCACATACCACTCGTGGGAAAGGGAAAGCTCGAGGATCGCGAGTACGTTCGACCGCTAGTACTTGTACTAGCGGTCAAGACCAAGCGCGCGCCCCCAAATTCAGTGTCCAGTGGCAAGCTGACCCTAGGCGCACCGAAAAAATCATGGAACATCTTCGCACACATCCTGCTGACTGTCGCGTCCTATTCTACTCTGACAATAAGTCGCACGCTGACGGTGATCGCCCCTCGGCCAAAGACAAGGTATCCATTTGCCAAATCATCGCAAAGTCTGTCTTTGAGAACGATCCCGAATATGCGAACTACTATCCCGACGATCCTGAAAGATTCCGTGACTCCACAAACAGCCATATCTCTGGGTGAGTGCCCTCCTATTTTTTTTTGTATGTATGTAAACTTATCTCCATTACAGCCTGAGGAAAAAATATCGTGAATTCCACGATAAACTACATTCGACGGGCGCTGGCGTCACGCCACTTGATGAAACGACTGCAGCAAATTTGCACGGTACGTGCTTTGTTTAATTTAATTTTACTACTGACTATGTTCATAGCGCAAATCTTGGAGGAATTCTCCTGGTATGACGACCTCGCTGCTATCCTTGGGGGGAACCCAGCCCTGTCCCTCAAGACAATATCATCGGCCCCGGGGGTGGACCATGCGTCCAAATACTTTTCCCTCGTGCAGGTGAGCACTGCCGGTAGTGCGTCATCCTCTTCAAGCGCTCGATATGGGGGCTATGCGCCTAGCGCACAGCCCCCTCCTCCCAGTGCTCAGTTTGGGGGCTGGGCGCCTTGCGCCCAGCCCCCTCCTCTCAGTTCCCAGCCCCCTCATCTCAGTGCCCAGCCCCCTCCTCTCAGCGCTCAGCCTGCCCCCCATTCCAATGTCCTTGGCGCTAGCTATGGCAGCTACGTCCATCACCCTGGCCCTAGCGCCCTGCCTCACTATGCGCCTAGCGCCCACCCTTCAGCGCCCACCCCCCATCACATCCAAACACCTGTCCCCCACTCTCATCCTGGCCAAGGCCAGCTCTTTTCCCCCCTCAATCATGAGGACGGGGGAATGGACTACGACGACGACGACGACGTGCGCATAACTGGGTCCCGTGTGACGGCTGATTACGGCGAGAACATCACGGACCTCAACAGCCCCCCCAGGTGCCAGTCCACCCACAAACGCCAGCTCCCCCCATCCACCCCATCGCCTTCTATCACCCCCCCTCCTCGTACCGAATTCAAACTCCCCGAGAAGCCGCAGACAATGCAGCGCGATAGCCGCGCTGCCTTTGCCACCCCTGACCCTATGAGACGCGTGAGCGGGGGGTCGCTCAAGCCTCTGTCGGGGTCTTCGCGTTCGCGGTCGACACCGACATCGACGCCGTCAGTCGCGATGTCGACGACTCCGACGTCGCAGTCCGCGGGCTCTGAGAAGGGGAAGGGTCGGCCGTCGAAGAAGGCGCGCTCGGACATCTTGAGCCAAGTTGGCGCCATCACCGACGAGATCGGGAGTATCAAGTCGGAGAAGTTGTCCCAGGTCTCTCTGCGAGGAACTCAAGAACGATCGGTACATGGCCAAGCTCAATCTCACCCGGCAGGAAAACGAACACCGGTTCCTCCAAGCTGAGCGCCAGGACGAGCGCATGGATGCCGCCACCGTCCATCAACGTTCGCAAGAGGCGAAGGACACTGAGATCCGCCTCCGCGAAGCGGAGGCCAGGATGCATGAGTTGTCGGCGAAAGCGCATGCTGAGGAGGCAGCATTGCTGCGCCTCAAGATCCAGTACCGCCAGCTCACAGGTGGGCCTTGAAGGTTCGCGCGCTGTCACAATGTATGTCATCATTCCAATTTTAGTTATATTTGTGTGTCGCGTCGTGTTTTGTCTTTCTAGTTCTGTTGTTTGACATTCCTGTAGCTACTCTTCTACCTATCATCATAGTATGTTGCCCTGTTGCCCCCTTCCCTCATGTCATGTATGTAGGTCTTGTTAATACTATATGTTGAACTTTATGTGCTGTGTGATTGATTGTGTGAGTTCCCTATCCTTCTCGGCGCTGTGCTCTCGACGTGGGGCTATCAAGTAGTAGGTCCATCAACTTCGCGCGGGAAGCCTGACCTGGTGTGCCATCATACAATCTGTCACCAACCACCTGGTTACCATCAGGGGCTTCAAACTCCTCATCTATCATGCCTCTGCCCTGCTGATGGGCCCATGCTACTGTACCAGTGTCCTCATTCCATCCTCGAGCTTCTTCTAGCCTAATGATCATGTTATGGAGTATTAGGCAGCATTGGATCCAATGAACGGCCGTACGAAGGTCATTTTCTGAATGGATATTCCGTCGAAGGTCCCTAAGAGATTGAAAGCGTCCTTTGAGAGCTGCAAAGGCGTGTTCTACACGAACTCGGATCTAAATAAATTTTAAATCAGAAATTAACTGCAACAGAAAAAAATACAAACTGAAGAAAGGTGATAATTAAATGTCCTCTGATTGTTTGTGAGCCTGCCATTGCGGGGTTTCTTGAAAGGGGGGATGCACCAGGGCTCCAGAGGATATGCACTATCTGCCCAGACCCAGTGGTCGTCAGGAAGAAGTGTGGCATGTTCTCGAAGTGTGGCGTGTTCTTGATAAAGGCGAGTGGCCCTGAAAGCATAGGCATCATGGACACTTCCAGGGTGACCAAGAGCGTAGTCGACTATAAGAAGATTATGGGGCATAATGATGGCCTATAACTTAATTTAATTACAAACAGGAGACAGACAGGAAGGAAACACACCTGACAGCCAAGGGAATATCTTGACTTCCTATCAAAAAAAACTTCACCGTGAAAACCAGGCTTCTGATACACATTAATTGTGGAGCCATCCACAGCTAGAATCCCATTCTGCCACTCAGGGCAAACAGTTTTGGCTGCATACTCCCGGGCGTGCTGGAAATCCTCTGAGTCAGGAGGAGGGAAACTCATGAATGCATCATGCTGATCAAGCAGTGCAACCATAACACGGTTCGTACAATTCACAACTGATCCAACACTAATACCTGCCCACTGGGCCACATCCTCCACCGTTATGGCATTACCGTAGTGGCCTGCGCGGTTGAGAAAAATGGCGAGCTGGATAGAGACGGGGAGTTGGGAATTGTGTGAGTTGTTGTGAAAGATGGGATCGTCAGAGATTAAATCCAGGATGTCATCGAAGATTTCAGGCTCGACACGTAGCTTCTGCCGAAAAAGGTGGGGACAATGTTCCCCAAAATGCACAAGGAGGTGCAGCTGACTGGCTCGTGGCATAGGCTCGTCAGGGCAGTGGAGTATACATGCCTTTTCCACCTCATCCCGGAGAGCAGCAATCTGGTCTTGAAGGCGGTTATAACGAGCTGTAATACGATCAGCTTCATCGCTGGATGAGTCGAAGTCTGATTCAGAAAAGTCGGAAAGGAATGGTGAAATAGGTGAAGGAGGTGTGATAGCCATGATGCTCATGAAATCGCCAAGTTCCGAATCAGAAGAGGGGCTTGAGAGAGAGTCTGTACTAGAACAGGTATCTTGCACTACGTGCTCATAAGTGGCCCTGGCTACGGCAAGCGCAGCCATGTCAAGGTCATGCAGTATCTGTGCACGGTTGCTTGGACGAGGCATAGTGAGGTTCGAGGGATCAATTCCCCTATTTTTGCGCTGGCTGATATGATGTTGGTTACGGCGGAGTTTAAAAATTCGGGAATTTCCGGTCAAGTCCAGCTCACAGCCTAGGTCAAGCCTAGATGCACCTCATGACCTACATCCACGACGTCAACGACGACCACGGGTGCACCAGCTCCACAGATCTGTGCTATCCCTCGACGATCTGCCAAACGAATGTGTTCTACTTTCACCGTTCACACACGTTCTTATCCAGGCTCTCATTTGCAATCTCCTCCGGCACAAAGACTTTACTATCGCCGTCCTCACTCCACCTTGTTCTCCGTCTTCGTGGCGGTATGCAGATCTTCGTCAAGACCATCACATTGGAGATGGAGTCATCAGACACCATCGACAACATGAAGGCAAAGATCCAGTTCTCCGTGCTTTCGGCGTCATATCTTACGATCCACAGACTACTTCTCGCTGCTCTTGAACGGAGAGAGCTGGATGGTCCTCTACTCGCTGGTCTATTCCGCATGCTGTTCAAGAAGTTGACGAGGGATGTTTACCGTTATCTCCAGAAGGTACGTCACTCTGTCTAGTTGCACATTTCTCTATGCTTATTATTTCATAGTGTGTGGAGACGCACAAGGAGTTCAATCTCTCGCTAGCCGTCAAGCATCAAACAATTACCAACGGTCTCAATCACACTGGAGGTGAGTCATCCGGCACTCATCATCCTCCTTCACCCGGCACTCAGCCTCAGCTTCTTCCCCCCGGCACGCAACCTCAGCCTGCTCCCTCTGGCAGTGAGCCTTATTCAGCTCCCTCCGGTGCTCCCCACCTACGGCATGCACCCTAATCTCAGTGGACTTCGTTTATTTTCACAAATTTATTGATATACGTCAGTTCAAATACAAAGCGCCTTGGGGGGATCTACTTTATCACTACTCCTCACAAGTACATATCTCGGATTGCCTACTCTATCTAATTTACTCATTTTGTGTATCACAACCTTTGAAAATGCACAAGTGTCGTTTCTAACTCCGCTATTGTGCCGATGCGCGCCGAGTATTATGTAGCTTTTCAGCCGCTGTTTCCTGCAAACTCGACCCGAGTTTAGCGAGCTTTAGCGAGTTTCCCAAAAGCTACTGTGAGTCCCACTTATGTTTCAGAAACCATGTTAGCATTCGACTGACGTTATTTAGTAAAGGTTGGACCCCGCAAACTGTGCCGGAGAAAGGTATGAATATTTTTTCATGTATTGTCGTCTTCATTGTCCTAATTACATGTCTTCGTTGTCCTACTCGTCGAGCTCGCGGTCTCTGCCTTTTTTTCCAACCCTAGTGTTCATGAATGGCGCCACCTCTCTGCGTCCTCCTTATAACCCTTAACACCAATTCCACGCCCGCCTCACCATGAAGTATGCCGTCGCAGCCGGTTAAATTTTTTCGGAACAGCGCATCACGACCAGGCAGCACGTCCGCGTCAAGATCTAGCGTCAGGTCCCCTTCGCGTTCGTCGTCGACAACTTGTCTTTCCCCACCAGCTGACTCTTACCGCTACCTCACCTTCATATTTTTCTTCAGTGATTTCCAGTGTTCCACTGCATCCTGGATTTTTTCTTGTACTCCCACCTCGTGCATACTACCCTACTGTCTATATACATGTTCCTGTCGAATATTTGTAGTCATAATTTGTATATGGCATCTTCATCTCAATGCTCCCTCAGTCAAGCAGTCACGAAAAATTAAGTTGGTTCATAGTTAAAATTTCATGATATGTAAATAGCAAGATACTGTGAAGGAGAGACTGCACTACACATCCAAGTTTTGTGGGAGAGGGTGGGACACAAGGATGAGGAAGCCAAATTGGTGCTGCAGGTCTTGGAAGCAGAATTTGGAGCAGTGGTGATTGTTGTTGGTGGCGTCAGAGCTGGCAGCACTATGGGAGTTGAAGTCGGGGATGTCAATATCAAGTACTGATCATCAGGTGGCTCGGTGATGAGTGTTGAGGGGGTGATGCGAACGTGGCAAGACAGCGCAGAGTAGGTCTGCATGAAGGGCGGTGAGCTTCGACTCAAGAATGATGAGGAAATATGCTTACCGAGCGGTGGTTGAGGTCTTCACCGCTGATGTAATTGATCCGTTCAGGGACTAGTCAGCCAATTAAAACTCGTTTATCGTTTATCGTGTTTCCCACCCTGTTGGGAGCCGATCTACTTCGGAATGCTAACAGGGCACTACACACTCAAAAGTACCCAAGTTCTCGCTTAAGTCGCTTAAGCTGTCAAAGAAGTTTGGTGACTTACGACCTGCACCCTGAAGCATCCGATTGGTTGGAGATGGCTTATGGTGAGGTAAAGTCACAGAGATCTACAAAGTTCGCGTTATTGTGTCTGCACATCTTATCGTTGCCTAGATAGTGAACTGATAACATCACACTAATATAATTCCTACTACTACTGGTACACTGTTGGATGAAACAAACTAATAAAAATCTGCATGCAATGTGTGATACCATTCCTTGTCTGAAAAACTGTTGAGGTAGAAGGTATCATAAAGTTCCAAGGATGTCGCAGCAGTAACATCACGATTAACTCTTTGACCATATTCAGGAATCAACTTGATCACATGAGTGACATCAACAAGCGGTATAATCATTCCAAGCCTCGCTCATGTACTATCAGAACCAGTCTTGAACCGTCGCTTGACACGGTACATCATAACCGCATGATCATCCTGCGGACGCGAGATCACTTCAAAGAGTTGCACATAAAGAAGTGGCTCAGAAAGTCCGGGAGGCAGTGCAGAACCCCTCGTTGACAAGCTAAATACCATTCGAACTTGTGCAACTACGACTTGATCTAGAGGATCGGGTTAGTACAACGATGCTAATAAGACATTGGTGTCTCACCATCATTCTGCGTCCGCAGGAGTACCATATCACAATTTCCAAGGGGATACGCTCCGGACGGTGGATATGCTTGTACTTGTTGGCTTGGCATCACAAGACGTGGGTGCAGGTCTGAATGTAACTGTAGATGGAATTTGTTCCAAACCTTAAGGAGACACATTTGAAAGTGGGACCCTGACCCATTGATGCGCTCAATAAAGGCATGAAGTAGATTAGGGAAGTTCGGAAGATGATATAACCGTGCCAAAAAGTTAGGTGACTTGTCAGCCAGATCACTAGAAACAGTAACATGGAATGTGACATGGCTATCTTCTGAAAGAAGCCCCTTGAGAAAATGGTTGTGGACGGGACAGGGACCATGAAAATGAGAAACTTCCTCGGGAGAGATGTGCATGATCCAATCAAACGCCAGGTCGATGTCGACAACTTCCTCAAATTCATTATCGATCAGATTATTGATGGACAACGATTTTGAGCGGAGGAGAGCATACAAGTCGAATTGGCATGCTGTGTCTTCCCAATCCAAAAGGCGGACAATTTGCTGCGTAAAGCTTGCACGCTGATGACTAGTGCGTGTAAAAGGACCTTTGCAATGCGTGATCAGCATGCGTTCGCTGGTCTCAGATGTAAACTGGATTGGGGCGCCAAGATTAGGGATAGCTTGAGCAAATGAAGTGAGAAGTTCGAGTTTAGGTATTTCAAAGTGCTTGATAGGACCGGAGGTCCCCCTGCAAGCCTCAGTGCTGATAATAGCTCTTTTGAAGCGATGGAATTCTTCGAGTGAGGATGTCATAGCAGTGATTGAGGACGGAGTGAAAGTTGGAGATTGAGCTTGGTAAATGAAATCGATAAGTGCACAGATTGCTTGGATAAAGTTCGCATCAGCAACACCCACAAGTGTAGCAACAATTGTGCGCTGGATATCCTGATGCTCCCACCCAGTCATTTGCTGGACGTGCGACACACCTTGGGAAAAATGACGAGTGCCAATATGTTTGTGCTGTCTATGAAAGCGCGAATTGAGCTCATCCGCCCCCAGAATTTCCTTGCACCACTTGAAGATATGGTCAAAGAAAAATTTGTGGAGTGTATGTAGGATGTCAGGTGCAAGGAAATATGCAGGATCACTAAAGCGCCAGTTGTGCCAGAAGGGAAGTTGGACCCCGCTGAGGTAAAGTGATTTGGCTTCCTCTTGGAATTCTTGAACCTTCCAGGGATCCACGTGTTGGCAAAGTCGGTGCAGCGCTTCAATCGTGATATTCCCATGATGAGGAGGGTATGATACACCATCCCCAAACTGTGACTGGGTAGCCAAGGTAACGGGTGATGCGTTCTTACTGACACACACAATCATCTGCTGTTCGGGGAGGTCCGCAGTGTACGTGACAAGGGGGGTGAATGTGTAGCGCGAGTGACCAGATGGATCCACCATGCTTGTGCCAGTTGCAGTGGTGATTTTAAGGTTTTCACAAACAATATCTACACACCAGTGCCAGACACGGGCTTGCAAGAGTGAGCAGAAGTCTGGATGACAAATGAATTGTGGGATAGGCATATACGCGATGCATGACCATGCATGTGAAGTAGCTTTCATGCGGATGTCCGATCGAATGTTGGCTGTAGTGAGAAACATAGGATGCATCTCGAGCCCACCTGATTGGCGGGTGACCGGGGTTTTATCAGAAGCAAGAACTATTGGAACAATAGTAGCACCCGATGGGAGCTGGTCCTAAGAGGAGGATGGCTATCATTAGGTAAAATCTATAGAATAAAGTGCACTATTATATACCTGAATACCATGAGCCCACGAGCAGGACATCCATTCACCATATTCTCATTCTCCATTGACCTGGATCTCATATGGATGTTAAGACTGTGCACAAAGGGTAGGACTGATTCTGAGGGGCTTGGCTTCAGCTCGTGTGCTGCGCCCCTTACCCGAGTATGTGCCCTTAATTTCAGATTGGTGTCCGAAGAAAGTCCGAAGACGTCCGAAGGCACGGGAAACTTCGGAAGGACTTTCCGGACAGGTGCAAGTAACTTCTGGATGAGTGTGGGAAAGTTCCAGAGGAACTTCCGGAAATTATGATGAGGTTTCGTCCTGATACAGATATGTATAATGGCTACTCGGGACTTGTCCTGAGTAGAAGTAAACAGAGGAAAGGCTGCAAGGACAAAGTCCGAAGCAGAATAGATCCGGAGGACCATGGGAAAGATCCGGATGAACTTCCGGAAACTATGGAGGATTGGATGAGCGGATGAGTGGAGTATCGGATAAGTAGAGCTCCGGCCTAGGGAGAAACTCCCTAGGCCTGAGATGGATAACAACTAAGTTGGAAGACTAGAACTGATATGAGGACTTAGAGTGAAGACTAATGCAAGGACTAATATGATATTCAGACTGAGGAACTACAGGACATATACAAGAGTTTATATACTAAGTGACTATCAGAAAGATCAATAAGCAAAGGTCCGAGGCTATGTACGAAGCATAAGCAAAGTTGTCAAACGTGAGTCGGAAATGAAGCATAGGTTAATGGATCAGTAAGCATACCGGTAGTAAGTATAACCGAGATACCGGGAACAAGGAAATACCGGATAGGCTGTGTTAACGTTATATGCACAGGAAATGAATTAAGTAGCTTATCGTATATTGGATTGGACCGGACCAGATCGGGTATGGTCTGGATGAGATGCATGGATGTATGGGATATGACATTAGGGCAATAGGACAAAGGCTGAATGAAGCAGGCTAGCTGTAGAGGTACAGAGGTCTGATATACAGAGGTAAAGGGATCTGGATCTGGATGTGTGGATGTGGATGTGCAGAGGTGCAGGGATCCGGATGGGTAGAGGACTGGAGATATGGATAAGGCATCCGAAGGTCCGGATGAGGCGTGGGAATATTATCGGATGTAGGTCCGGAATACGGGATATGACAATGGATCAAACTCCATATCGTTGGCGAATACCGGGTTATCAAAAATGTGCCGCGTCACCTCCAGGGCATCACGCCAGATTAGGTGTACAGGATGGGTGGTGATGTAACCTTCGGTATGAATGGTTGTACAGTGCCATTTCGGTCCCTTTGGCAGGGCATCCATGAAGGTGAACATCTGTTGCACAGACTTATACGCCAGTGGTTTCCGTGTTTCTGACTTAACCTGCTTGTATGTCATTAGTGATAATTCAATAGGTGGTCATTCAAGCCGACTGACCCACAATAGCTTCAGAAACCTAGTAATTTGACCCTGGTTAAGATTGTCACTAAGAAATTTTGCTAACTCCCATTCCTCCCTGTCAGCAAATGGGTAGTACACGTTATGTGCACGATGAGCTTCATAGTCATGAGCCTTCATATGCTCAAAGGAGTTTGGTTGGTGAAAACCATAGATAGATCCCGAGTTTTCATGATAATGAGCTGTGCGCTCCTCCCCTGGACCAGCAGGTTGGCGAATTGCAAGTGGAACAGGTACACCGTTGCAGCGTGGATCATCCGTCAGGTGATTACATACAGTGGCTCAAAAAAGTGTCCCAATGTTTGTAGCTTTTCATGTAATTGCTATATCATGTGTCGAGACGTGGGGATATGACTAAGCTATAGGGAGATGTCGGAAAGGTCTGCATCTCAGCTTCATTTCGGTTCCCTATACCGTGGGAAACTAATGACATTATGTGAAGATATGAGTATTTTAATTTGATGACTCATTGGGACACTTTTTTGACTTTGAGTTTTACTAATGTAATCTCTATAATTCTAGTACTGTGTGTGACCTCCTTCTGCTCCAATCACTTCTGCCACTCTTCTAAACATATTCTCTATCAATTTTGGGTATTTCTCTTTGGTGATTCCATCATACTCTGCTGTAACACTGTCTCATAGTTGGAATAGCCCCTACAGTGAATCTTGATATGCTACAAGTAATTTCTTGAGTGATTCTCAGGGGTATTCAATATGGTTGATGTCTTGGGTCTATGTTGAACATGATAGAATAGTAATATCATGGTTTGCAAGCTATTGGTGGCTTATTTAGAGGTATACTTAGGGTCATTGTCTTATCACAAAACAGTATCTTCTTCATTAACTCATAACTTCTGCATGCTTCTTAGCAGACACTCCTGTCAAATGAGTATTTACTACTCTGTATTCATCCTCCCCTTTGCTTCATAGAAGATTCCCACTCCATTTTATCTCATATAGTCCTATACCATCAAGTTTTGTCTTGAAACTTAAGGTGTTTATTTAACTTTTCTTTATCTTAATGATTGTCTTATCTATTTTAATATAAATTCCTTGCCATATGATTTCATCCTATTGATTTTAACCTTATCTAACTAGATAAACCTCTTTCAGCTATTAGCAGTCCGATATTTGTACTTGAAAGTAGCATCTTGTCTTTTATTTTTATAGGTTGGAGACAGAGGAATCTGTTTTTCTTGATTATAGCTTTAAGATGGGCTGTCTTGAGAGTCTGTCTGACTATTTGAGTAGAGATAGTCATAGGAATGATGGAAATAATCAATTTAATCACTTTATTAGCATCAGCAGTCTTTCCAATTAGAATATAGTGATTAAGAGATCTTAAGTCTTATAGAGCAACCTTCTAGATTGGCTACCAAATAACTTAAAGACCATAATATTACTATTATATCATGTTCAACATAGACCCAAGACATCAACCATATTGAATACCCCTGAGAATCACTCAAGAAATTACTTGTAGCATATCAAGATTCACTGTAGGGGCTATTCCAACTATGAGACAGTGTTACAGCAGAGTATGATGGAATCACCAAAGAGAAATACCCAAAATTGATAGAGAATATGTTTAGAAGAGTGGCAGAAGTGATTGGAGCAGAAGGAGGTCACACACAGTACTAGAATTATAGAGATTACATTAGTAAAACTCAAAGTCAAAAAAGTGTCCCAATGAGTCATCAAATTAAAATACTCATATCTTCACATAATGTCATTAGTTTCCCACGGTATAGGGAACCGAAATGAAGCTGAGATGCAGACCTTTCCGACATCTCCCTATAGCTTAGTCATATCCCCACGTCTCGACACATGATATAGCAATTACATGAAAAGCTACAAACATTGGGACACTTTTTTGAGCCACTGTATACCCAGCCCCCGCTTTTGTACAACGACCTCTCAATGATGGAACGATACGATGACAATGAAGGAGAGGAGGAGGAGGAGGAGGAAGCATGAAACAATCAGCGCAGGTCCTACCGGGAGGACCACCAACCACTTTCATACGACAATCTCCCTCAGCCCCACTATGGGGACCCTGGTGCTCCTCAGCACTACCAACCCCTTCCATATTACCCTCAGCCAGACCATGACCCCGTTCCTCAACATTATCAACCCCTTCCCTATTACCCTCCACCACAAATGCAGTATGATTATCTGCTGCCTTCCAGTCCCCCTCGTGACCCGCACTTTGACAACCAACTTAGCGTGCCATCATCCAGCCAGCAACCTGCTCACCCCCATCACCAGACACGTACAACTATCTACCAAATGTACCAACATTTGAAGATCTCATACCTCCTGGAATCCAGGAACTCGAGCACACTACACGCTCAAGGTTCAGAGGTCTCAATCAAATGCGAGGAGAACACCTCAAGCGCCAATGGGCTCATTGTGCAGCCCAAGTAGGCACCAATGTTCCTGGAATCCGCACTGTATTCGTATACAATCCGCGCCGCCATCCAGCAGAGAGCCAACGAGGGCAACTCATTACAACTGGCGTCATCAGGGTAAGTCTTCTGAATCTGGTTTTATTTTTGTTCTTATTTTACAAATGTAGCCTACAAGCGAAGTATCTGTTACAGCGCCAATTCCATCCCGACAACAACTACTGGCACCCATTACACCATCCAGCCCTCAGCCTAATGCTGATCCTGGACCCTGGCAGCTGAAGGATAAAGAGCTGAAAGATGTGAAGAAGGAGGCGAAACGGGTGATGCACAGAAAGGTGCTCCTCGAGAATGTGATGCCCACGATGGAACACAATACTGAAATGGCTGAGGAAGCATTTTTGGAGGTGGCGGGACATGTAGTATCGGGCGTATCATTGACGGCCTCGCAAATACTGGATTGCGCCGAGACCTGGAAGCAGCTATCAGGGATCACGACGACCGTGCGTGGAGTCTTCAAGAAGGAGGCGCAATGGCTCATTCTCAACCACTATTCTCTTTCTCTTGAAGCCAGAGACACAAGATCATTGACTGACCATAGAGAGACTACTGTTGCCCCACTTCTCGTCAACCACCGCTATCTCTTTGTAAGTCCATTTACTTTGCTTTCGTTCTTAGGTTGCTAAACTGGCTTCTTTCAGAAAGATCCTACAATCATGTCCCCTGTCAACCACCCCACCGTCATCGAGACAATCTGTAATTCCCTCTGGACCACTCATCTTCACGAAGCGCTCGACTTCGATGAGCTCGACAAGTTCGACGACCTATTCTCAATCGGGGGCGCTGCGGTCCATAACACTCTACTAGAGTTCCAAGACGGTGTATATAAGTCAGTACAATTTTCACCAGCATCTTTGTCGGCAACGGAGTACAAAGCAATTCAGACCCACAATACGATCATCCGCGACATGCCTACGCTACATGCTGCTTCGTTGTCCGTAAAGCAGAACATGATTGCTCTGGGGACGGCTTTGCATGCACGTTGATTAGCACCTTCCTGATAGTAGTAGTACTACTAGATAATCTACTACTAGATAGATAATCAGTGTACCTCTGATAATTGTTGAATCTCTGGAATATATCCATTTTCTGCTAGACAAACTTTACTTTTGAAGCGAAAGTCCTAGCTGCTCACATAGCAGCATTACATACTCGGGTAAATAAAACTCCGCTCGACGAGCACTTTCAAGTTTTAGATGCACCACTGTAATGAACACTCACATAACTTACGCATGTTACAGACCGACTTCACTAGCGCACTCATGTGATTGGTAGAGATGCTTTCGCTGTTATTATTTTATTTCGCCGAGAGATGGAGATCCAGATGGAATGTTGTATGAGGCATGATTCTAACCCCTGATGTCAACAGGAAGAGCTCAAGACTGACAAAGCGCGCTGCGCAATTTGTAATATTTCAGCTATGTAGAAACCCGACCGATGTCAGAAATTCCTAATTTAGATTTCAACGCCTTGTAAGGCATTTCAAGGTTCAAAGGCAAAATGGCCTTTGAAATGGGTTTAAATAATAGAGTCGTACTTAAAATTGCCATAGAAATGTAGTTAAAATGGCATTGCAACAGATTGCAACGGGCCTTGCAATGGTACGGCATGTTGCAATTTGGTTGCCATATTGTTGCAATATATTGAAATATAGCAAGATTCCTTGCAAATTCATTTCAAGAATACCTCATTGCAACCACTTTAGGAAATTTGCGACAGAAAGTACCAATATTTTACAGTATATAAGAGTAGTTTACAATTCATGTACATTACGCGTTATCTACGGGTTCCCTGTACACCTAAGTTGGTCGTACTTCGACGGACGTGTCTGACACTTGCAGAAAACTCATCAACAGGAACGTTGAGTGGAAACCGGTGATGAGTGGCCTATTATACAGTATCATTCTGCCAGAATCCGGTGCAATCAATATCTACAGAGTGATAAATACAGATCCTACAATAATGCAATCAGATATATCAATTCCTCTTGTAAGTCACCTGTCACTCATCCTTGTCCTGTACTTCATCTCGCAACTGGGATGCCAGCCATCTCAATCCACCACCCAACACAATCAAGACGACAAAAACTGCATTTCCTCCTAGAAGGTTGTATTCCTTCGACGCAGCAAAGAGCGAAGTCGCCAAGGCAGGACCAACGACACGAGCTGCCGACGCAGAGGTTTGGCCGAGGCCATTGATGGCGCCAAGGACGTTGCTTGTAGGAGCAGAGGCTGTGATAACCATGAAAATGGCCGCTGCAATTGAGTGAGTTACTTGTAACGAGACGGTCTCATTACAACACGCACCATATCCCATATCCCATGCAACTTGTATACCTATAAGGAAAATCAAGGCAAACGTAATCGCATGATCGACTTCTCCCCTTGCACGTACAATCCACGACATTATTGGAAACATAGCCATGAGTGGTGCGTAGCACGACACTGAGACACAGAATAAACGCTTCGGACCAATCCAATCGACGATCCTAGCGAAGAATAGTCCTTGAAAGATACCATTCGTGACCCCAAACAACGCCATCCATGAGCCAATAGTAGCAGGATCAAATCCAAGACCGCCAAGATGAGTAGGTGTCGAAAACAACAGTGGCAAAAGGACAATGAAAGAAATGTCAAGCAAGGCAAGCAGAGTGTAGTTTGCAAGCGGAATAACAACGGAAGGCGTGAGCAGAGATCGCAAGGGCGTATATGCCACGGATTGTTGAGGCAGTAGTTCATCACTTGAAATACCGAGCATAGCCGATGTCGACTTTGGCCGACGCTTTGTCGGTAATGTCTGCCGATCGTGAGCAACGTGTACGATAAGACAGGTGTGTGAAACATACTTCTTCTAAAAAGATTGACATCATAAAAAGAATTAGGACGAACATACAGGCTGCCACTGCGCATGGCAGAAAGTATGGAAACTTTTCCCAAAAGGCGTTGGCGAATAATGCAGGCCAACGATCTTGCGGCCGCGCAAGAGTTCCGCCCATTAAAGGACTGACATGCTAATTCATTATTTGCTATCTCCATAATCAATTGCTCCGCTTACCCGATAAAGCTTCCAATGCACCAGACAATTGGAAACAAGGCGAATGCCTGAGCCATATTTGTGGAGTCCGTCAATTCTCCCATCATAGTCTTCATAACTCCTGCATTGCCATTTAGAAAACCGCACAAGCAGCGGCTAGGTAAACCTAGCATATCAGCATCGCACATCTCCTTCAGCTGAAGACACACCTAATGACAAGACTCCAGAATGTCGTTGAGAGGCCGAAGCACAGTATCGATATGCAAGCACCCGAGAGTCCGATTACCAACACCGGCCTGCGCCCGATGCGGTCAGACAGCCTACTCCACCTCAGCACCGTCAGTGCCTGCGCAACAAAAAACAGAGATTCCTGCCAATCACATCCGATGAGCGAACCATACTTGCATGCCCTTCGCAAGTCATAATCCTAACACCTACAATGATTCCAGCATAATATCCTACAGCCGCATCGTCGCCCCCAGTGATTCCGAGTTCTCTGATCAGCTAAGAAAAACAGTATCAACGATGTACATCGAAAAGAAGTATCGTGATTGCGAAACCATACCTGATTGATGTATGGGAATATAGATGTCGAGGCGATGGGTTCCGCAAGGAGTAGCGACATAAGTATGCCTATCTGAAGTTTTGGAAGGGGTGTTTTAGGTTTTTTCGAGCTCTTGGTAGGTACCAGAGGCGTTGTCTCGTTTGCCATGATTTCATGGGAATTGGAAGTATCCATCCTAGTGATCTGGATTCTGTGCAGGTTCCGTCGTTCAGTGCCGTTCGATACTAACCCCCCTGCACTTCATGGATTCCTCATATACTTTCGCATCCTCGTTTTGTTTTGTTTGGACGCTTGGTGATGACGCGAATATCACACTAGTCCTCGCCACAGGGACAGTGGTGGCGGCCGGCGGGGGCTAGTTAAACTCGGATTACGGTCAGTAGTACTCCACAAATTGTCAGGTGATAATCGAACTAACTGGATCTTACCTGTCAGCTCGGCGGCTTGCGCTCCAATACATACATAAGCAACCTCTTTGCTCGCTCATATGCGAAAAAAGGTATGAAAGCGTCAGTAGAGGTTGTCTAGAGTAAAGAGCGGGAGATCGGCTGCAACAAGGCTGCAATGTCTTGACTCGCGATCAGCAAATTCCGGTGAGCTAACTGACATACCTATATTTTGTAAGCCGAAATCCTAATCTCTTTCCTATACATGACGTTATGTTAGATATATTACTTTGTATCGTAATGCACTGGAAAGAACACAATGTCCTCACCGGCGGGTGCTGCCGTGACCTGAAGTAGATCGGCCCCCTATCTTGTTACGATTCGACTGATAAAGTTGGGACTCCACACACTTTGTCGGAGAAAGGCGTCATGTTTGCGTCATGTGTTATTTTCACTGCCCTCTTTGCATGGTCTTTGTGGGAGATAGTCGGAAAGGGAAGGAGGACGTTGTGGGCGCGAGTGTCAAAACAAGTATCGAGGACAATACAAAGAAAATACTCAGCTTGTACTTTGCGAGCAAGTTCACTGAGCACGTCAGTCAAATGGTCACAACACAGAGACCCGATCTATTTCGGAATCGTAACAGGCCGTCACTAGTCTCACCGGTTCAACCGTTTACTGATAGGTTATGGGTTTTGTACTAGTGCCCTGTCAGTGTTAGCATGATCGGTTCTCCAGCTGACAAGCTCAATCAACTTCAATTCCCACGGTCTCTGATGCCGCTGCTGCTCCCTCCGCGCGCTTTCGCTAGCAAGATGCTGACATCACATGATACGGTTGTTGCTGGCAGTCATTCAACAAGGAACCGGGGCATGTCGTGGACACGCATATGAACTATGTAATACAGATCATGCGGTGCGCTATGATATACTGGCACGTCGTCACTGAAGCATCACAATACCCTCAACATAACACCTAGACACACCGGATAATATGATACCTTTCTGTTCATCACGACTGCTGACTGTTATACATTAGAAGCACATACTTGATCGATTACTCCTCTAGTGCCCCAATCAGACCACGGAAGAGCCAAACTGTCATCACCCCTTCTTTCAAAACTCGGTAGTTCTCCAACCGTTTACAAGGTCTGAATGAATGTGGGACCGTACTGAAATCCTGCAAGGGGAGATAGCAGGGTAGCTGAAACAACAAAAGTGTTAGTGACAAGTGGAAAGGAAGTCCGAGTCGAGTACCGAACCAGTCCCGTGATGAACGTGGGAGTAAAACTGATCGCTTTGCCCTGGTCATCTTTGGCAGAAGAAATGTCCAATGCGGCCAACATAGTCACAATGGCAGACCACGCGGAGGCATCAGCAGTATATCGCCCTGATTAAAGTCTACATGTCAGCGAATCTTTTCTAGGATTAAAATAACTCAAGGAACCTGGACATACACGCCGACCAAAGCCGAAAAAGTATTGTGCGGGGTCATCATCTGTCAACGCGCCATTAACATCGATGAACCTCTCTGGTATAAAACGAGATGCGTCTGGGTACCGCTTTTCATTCCGTGTAATGCCCCTACAATCGAGTCAGTGTCACAAAAGCTGGAAGGAACATATCGGACCATGTGTTGTACGTGATGATTGCGCCTGATGCGTGATATTATAAATGATTCTTGTGTTGATGCTTTTGGAATGAAATAGCCATCATATACGTCATCACTCGAGGTAGCGTGTGATACGCCTATAACATTATCTTCAGCACAGGCCAGATCACTTGGCGGGGAAGCATACCAAGAGGTGAAACGGGCTGCCATCGGAAAGTCTCTCGCACAACTGCACCAATGTAGGGTAGTGATACTCTGTCCTCGAACGTCGGCAGCCGTTCTCTTCCAACCACTGAGTCGATTTCCGCTTGCGCGCGTTTCTGCACGTCTGGATATAATACCATGGCCAAAACAAAAACCATCAAGACTGCCGAAGTCTGTAACAAGAATAAAGAGCGGACAACACGATGAAGTTGCCCATTTACCGTCTCATATGAAGCTGTGTGATATTGGCATATATCGAGAGCACAGCGTTGCTTCTGAGGAAGCTTACTCACCCGAAATAGCACTAGTGGCTGCTTTCTTTAAGGCATTCTCGAATGCAGGTTTGGATGCCTCCTCTTGCGTCTCCATCCGTCGCAAATTTTCTGCAACCATTGAAGATTGGGCGAGGAACGAGCTGTCGGTCTTGGTAAGGGTCGAATCAATGCCTGGAACCAAGATAACCCACCATGTGCTGCTGCACATATTGAAATGGCAAGTCGGCCATTTCATTGACGCGCTCGGTCGAAGCTCGAGCACTACGCTTGATCGAGGATCCCCAGCACCAGTCAGGTAACCTTAGTACTACATTCCAAAAAAATGCATGTCGCATTGACGCTTTCTCATCTAGGAGAGTTGAGCTCACAGAAGGGGAAGGTCTTAAGTATCAACGCTCTCTCTGGGGTTAACACGGCCGAGCTCGGATTCAGTGCCTTTACCACAATCTGCACCAGGGGATCATCACGAGCGCTGATATCGTAGCCATATACAGCTGACATCACAACAGATAAAGAGAATCTGTGAACAGGTGAATAATCGTTCAATTTGTAAAGATCATTTACTGACGTTGCGAAGTGGTCATGATAACGTTGAGGGTCATCAACTAGGTTGACGACTATCTCACGAGCTCGCCTGATCTGCATCGGACGAAATTTTACTGCAGACTCAGGGCGGAAAGTTTGGTGGAAGAGTCGTCGGCAGAGACGCCATTCATCCCCATAACCTATGAATGCAAAGTTCACTGACAAGCCATATCTGCAAGAACCTCGGACTAGTTAAGTAGAAGAATACTGAAAGAACGCACGGCTCGAGTGTGGCTAGGTATGGTCGATCGGAGTAAATCCGAGAACGCTTGTCCAATAAGGCTTCTGCAATCATATGCTCGGAATTGACCACGACCATCTCCTGGCCTAGAATTCGCACGAAGACCAAGTCCCCTGATATGATGATTTGCAGTACATATGTCTTATACTATCTGTTCACGTACCATACGCGGTACCCCATTTCGTATAAGTCAGCCAAGGCTCTTGAGCGTCAACAGATAAGACGTTCCCTAACAGTGGGAGCGGCACTGGGCCAGGTGGAAAAGAAGGGTTATTCTGTTGCTTCTTGATGAACCGCCTAAGTGCCGTGATGGCGGCGAGGGAAAGAGAAATACCAGCGAGAGTAGCAAGGTGACCATCAACTGCAGAAGCCATGATTCGAGCAGTGCGTTAGCAAACCGTATATAATACAATCGTCCTTATAATCACGGGGAAGCAGTAAATCGCCGTCGATTATGCAACTCGGTGGTAGTGTCTCTTATCACTATATATACATTGTTTTTTGCTCAAACCACGTCGACTTATGCAGGTGCAGTGGCAGATGATCTGACCAGATGGGGTAAGGAAGGATATGATCAAAGAGAAGACACACAAGATGTGAGAAGAAGGTAAGATTGGGCAAGTGACTTGCACCGGAGCGTCGTGCTTGAACGCGTCAAACAGCTTGGCCATCTGTTGCATTCCAGATTTTTGCCGCATCTTCATGGTGTCATCGAGTGAACAGATCACCACATACGCAAACATCTCCAGGGTTGTGTCTCCGATCTTTACATCCCACATTCCGGAAGGGGTCGTATATATTATGCGCCGTTTGCTAGGCAGATGCATAACACCTTGTCTCTTGCTCCCTACTGATCAGGGAACACATGGTCAACATTCGATAACTGCAGCAGATCTTGACTATGTATGCGAGTGAAGCCCACGAAAATAGTCGAATGAGAGTGTTTGTCTGGCAAGGATTACTGGTGAGTCTCAGAGCATCTTTTCGGATAATCACAAGAATTGGTCAAAAAATGCCGTTTTCAACTTATCAACGCATGACAAATTCAACTTGTTCGACAGTCACGTCACGTCAAGACCAGTGACATGAAGCTGCGCCAGTCTCACGCTGCACAGTTCGCCTTAGTGAACATAGAATGCTTGAAACAAGATCCAAAGATCAAATTTTAATATGCTCAGGCCCATCTGCCCTACCTTGCTATCTAACAACTCATCAACAAATACTTGCAGCGCGATGAACACGAATCCTACGACAGTGCAATCCGATATCGACTCCTTTTGTGAATCACCCGTCACTCATCCCTATCTTGTACTTCATCCGGCAACTGATATGCCAGCCATCTCAATCCACCGGACAACACAATCAAGACGATATACACTGCATTTCCTCCTAGAAGATTGCGTTCCTTCGATACAGCAAAGAGCGAAGTCGCCATGGCAGGACCAATGGCACGAGCTACCGCCGCAGAGGTTTGACTGAGGCCATTGATAGCGCCAAGGACATTGTTTGTGGGGGCAGAGGCTGTGATAAACATGAAAACAGCTCCTGTAACGAAGTGAGCTGCTTGCAATGACGAGACGGTTTCATTGCAACACGCACCATATGCCATATCCCATGTGACTTCTATACATATGAGGAGAAGCAAGGCAAACGTGATTGTATAATCGACTTCACCCCTTGCACGTAAAATCCACGACATTATCGGAAACATAGCCACGAGTGGTGGGTAGCACCACACTGAAACAGAGAACAGACGCTTTGAACCAATCCAATCGGTGATTCTGGCGAAGAATAATGCCTGAAATACACCATCCGTGATCCCAACCAGCGCCATCCACAAGCCAATAGTAGCAGGATCAAATCCAAGACCGCCAAGGTAAGTAGGTGTCGACAAGAACAGCGGCAAAAGAACCCTAAAAGAAACGTCAAGGAAGGAGAGCATGGCGTAGTTTGCCATCGGAATGACAACGGAAGGCGTAAGGAGAGATCGCAAGGGCATGTTGGCCATCGAGTTTTTGGCAAGTAATTCTCTGTCGGGGCTACTTGAAACGCTGACCGTAGTTGAAGTGAACTTTGGCCGACGCTTTGTCGATAATGTCTACTGATCGTGAGTGATGTGTGCGATATGGTAGGGATCCAAATCTTACTTCTTCCAAGAAGATTATCATCATGACAAGGGCCAGGACGAGCAGACAGGCTGCCACCCCACAAGGTAAAAAGTACGGGTAATGTCTCCAGAACGAACCGGAGAACAATGCCGGCCAATGATCCTGCGGTCGCGCGAGTGTTCCTCCCATTAAAGGACTGACATGTCAATCTCATTATTTACCACCTCCGTCGTCAACGACCTTACTCACCCAACAAAGCCTCCGATGCACCAAACAATCGGGATCAGGGCAAATCCCTGAGCCATATTTGTGGAGTCCGTCAATTCTCCCATCATAGTCTTCATTACTACGACGTTGCCATTCAGAAAACCGCACATGCAACGGCTGGAAAAACCATGTTAGAGATGTATATTTCCTTCGGGTGAAGATATACCTAACAACAAGGCTCCAGAAGTTCGTCGAAAGGCCGAAACATAGCATCGAAATGCATGTTCCTAATAGTCCGATGACTAATACCGGCTTACGCCCAATGCGGTCAGACAGCCGAGCCCACTTCAACACCGTCAGTGCTTGTCCGACGAAAAACAGAGAGTCCTGCCAATCACATCCGATGAGTGAACCATTCTCACAAGCAATTCGCAAGACGTAATCCTGGCACTTACAATGATTCCAGCATAATATCCTACAGCCGCATCGTCGCCCCCAGTGATTCCAAGTTCTCTGATCAGCTAAGAGAGCAAAACAGTATCAAAGGTGTACATCGAAGAGAAGCATCGTGATTGCGAAACCATACCTGATTGATGTACGGGAATATAGATGTCGAAGCGATGGGTTCCGCAAGTTGCAGCGTTATAAGTATGCCTATCTGAAGCTTTGGAAGGGGCGTTTTAGTTTTTTTCGAGCCCTTGGCAGGTACCAGAGGCGTTGTCTCATTTATCATAATTTCATGAGAATTGGAGGTATCCATTCTGGTGGGTTGATGAAGGGTTAGTGAGAGGGAAGATATCCAACGAACTCCCTTGATTTGATTATACGAACCTCGTCTGTATTTATAGCCTGCCCATCGTCGATATACTAGTCAGCTATCAGATATACGTATGTAAACGTAGAGTCGATTTGTCAAGTAACATACCTGAGGGTGGAGAAAATCGGCGCGAGTCATCCGAGTTACGAATGAAACGCTGTTAGAGAGGCTAACAGAGTAAGCAATATAGTTTGAAGTCGACTCTCGACAAGCATGGAAAGCATCTCCAGAACTCGTGTTTGGCAAAAGCATGAGTGATAGATTCAAAAGATATGCAAACGATTGAAAAACGATTCCATACGACTACCCAATGGCCAGGGCTAGCGAAGATATTGAAATTCGCAAGCCAAGCGACGGGTGATTTCCATTCTGGAACATTTTTGCCGACTATTTTTATAAGAATCATATCACGAGGATTGGTTGCAATCGTGTCAGGGATGTTTACTAGTCCAAATGTTCAAATGAAGAGAAATGGCATCTGCCCGCGGGTATCTTGCTTTCTTACTGTGGAGTTCGATCAGTTAATCGACTTCCAAAAACCGCCTATGCTTACACTGATTAGCGTGGTGTTACCGTGCATCCCGTAGTGTGAGATCCAAGAAAGACGGTCCGATGACCTGACATGCAGGTGTGGTGGTATTACGTCGCCATTGACTGAACTTGTCCAAGCACTTAAGCTTTACACAGTATCGGGCGCTTCAAATAGAACGAGGAGAAAGCCAAATCTGGATGCTCGTCTTCACCTGCTGACACGTTAAAACCAATAAGTACCATCTTGCAATAACTGCAAAAATACAAATGCGAGAAGAGATCATTTACTAAACGCTTATGCTAGATTCCAGACTCAGTGCTACGAGTCCATTACGGAATAGTAAGGCCATCTTGAACAGCCTTACGCGCATTGATACGACCAAGCCACATCTAAACCGATCAAACTTTAGAAACAAGACACGAAACAAGACACGTTCGAACGCCCACCTCGAGGCTCGGCCACTCATCAAGAGATTCGATACCCGCGAATTGATGAACATTAATCCTGAATACAATAGAACCAGAGTGAGAACATCAGAAAGACGTCTTCGCAAGGGAAACCGAACAAAGATGGGACCAACCATGGGAAAACGTTGATATCTGCAGCGCTATAGACGCCCCGGCCGGGCCCAGCGAGATAATCACGGTCTGTGAGGCGGATCTCCATCACGCCATAGAGGCGCTTTGTTTCCAGGATATAGCCTGATGTCGTCATCATCAAGCGCATATGAAACATTAATCAACAGAAACGACTCACGCTTCTTTGCATAGGGAATGTCCTCGGGTGCAAACCTATTGAAATGATTCGCTGCGCTACGTCAACTCAAAACGTCAATGCCAAGTTCGAATTTACAGACCTTGGCCCTGCATAGGACCAACGCCTCCATGCTGCAACGACCGTGTCATCAGTACAAAATCCCACCAGACGCCAGAGGAGTACTCACTGCCCACAACATCCACTGAAGCATCTCGCTGTACTCATTCGGCTGCGACACAGGGTCGAACCCAAGCTTCCTCTCCGGGTCATAATGCTGTTCGAGATACAGCAGAATAGCAGCTGTCTCAAACACCACGAAATCTTCCCGTGCGCGGTCGACGAGCACTGGGATTCGCCCGTTTGGGTTCAACTTGATGAACCAGGGCTCTTTTTGGTCGTTGCGTGAGATGTTTATTTTCTGGACGCTGTGAGAGTCAAAATTCAGGATATCGTTCCAGGAGAAGAGGAGGCACTCACTCATAATCGACCTTTTCTCCATAAACTGCTCTAAGCTCTTCGAGAAAAACACTAACTTTGCGTCCGTTTGGAGTTCCAGCGGTGTATAGAACAAAAGGCTTGGGCTTGGACGTATGTACAGTAGACATATTACGAGGGGTGGTTGATAGTGACCTTGCTACGGAGCTGAGACGGTGAAAGGCGACTTGCATGGCTTTCTAGGGGTATGGACTGACGCCATGTTCGAGTACGGATGACCTGATCCGTATGACCGACGGGTGTTGTTGCTGACATATAATATCTGCCGAAATTTATGGTTCAACCGCATCAGTCAGCAACTGGACACAATAATTTGCCTCCTACATAATTCGCGGACTTCTTGGCTTCTCTATCAAGAACTGGACCCGGTCTTAAGCTTCTTCAGGCGTATCTTGCCGATCCGAGCGATCTAAGAGAGTTTGCCCAGAAGAATGAGAACAACGTCAATAGAGCCGAGCACCGCTCGACACTGTTCGGAACAAATTCTGAGTTGAAAACTTCAATCTTGGAACGGGAGAAGAACCAGTGGGAACCAGAATTTTTTTTAAAACGTGTAAACCTGAATTTCTACCGCGAAAAAAAAAGAACTATAACTATAAGTACACATATATAACGGGAGACCTGATGAACGAAAAAGAGAATGGAAAAAGAGAAAGATAAGAGGGAGAGGAAGAGGGAGAGGAGCATGTATATGATATGATACTAGAAATACGATATCCATCATGATGACTCACTCACATCAGCCCGGTCAACAAACGGAGTATGAAAAGGGCTAGACAAAATATGCGAAAAGAGAACAGAACTCGAAAGCGGCTGTACTGTAACTAGATGAGAACGCGTGCATGCGATAAACCAGGAGATGAGATAAACAGTGACATAACATTGTCCAAGATCATCGCACAATTGAAATGCGGTCATGCAGAATGTCCGAGCGGATAGGGCAGAGCAGAGAGCAAAGAATGTGTCTTGATAGCATCGAGGAAAGCGCTGGGACGCATAGCACGTCGAGCAAAACAGTGATTGGCATCGTAACATCCCACTGACATGGCATGAAATCAACAGAACGCAAATAAAATCAGCGCTCCTCCGCATTTTTATGACTCTCGCCCCTCGCCGTCTCCCCGCTTCCGCTCCCACCACCACCATTGAACACCCCCGAGCCCGAGTAATACATCCTACCCGGTGGCCGCGCACCATCTGTTTGTGGTTGGCGAAGCGTATTTGGACGCTCAGGCCCAGGTACAGCCTGAGATCGTAGCGGCGGTGTGCCTTTTGGATTAGCCGCAGGCACGACAGGCCCACAGCGACTGGATGAAGGAGCAAATGGCGAATAAGGTGTTTGGGATTGGGGTTGCGATTGCAACTGGCCCTGGTCGAGACGCGGGGCGTCTAATCGTGCGACGGAGGACGACATCCTGCGGTCACGGTCTGTATCAGGAGAACGAGACGCAGCGCGGTCCCGGTCTTTATCGGTGCCCCAGCTAAGCGGCGACACTCGTCTGCGTTGCTCAGTGCCAGTGGTTGGAAATCTGTACGACGAAGATGGTTCCGAACCCGAACTCGTCGTTCCATTTTGTTGGAACTTTGACTGCGGATACCCAACACCGCCGCCGCTCGTACTTTGATTCCGCACCGAATCCGCACGCACTGCACGTAGTGCCTCCTCCAACAAATCCAAGCGCTGACGCATACCCTGCATCTCCTCCTGCATCGACCGCGTCCGTTTCTCCACCAACTCCTCGACCACCGCATCTACCTTCTGCAGAGATTGGAGGAGCGCGTTTGATTTTTGAAGCTGCTCAGACAGCCAGTTTTTCATCTGCTTCGAATCATTGAGCGCGTCGTAAAAGACTTCGAAAGGCGCTAGAAATGCAGATTTATCTCCAGAGTAACCGGGGTGTTGAAGGGCGCGAGGTGTGGGCGGGACTAGTGAACTGGCGATTGGTATAGCAGGGGGAGATCTTGTAGTCGCCGTCTTGGGTGCGCTCACCGAGGGACCTATCGTGTGCTGCAAGCCAAATCGGGTAGGTGTTGGAGGAACGTTGGTGGCTACTCTTCGCGTGGTCTGGTTTCCGCTTAGAGCGGTTGGAAGTCGTGGTAAAGCCATGGGGAACCGACCGAACTCTGGGACTGGAGGGGCGCTTTGTATGACAGGTGCGAGCGGATCAGAAGAGTTAGTCCCACGAGGGCTGATGACAATATCGGCTGGTTTTCTTTTGCGACCACCGGACTGAGCTGCGCGACGACGTGCGAAACTAATAGGGGGAGGTGGTAGGGAATTTGAAGGAGGGCTTTTCTGAGGTACTTCTGGTTGATTTTGGGTTGCGGTGAGAGAGAGCGGTTGCTGACTTGGGACAATCATAGGAGGAGGGGTGAGTGGCTGTGATTGAACAGTCGCACGACTGCCAGATACAAGAGTATTTCCACCTGAACGGGTGGCTGTATTGGGACTACGCCTACCCAACCTTGGAAGACTTAGCTTTGATGCTGCCAGGGAACCGTCCGGGGGGGAAGAAGAAGAAGTACCATTATTAATAGCAGCTGGGAGCACGGGACACGGAGCGGGGGGAGCAGCGAAACTTGGTCTGCGCTGTTCGATGAGCTGCTGTTGTTTTATGGTAGACCTCGGGTGAACGTCTTCTACGGTTGGTATTGATATGACCACGGGAGTTATTGGGGTTGAATGTGAAATTTCAGAGGAGGAAGGGGTGGTTGAGGGAGGGAGTGTGGTACCACTCACAGTCACCCGTCGTTTCTTTGGTGACGGTGGAATGACAGTAGGAGAAGTGATTTGAGGAGGGGAAGGAGAATCGATGATACTATCATCAGGGTCATCTTCCTCCTTGATTCTAAGGACTCTGGGTGACTGACGGCTAAGATTTTGATTGAGAATGGGATTGAAAATAGGAAAAGGACATACCCAGAGTCATCTGTACTATCCCGACGGATTGCTACGTCTTCTCTTGAACGTTTCCTGGAGTTTCTTAATTGTTCTACGCTAGGTTGCCTTGATGGAGAAATTGTATGATGAGTTCTTGGTTGAATTGGTGGTAACGCGTTATTAGAATTTGGGATTGAACTAAGAGAAGAGGTGCTAAATGCCTGGGCGAAGGAGGGTAGAGACTGTGGAGCGTGATTGACGGACATGGTCGTGGTAATCGTTGTGGTGGTCGTTGTGGTCGTTGTGGTTGAAACGGAACCGAATGATGAATTCAATTGGAATTGAAGAGATGAACCAAAAATGAATTGCAGGTTGGTGTTAGCTTCCACAAGAAGATTCGACTTATTCGCGTAATTGAGACCGTTCCAATGGCGAGATCATGATAGGCCTTTTAATTAAGTCGAATGGTAGCACAGCTAAAGATGATCATAGTAGTCATCATCATCTATCACCTGTGCAACACTATGCACAACACTGCAACTCGGCTTTCGGTCAACTTGATAGTAAATCATTATCCGATGTCTCGGCCATCCGATGAAAAGGCCTCGAGGCTTATAATCACACAGTCATTCTGCAGTGAAACTGTGCAAAATCCACTCGGGGCGTTCCTTCGCAACCGATAGGCAGGGCGTAGCTGATAGTATCATAGTAGTAAGTACCCTGCTAGCTGCCCCATTGCACGTGTACTGGTTACTAGTAGGACTGAATTCTTATATTATACCGTAACACTCGTGGGTACCCTTTGCTTCCACACAATAACCTCCAGCCTTCTAAAAACAGCGGTACTACAAGAACACCGTAAGCGACTTCATTTAACCCGAAAACCAATCTCACTTTTTAACTCCTTATCCCACCTGAACTCGTCGAGAATCTTCGACAGAAGATCAAAATTCAAATTCACCATCAGAACATTGCTAGCTTCAATCCCCCGTAACCATCCTCCCCCATGAAGGTACACGGTCCAAGATCCGATCACTCCATCAGCATAACGCCAGGCGTTGACATCTCATTTCAATCCATAAATGGGTACCCGCGACGCTCAACTACATCCTCTTACAAGCCAGTGAAACCTCAAAATCCAAGCGACGTAAACGCGGTAGCCTCCCAGAAGCCAATTTCAAATCTGATAGACGTTATTCACCGCGCATCTCTTTATGATTTCGTCCGCTTCTTCCTCGCCGTCAACACCGTGATTATTGGAGGTCTGCCGTTACCAGCGCTTGTGGCTTCCCCGTCTTCCTTTGTCGGCGGTGGGCGATTTTTGACCGCAATCGTACCATATATGTACGAGTGGTATGTTTCCAGAGAAGCAACTGGTTCCGGAAATGGATTGGGAGATATGTCAACGATCGGTCTCTTTCCATTCACAAGACGAGGTGGGGGCGTCTGTGGAGGTGCTAGAGTGCTCCGAATAGGCTCAGGCTCAGGCGTTTGTCGCCCCGATCTGTCTGCTATGACAAGCGGAAGAGGATTCGACTTGAGTCCATCGCACAACCCTCGTATGGTATCTTCAATCACTTTAGTCGACCACACCGCCTTTTCCACAGATGGAAATTCGTGAGCAGTCAATAATGACGTCAACACACGTTTGTTCATCTGCGACGAAACCTGCCCTGCTTGGGGTGCAAGTGGTGACACTTCACTCGTAGTGAGTGTCGAGGCCGGCCTGGCGGTACTAGAGACAGCAATCACGAAAAACCCGGTGACCGCCCCTGCAATACATTCCTGTCGGAACGACATCCGCTCCCAGAATTCTTCCACAGACACCTTCTTGACTTCTTTAAGCGTCTGGTCCTCTTTTTTACTCCGACCTTCCTTCTTTTCTGAAGCGTCGGCTGACGATATGTCTTCTTCGTGCGTCTTTAACGTATCCGCTCTTGCGCGTTTTCGCTCTGGGGACCTCACCCCATCCGCATCCGTCGTGTACGCAATCTCATCGATAAATCGAGATTTAGGGTCATCATCAAATGATGGTATACATTGCCCAAGATGACGAGGCGAATCGCCTCCCGAAGGACAAGGACACGGTAGGGGGATTTCGTCCTGCGAATAAGGGTGACCGTATGTCCAACTGCACGAACCAGTCGATGGGTATACCCGCTCCAACGAGTGATGAGCTTCAAACTCGCTGAGACCGGGTAAGATATAATACAGTTTGGTGCGGCATATATCTCCCACGCGAGTCGCTAACTCGCCTACGACAGTGCTGAATTGGCGTTTCCACCAAGCACAGAGCTTGATGTCGCTTAGGGGGCGCTTGTTCGGGTATTCTGAAGAGTTTGGAAATAGATATTGATTCTGTGCTCTCGCAAAGACGTGAATCCATAGATGGTTGGCGGAGATGGGACGCGTGGCAGGGTCTGCGTAGAACAGCAGGAGTGCACGAACAAGAGCTGGGGTGGGAGATGGTGCAGTTGCTTGTCCGGTAGAGTCCACTTTTGAGACATACAATATCGCACAGGACGTCGTAGGGATGTTATACACGCATGCTTCGATTGCAGAGACGAACACGGGAGAAGAGTCTGGTGTGGTTTGCTCGGAAAGCAGAATCAAAATGTCTTGCAAGTACGACCTTGGTCGCGGATTCGCAAACGGGAAAAGGTTGCCGTGCTTTCTGGGTGATGAGACCAAGACATGAAGATGGAACTCACGAGTTCCTGGTAGGCTGTTGAGGCCTGCTAGGAGCGCGTCCCGCAAAGTCATGACTGCGATACGTGGGAATATGCGATTTCTGCTCAGCGGCACAAGAACGAGGAACCCGAATTGGTCGGTGAGGGCCCCAGGTAGGGGTCAGACCGGTCAAGGTTAACGTTGGGCCGAACCAAGGAGGAGACTCGGGGCTATGGTGCTGCTCCACCGTCCTGTGTAACGAAACGGAGAACCACTGCCCTGTAATCACACACGCCTCACAGCTCCACTCAACCGCCACCAGTAGTACTGATGCTATCATAGCTAGATCAATCACAGATCGTAGACTATGCCCTTTCAAAGTTTCGCTCCCGAGAGCATATAAAGAGGAAGCAGAAGGAAGAGAACATCTATTTGATCTTCTGAGGGCAATGCATGATATTACAAGAAGGAATGTATGATACAAGGAGTTGGCTTGATAAAGGCTAGAATCATGCCACGTATGCAAATGTGTCTCTCGTACCATCGACGCGCTCAATATATTCCTTCTCCAATAGTGTATCAATTGCCTGGAACCACAGATAAGTGAACGTTCAAGCGAAGGAACAAGAAATCCTACCTTCTTGATATCGGGAATCTTGGGGGCGAATCGTTGCGAAATCTGAGAAATCACCTCCTGAATCAAAGGCTGGTTCTTCATCGTCTTGCGTGCCTTCATGATTCGGACAATAGTGGCCTGTATCACATATTTACGGTCCTCATCAACAGTTTTGAGTACCTCCGAGGACTCCGCCTTCACCTCAGCCTTGATTGGCTGATTCAAGTTGACACGGATCTTCTTAGACTTGAAGTCTAACCAAAGTGTATTAGTCTCAAACGTAATGCGAAACGAGGTAAGCCATACTGGGGTTCAAATCATATTGATCGGTCTCCTCGTTGATAAGAACCTTGGCCTTCACCAAAAGCGTCAGCACCTGAGTCAAGATGTCCTTGCTGATAGCCGTGGCAGTAATCAACTCCTCCAGTGATAACGTGTCATGTTTGTTATACTGCAGGAGAACGGACATTTGATAAGAACTGGTCATCAAGATGTACTTCTGATTGAGGTAGTTCGTCCTCAGCTCGTTTTTCGAGTAATTCCACAACCATGTTAGTTTGCGGCCGGAGTGCTTCGTCTGATAGTACTTGGAGAAGCGATCGTACGTAGGAAGAATTTCAGGAGGAATGATGAAATCGTTGTTCGGTGCGCTGAGCGGCCAGAAGTTCGTGCCGAGAACCATGATGGAGAAGTTGATGTCCATGTCTTCGTGATTCGCCATTCGCTCCTTGAACTGATCAGTTAGGTCTTTACTGAGACTCATGTCTAAAGAAAAAGATAAGCGGCCGCAAGGTGGTGTGTGGGGTATGGAACATACCGGTGAACATTCTCTGTAACTTGTTGGTGTACTCGAAACCACAAGCTTCCTTCAACTTGGAGATCATGCTCGCCTCGCTCTCGTCGGATGCAGATACGCCGTGAATCAGGCGCTTGGACAATTTGGTAGCATAGAACGTCTGGAACACGTCCTTGTCCTCGATGTACTTGAAAAGTACCATCTACATACACGAATGAGACATCAGTGAAAAACATCGAGTGAGGTACTTACCACGCGGTTCAGAGCACCTTCAAGGTCCTCCTCCTCAGCCATCTTGTTGTTTTTGCGAAGCAACATATCCGCGTGCTTCGCGAGTAATTCTGGCGACTTTGTCGTCGACGAACCCGTTGCAGAATTACGATTGACAAACTCTCTGCATGCCTTATCGAGCGACGCGACAAAGCCAGCTTCTCCCCTGAAGCTCCTCGTGACGGTGTCCGAGTTCTTGCGATGAACCTCAAGCAGTGCATCGACGTATGCCTTGGGATCCAACGAATCTGCACCCTCTGATCCTTCGCCCAAGAGTTTCGCAACAGCAGCCAGACCGGCCTTCTTCACATGTTCCTCAAATTTCTTTCTCAAAGGCTCCAGGCCTTCGGGTATGCGCGATAATAATGCATACATCCTCTGCAGGTCTTCGTCTTTGTCAAAATCGAGCAAGCTTTGGAAGCTCTCCCACATAAGGTCAGAGTGCTGACGGATCAGCACATGCTCGCACTTGCTGACGAGCTGTTTCCGTGTGTCAGTGTTAAGGTATCGGTCGACACGGTCCTCTTCCTCCTTCAGGCGCTCTTCGGCTTTTTTCAGATAGTCAGATACACTGCTCTCTGCCAGAAATGCCTCAGATTCCTGCTCGTAATACTTCTCTGTTGCGTCAAGGAACGGTGTCTCCAGGTGCTCCCTGTATACATCAAGCGATGCCTTGTTGATGTCTGACTCGTCAAGACCAAGCGAAACGAATGAGTCAACCACTTTTTTCACAAGACCTTGATCGATCGTCTCGCCATTTCTTTGACGCTCGATCAATCGGAGGATGGCACCAGCAAGCTTTGTGTGCTTGCTCTGGACATGGAGGAAGAAATTTGATTTCCATTGTACGAGCGCGAGCTGTGAGAGGTAATGTGTGTATGAGGATCAGTGTGACAGCGTGAAGAAAAGGGGTGACGCACGGTGTATACAGGATATACACCCTTCCGACCTTCATCCCTTTCTCGCTTCACCCAGTGGCGATTGAGGTACGTGAATAGTCGATTGATGTAGTTAGCACCTGTCGTGTATCTGTCCCATTCACTGGCGTAATATCGTAGGAGAGCTTCATCTTGGAGGGAATCGGATTGCTATAGGACGGATAAGAATTATGTTTGATCGCGCGTGATATCAGGGAAAGGGAGTCAACCTACATCCTTGAGAAGCTTGAGATGGGTGATGAAATACCGAATGAGATTGTTGTACAGATCCGAGCCCATCAGGTTAGCCCCTGCTGTTGAGGAGTCAGACTGTGGTCTTATCACTACAGGAAAGACATTGCTTCCAATGAGACTCACTTCGGCTTCCCTGACCAACAGTATCGGTAGTAGGTATTATGCATGCGCGAGGACGTGCAATAATTGTAAGCCACAGTGTAGAGGCTCATGTACTTGGAATATGAGACGCCAGTCTGGAGCTTGGTCATGATGTGGTCCACTCCCTCCTCAAGAAAAGCCCATGTTGTTGCAAGATCTGCACTCGCAGGTGGCATTGGATGAGAAACATTGGCGGACGTTGTTGTGGATGACATGATGATCGTTTGTGAAGGACAGCTGTCGTGACTTGTGAGTACGCACGCTGAGGCGCGGCTGTCACACTGGTGGCGCTACCTCGCGTGCTTCGCACAAATATTGTTTGCAACAGCTCACACAAAACAAAAAGAAAGTGAGACAGACGGTGGGTATTAGAATCGTAGTACGAAAATGAAAATTATGTTATTGCTAAATCTTCACTCCTGTGTGTATCGAGGCAATGCCTCCCCAGAGTTCTGTCCATGCGCCACCATCAAAATCACCTCCTGTGGAGAACCCTGCATCTCTGATCATCTGCGCAAAGTCGGGCTGGCTTGGGAATTTGCGTATAGATTCCACCAAATACTGGTATGAATTACGGTCACCAGCTAGAATGGTTCCAAGCAGTGGGATGACCGTGAATGAGTATTGGTCGTACAGTCTACAGACTAAATTAAAATGAGATAGTAATGAAATGAAAATTACTTACGTGCTCAGGAGCGGGTTATTAACCTTGCTGAATTCAAGACACGCGAAGGTAGCACCAGGCTTGAGAACGCGGTAAGCCTCGCTTAACACAGCGGGGACAGACGTGCAGTTGCGGATGCCAAATGCAATCGTGTAGAGGTCGTATGAATCGTTCTTGAACTGAGAAGCAGTCAGCTCTTGTGCATTTGCCTCATGGAATGAAACCTGAGGTGCTGACAGATGTCATGAAGTAGAGTATATGACAGGCACGGTAAGCTCACTATTGTGATACATTGTCTTTTTGAACCTCATGAATCCCTCCTTCAGCATCTGCGCGTTGATGTCCACGATGTCCACGGTCATCTCTCTGTCCGCATAGTTCTCCCTTGCATGATCCAAGATACGGAGAGCAATGTCGCCTGTTCCTCCTGCAACGTCTATACACCGAAGGGGACCTTTGCGACCTGGCTTGAGAGTATCTACAAAAGAGTCTTTCCACAGCCTGTGCACACCGAGAGAGCTTGCATCATTCATCAAGTCATACTTGGACGCAACAGAGTCGAAAACACCCTTCACGAGTGATTCCTTCGACTCCTCTGGAACTGTCCTGAAGCCAAACGAAGTCGTCCGGCCAGCAGGACCTGATGAACGAAGGATATGATGATTATGAATCGAGCGGCATGCTGACAGCTTGCGAGGTAGTCGTATTGACCTTGTTGCCTGCATAGCTCGAATGAACTTTTGGAGCAGACAACGCGTCCACTATAGGGATGGGAATATTACTGTAAGCGTCAATGTTTTGCTTGACTTGACTGACAGGCTGAACGTTGAACGTTGAACACTCCTGCGGACAACTCAAATGCTAAAGCCACGGTTATCTCTTTGGTTCACTCGTGGTTATGCTACTCGCATTGCAGAAAAGCCTCCAGCACGTTTTCCAGATCCATTACTGAATGCTCCCAACGTTGCTGTCAAAACACTCAAGGACGAGAACTTGACATTCATTCATCGACCTCCCCCAACAGTACCTTCACCTCATTCAACAACTTTAGCTCCTGCTTCTCCGTTGCTCAAGTCTCCGACACCATCTAATAAACATGCACCCATGCCACCTTTCTTGCGGCCTTCGGCTTACAATGCTGCCCCATTACGAATGTCTGATAAAGACATTGAGCAACTACGAAAGTTGAGGCTGTCTAATCCAGAAAAACACAGCCGTGCTCAACTTGCTAAACTGTTCAAATGCACGCCAAACTTTGTGTCCAAGATTGCCGCCCTCCCGAGGCCCAAACGGAAGGAGTTTGCAAGGAAGATGGAGGCGGAGCATGAGACTGTAAGGGAGCAGTGGGGAGAGAAGAAGGCTACCTTTGTTGCTATTAAGCAGAAACGCCGCGAGTTCTGGTGAGGTACGGAGCACCATGGCTACATCTTCTTGGTCCGTTTCTCAGGCCTCTAATGATTTGTGCACGACTGACTAGCACTGGCTTCATCAGCGTAACTAGAGTCGTAGCCTGTGTAGATGGATTTTGCCTGTTACGTTACCGACGCAATTGATCCTACTTTACTTCGCCGACGCGACAACCCGTTCCGTAATTTTCCGTCCTTCCGACTCTTGTCACTCTTTCCAAATCGGGAGCACGACTCACTATCGTTCCACTTCTCCCCATGGACCTGCATGGTCAAATGAGTCGATTTTCATGCCAACGCGCTAGCTCTGGTGTTTTCCCCGTGGTCCAATTACATTAATCCATCGTTTTTAATACTAGCCTGATGTAAAAATTTGCCGGACGGCGAAGGTACATATTTCCCCGAATTCTGTTCAAGCCCTTTTTATAGACTCTGAAGCCGTGGGGGGTCTTCACTCACAGCTTCGTGAACTTCCTCCTCTCGTACCACCTTGTACCGAGAACTTTGTTTCAATATCTGGATGCTGTGTCGTGCCACTTACTCTTCCTATAAAGCTACACTGGCTTCTGCGTTCAACCGCCCAGCACGTTCTCTCGCATTCCAATTTTCATACCATGGCGTCAACTCGTTTTCCTCCCCATTTTGCTCAAACTGATCACCGTCAGCGCTCTCTCAACCAAATGCGTTCCAAACAGCTTAGTCTTGAAAAATACATCTACCTAAATGGCCTCAAAGGGCGTGACTCTAATCTGTTCTATGACATTTTGCTTGAGAACATGCAAGTAAGCATACTCGTCGTCTCGTGTAAAACCGGGACTGAGGTGTTTTGAATTACTCAGGAAATGATTCCCATCTTGTATACACCAACTGTAAGGTGCTTCACCAGGTCGTGTGACCATACTTAAGAAGTGCTCTTCGAAGGTTGGAGAAGCTTGTGTCAACTACTCCCATATATGGAGGCGACCCGAGGGTCTTTATGTCTCCATTGAAGACAAGGGTCGCATTCGCGACGTTTTGGCCACCTGGCCAAATTTCAACGATGGTCGTATAGCTGTCGTTACCGATGGTAGGCTAGGTCGATGCTCCATGTTATGTATCTTCCTGATCAAACCATCAGGCTCTCGTATTCTCGGTTTGGGCGATCTTGGGGCAAACGGTCTGCCTATCAGTCTTGGCAAATTGTGAGTGTTTACGCTTTTCCAGAGAATTCTTCAACGAACATAAATATGCAGGGACCTCTACATCGCTGGTGCCGGCATCAAACCGACATCTACTGTAAGTCCATGCTTTTCATATTCACCTGCGCCCAATTGACTCTGGCCAGGTCCCGATTTGCCTGGATTTAGGTACCAATACACAACGTTACCTCGATGATCCTCTCTACATCGGCGTTCGCCGCCCACGCCCGTTGGCCGCGGAAGTAAGTCCCCTGCTATCATATGCACGTCCATATATTCACATGTGTATTGAAGATGGACGAATTCATGGACGAGTTCATGGAGGCCATGAAAGAAGTCTTCCCTACCCTACTAGTACAATTCGAAGACTTCTCAACGGACAACGCGTTCAAATACCTTGAACGGTACCGCCATCAATATCGTGTTTTCAATGATGATGTCAGTCGATCACATTCCAACTCTCACTCTGTTTTTATGTTGACCCCTGTGCAGATCCAAGGCACTGGATCCGTGATCTTGTCAGGTTTCACAAATGCCGCTCGTTTGTCTTCTGCCGCTTCCGGGCTGCCACCATCAGATCACAAAATCCTGTTCCTCGGAGCCGGTTCTGCAGGTATCGGTGTTGCCAAGCAATTATTGTCCTTCTTTACCTTGTCTGGCCTGAGTCCCGAAGAGGCAAGGTCTCGAATCTACGTGAGCTTAAACCACATTTGAAGGGCATTTGAATTTGTCACTTATTAAGCCGTTAGACTGTTGATTCAAAAGGTCTTATTACTGCCAACCGCAAAGGTCTTCAAGAGCACAAGAAGTGTATGAGGATGTCTTTGTGTTGCCTTCTACGAGCTAAACTGCAATTACAGTCTTCGCGCGCACTGATTACGATGGCCCCGCGCTCACTGACCTCGTTGACATCATCAATCACGTGAAGCCCACCGCCTTGCTCGGCCTGAGCACCATCAGAGTACGCCTTCCAGTAATGGTTGTGTTTTGCGTAACCTCACTTCGTTCTAGAATGCATTCACCGAGAAAGTTGTTAAGGCGATGTGTGCGTTGAACCCCCGTCCCATCATCTTTCCCTTGTCGAATCCCGTCGCGCTATGCGAACTGGACTACCAGGACGCCATCGAATGGTAAGTTAACAGAACCCCCGCAGTATAGTCGATGTTGATGATCCTCGCCTGTAAAGGTCCGATGGACAGGTCATCTTTGCGTCAGGCAGCCCGTACGAGCCCTTGTCTCATAATGGTGTCGTGTACGAGCCTGGCCAAGGAAACAACATGTACATCTTCCCCGGTATCGGCCTCGGCGCAATCCTCTCCCGAACTCGGCACGTATCAGATGCTATGGTCGAACAGGCAGCCATTGCACTTGCCAACTCCTTGACCGAGGAAGAGAAGGCGGCCGAGCTTGTATATCCTCGCCTTGCGCGCATCAGGGATATCAGCGCCCAGGTCGCATTTGCCGTTATCAGACAAGCCCAACAAGATGTAAGGAGGGAACGATACCCACGCCTGAGTAGAAATTCGATGCTGATTTTTATACTCCAGAAATTGGACGATAATGCTTATCTGCGTACACTCCCCGATTCCGATCTTTTGGGACTCATTCATGACAAGATGTGGCAGCCATCTGCGTTGCAGCTGCGTTCATTTACGCGACTTTAGTTACTCGGGGGGATGGAGTTAAGACAGAAGTCTGAGACTGTCAGGACGGGCGACGGAGAATGCGGGAGGGCGACGGAATGTTTCTATTCTTGGCTTTTGTCACTTGCATGCTATTGCTCTCCTTATGTCCCATTCATCGTCCTCCACCGGACAGTGTGTATGTATGTATTGTTAATTATTTGAATAGAAGGAACTAGAAGAATCGTTTGGATGACCGGTAGCATCTATGTAAGACGGTTAATGGGGTCTGACGGAGATCATGTATGATATGTGACTAGTGAGTACTGTTTCATCATACATCTATCCGATCGTTATGCATCTATCTGCTCATCAAGATGTGCCGGGGCGCTGCCTTCTTTTTGTCTCCAGTGCGCAATGCTGTAGCGGTGGTTAACACCCTTGAGCGCAGGTAGACATGCAGATCCACCGCATCCTCCCGTCCGTGGCATGGGGACAATGTAAAAAACCTCTTTGACGCGCGAATGCAGCAGTGCCATGCTGCACATGATGCATGGTTCGTGGGTTATGAAGAGCGTAAGCCCAGTTAGCAGGTAATTTACGCCGTTGCACGATGTGCCTGAGATTCCAAGGCTGCCGTTGGAAGAGGAAGTAGCGGGCTTCAGGGGGTCAGATAGAAGATCGGCGGGGGTCGTTTGTGCACGCCAATCAGCTACGTTTCGAATGATGTTCATTGCAGCATGGCGCAAAGGATGCCCAGTGGATATACGCGTGTCTTTGGCTGTAAATGACCGAGACAATAGAGCTTCGTCTTCGAAGGGCTTAGGCACGTATGCAACGACCGGAAGCTGAGAGACTGTGAGTATACCTTCTCATCCGAGACTTCCGACTAACCAACCTCGTCACTTGACGCTGTCTCAGCAGTATTTCGTAAAATGTGATTGATGGCATCACGAGCCCATTGAACTTTAGCAATAGACCATTTCTCTGGTTCCCATTTCCGCCGTGGTGCGTATACAGTAGGCCACAACGTATTTTTTAAGATAAGTGCCGTTTGTGTTAAAGCGGGATTGCAGGGGACAGAAATCTGATAGGGATCTCCGATATCAATGTTCGTAGGAAGTACAGGAACAGAGGACGAGACACTAAGCAGGAGCGTGGAGATACTGTCTCTTTTCCTGATGCGTTTGAGATGTGATAGAGTATCGCTCTCGAGGCCCGACTGTTTCAGCCATCTAGTAGCTTTGAGCGTTGGTTGGGGACATCAGAGCGAATAACCTCACTTTAACATTGTCGCTATGTATTTCGAGTTCGAGATGTCAACCGCCCAGGCTTGCACTAAATGGTGTGGTGAGTCACGCTCTCAAATTTCAGAAGGTACATTGGGAGGAACATACTTGTCCTGATATCTTCCATCGACTCCTCTTCTTCATCTATTTGAAGCTTGTTTGATGTCGTGACTGTAAACGGAAGAGTAGCCATAGGCCATATCACGTGCTCAAATTCAATCTTGCTCCTGACACGTACATCTTAAACGGCGCGTCAGTCACGGTGGAGAGCTTTATCAACAAGAACATTGATATTATACTGGAGTTTCGGCGGGCAACCCATGGCGCCTCCACTATCCCCCAGGCCACTTCCTAGCATTTTGCTCATATCCCTAATACCAATTGCTTCATGGTTTGTTGTTCGTCCTCTGCTAGACCCTGTCCCTCCATTGCCAGCCCTATGGGCATCTGTTGGGTTCTCTATATTCGCGTTTGTTGCTGCGCTTTACTTGGTTCCTGCACTTGGACCAACATTCGTGAAAGCCAACTTGAAAGGGAAGGATCTTTTGAAGGTCTACTCCGATCCTATGTTCGTGTCATTAAACGAGTGCGAGGTCGAAGGCTGACCTGTATATCAAGACCAGAGAGTCAAGGCCTCGTCTGCGCGTCCATATATATTCTGCTATTAATCCTATTTATTCCTTTCCCATTCTCAACTTCCATCGCAAGCCTTTCCGGCGGAGGAAGCAAGATCGAAGGCTTGCTGGGCGCTGCGTCTCTACATCATGAGGTAAGTGCCCCCTCAGTGTTAAAAAGAATCTTTGTGTAACCAGCAGTCAAGCTATCTGTATATCTGTCATCATTGCTATCGCTCTTGATGGCAACTGTGTTGGGGTTCCTCGACGATGTGTTCGATATTCGATGGAGGCATAAACTGCCTATCCCGCTTATTGCTGCCATACCGCTCTTGATGGTCTACTATGCGGAAGGAGGGAATACTCATGTAGTTGTACCCATTCCTCTTCGGCCATTCCTTGGCCTTGTCGTTAATCTAGGTTTGTGATTTTCATTGTATCATCGCTTGTGATGCCTCAACACATCTTCAGGTCCCCTATATTATCTTTATATGTCACTCCTCTCGACATTCACCACTAATAGCATCAATATTCTTGCTGGGATCAATGGCTCCGAAGTCAGCCAAGCATTGATCATTGCAATCTCAGTTATCATCAACGATCTTTTATACATGCCCTGGCCATTTGACTTCCGTATACCCATGCACCTTCTCGGTAATCAAATAGAAGTCGAAATTGGTGGCGCTTGGCAGGCAGGAATGGCCTACGGAAGTAGCGAACTTGTTGATAGACATCTTTTCAGTCTGTACTTCATGCTTCCTCTCGTAGGTGTATGTCTTGGATTTATGTACCATAACTGGTGGGTTCGAATGACCCAGTCCTCGAATTGCTATTTCTCATTGCCCATAGGTATCCTGCACGTGCATTCCCTGGAGACACGCTCTGTTATGCTACTGGAATGGCCTTTTCCGTGGTCGGAATACAGGCACACTTCTCCAAGACTCTACTCCTGTTCTTTATTCCTCAGATTTTCAACTTTTTGCTCTCATGCCCACAGCTCTTCGGTATCGTGCCGTGTCCTCGGCATCGCGTTCCAAGGTTGTACCATAATTTCTGAGATACAGTCCGTCATTGACCAACTTATGATATTATCTTAGATTCGTTGCCGACACCAATTTGTTGCATCCCTCAAAAGCCGTCTTTGATAAACGGCCTCCTACGAGGCTCGCGTCTCTTACTCTTCATATATTCGCTACACTCGGTTTCACAGAGCTGACTGTGGACCCAACAAATGAAGTTGTCCTTGAAGCCACCAATCTGACGATCCTCAATTTCTTTCTCTTGCGTCTGGGTCCTATGAACGAGAAGAAGCTCGTCCAGGTACTTATGTGTACTCAGGTGTGCCGGTCTAGCATACTGCTGTTCGCCAAATTACTGACACTGGCTGGCATCTCCTTCTTGAATCCTTTCCTAACAGATCGCGGGCAGTGTTCTTGCTTTTACTATACGCTACGGTTTAGCTGGCCTTGTCTATGATGGCGACAGGCGGTGATTGTACATATATTGTCATGGGGCGCGCCTTATAATGGGTCGCGTGCCTGCCCCTGGATACGACGGCTTTGCGTTGGCACCAACAGCCTGCGCTCATCACGATCAGTGACACGTGCGGAGATCCGCTGTCGTGAGAGAACCGAACTGAGTCGGACTGTACATGTAGAATGTAGAGGAGTGAGCGCTTGAGCTTGAGCGCTTGAGCTTGAGCGCTTGAGCTTGAGCGCTTGAGCAGCTGGTGCAGTGTTGGGCAAGAATAACTATTTGGAACTAACGAAGATGCGGCCACCTCGGGGTCTTAAATCTCACCGAATACCCTACTGGGCGTAGCTTTGAGCAGGTCTCCCGCTGAAAATCCGTATAACGCCGCCTGCATGCTCCGTGTTTCCGGACATAGAGCGTAATCACGAGCCTCTCATCGTTATTATCGGCTTGTGATCTGTATCAAGATGTATGAGCTCTGACACTACTAGTTTATTTTTCTTCGCTTGTTTCAAATGAACGAGTGGGGCGGAATCACATGTCTCAGTCATGCCTCGCCGCTGAGCTTTACTGACCACTTAATAGATTCTTCCCTCCCCATTTCAATATCCTATTCCTGCCACTTCCCGTATTGTTATGGCCAATACTGAACGCTCCGCTTTCCAGACTGAGGTCGCTGAGGTCGAACGGTGGTTCCAGGTGAGCCCCTAAACTCCAATCACTCAGTTGCAGTATTGAGCAATGCCGATCATAAAGAGCCCACGTTTTGCCAGAGTGAAGCGGCCATATACCGCTGCTCAGGTCGTCGCGAAACGGGGTAGCATCCCAATCAAGTATCCTTCCGAGATTCAAGGAAAGAAGCTCTTCGCCCTGCTCTCCGAGCACGCCAAGAATGGTACACCTTCACACACATACGGAGCGTAAGTGACCTCCGTACAACTACTGTGTGACGGTATTGATAGAAGGTGCATAGCCTAGACCCCGTACAGGTTACCCAGATGGCCAAGTACCTCGAGACAGTTTATGTTTCTGGTTGGCAATCCTCCAGCACGGCTTCGTCTACCAATGAACCCGGCCCCGATCTTGCAGGTACGCACTTTCCTTCTGCGATGACGTAGTTTACCTAACTGGCTTCCAGATTACCCCTCGAATACGGTTCCTAACAAGGTTGAGCACCTATTCATGGCACAGCTCTTCCATGACCGTAAGCAATACGAAGCTCGCTCGAATATGTCTGAGGCAGAGCTTGCGGCGACACCGTCCATCGACTATCTTCGTCCAATCGTTGCCGATGCTGATACCGGACATGGCGGACTCACTGCAATTATGAAGCTTACAAAGATGTTCGTCGAAAAAGGTGCGGCTGGTGTTCATGTCGAGGACCAAGCACCTGGGACAAAGAAATGCTGGCCACATGGCGGGCAAGGTTCTCGTGCCGATATCTGAGCACATCAACCGCCTTGTTGCCATCCGACTTCAATATGACATCATGGGTGTAGAGAACTTGGTCATTGCACGGACTGATTCGGAAGCCGCTACCCTGATTACCTCAAACATTGATGAGCGCGACCACCCTTTATTTTCGGCTCCACAAACCCGGATCTCCCCCCTCTTGTGAATGTTATGACCGACGCCGAGAATGCCGGAAAGTCCTGGTGATGATTTGCAAGCGATTGAGGACGCTTGGACTGCGTCTGCAAACTTTGCAGTTGTTCTCCGAGACCTTGGCTAATGCCCTGACTGCACAAGGTGCATCAAAGGCTACCGCTGATCGATTCATCTCCCGTGTTATGCACTCGTCATTCCCTCAAGCAGTAGCCATCGCACAGAGAGAATTTGGTCTCAAGTCTGTACCCTACTGGAACTGGGATACACCTCGGACCCGGGAAGGGTTCTATCGCTACCAAGGTGGCACCCAGTGTGCGATTAAACGGTCTATTGAGTATGCACCATACGCCGATGCCCTTTGGATGGAAACAAAGAAACCGATCTTGGCTCAAGCCCAAGAGTTCGCTCGTGGAGTCCATGCTGCACGCCCAGGTCACTGGTTGGCGTACAACCTCAGCCCTTCCTTCAACTGGGAGGCCGCTGGCTTGAATAGTCAGGATATGAAAGGTTTTGTCTGGGAGCTAGGTAAACTCGGCTTCGTCTGGCAATTTATTACGGTCAGTACTTGACAAATTACCTACTAACAATCAAACTGACTGGATCTTACCTGTCAGCTCGGCGGCTTGCACTCTAATGCGTACATAAGCGACCTCTTTGCTCGCTCATATGCGAAGGAAGGTATGAAAGCGTACGTGGAGATTGTCCAGAGCAAAGAGCGGGAGATTGGCTGCGATGTCTTGACGCATCAAAAGGTTTGCTACTACGACCTCATGCACGCGCCCTGAAGCTAATACTTGAATAGTGGAGTGGTGCCGATTACGCCGATAATCTCATAAAGACCGTCACCGGTGGTGTATCGTCCACAGCAGCCATGGGCAAGGGTGTCACAGAGGACCAGTTCAAGGCCAAACTATGATCTACGGCACTCATGGTCATCTTAAATTGATCGTAGAACACATTCTATCTTCCCAGCATTACAAAGTATACAAATACATCAGGATTAACATTTGTATTTCAAGTCGTGGTCCGGGACCCTTATGAGTCCACGGCTGTAGTTTTATCTTTTTTTTCCCCAGTAAAATACTGGATTATGCACATCTTATCGGCAGTTGCCGACCGCTCCATGATGTCGAATGCCGCAGCTTCAAGTTCGATGTACAATTGAAAGCCAAACCTACGCGGCGCGTCAGAAGAACCGAATATCGTGATGAGTTCTGAAGATCGTGTACAAGTGGCTGCTTCCTTCATCCTTCAATCACCCCCAGGAGAGATTAATGACGTCTTAAATGGTGCCCAGCATTTAGTACCTTGTCTTCTCCGCGCAACGCTGACTTCTGGTCCATTTTCCTGCAGATGTTCGCGTCATCGTAGATGATGACGCGGGATTAGAGGAAGGCATCCTTCCTGCCCTTCGGGAATACAATATCGCGCAGTTCACAACAGTCGAAGTGCCAGGCGAACACCATCAAGTCAGTATCTAACTCAACGCGTCGGGATGCCGTTATTCAATGGATCTTGTCCTAGACAATAATTAGCGAATTTGCGCGTGTACCCGACACCGAAGAGGAACGCTATCTAGACCCACGATCTAAAATTTCTTTTGTTTTCAACCACTTGACTCTAGTGAGTCCTCACGTTCAGTCACGAGCGGTGGTCACCGATGGTGTTAGTAGGAAGCCACAGATCCTCAGTCGGAGGAGCCTTCGGAAGTTGAGCCTCAGCGGTCAGTGGATTCATTGTCATGCATTGATGCCCATTGGATTAATCAGAGATCAGTGCTGCGTTGGACTCTGCTGCTTTGTCGTACTTGAACTCACACTACCACGATGGAGTTGTCACTGTGCTAGCCATGTCGACCACCCGATTCACAATCCAGATCGTCTCCAATAAATACAACCCATCAAACTACTGGTTCGTTCATTACCACAATTCACATTTGTCGAACTAAATCATCTCTGCAGGGCTGGTAGATGGCGCTCGCACTACGAGATAGACTTTGAGAGTAGGACCATACAGGGAAGAGTCCTCGTGAATGTTCACTACTATGAACAGGGCAATGTAAGATTTCGCAGGATACAGATTCATCGGTCTGACGTTTGGTATAGGTCCAACTCAGTACATCGAATGACTCGTCAATATCAATACCGGCTGCTGTGTCATCACTATCTCCTGCGTCATCAGCATCCAAAATATTTGCATTGATCGAGGCTGAAGAGTCGCGATGCCAGGCATCCCTGAATGATGCATATCATGAGATGGGAGAGAAGACGTTCAAAGGGTTGAGGCGCGCCTTGCCTCTGACGCGACAGAAGATAGACTGGGATAAGGTGAGTTCCTTGTTATGACGGTCATCATCCCGACTGAATTTACCTAGACTATGGGATACAAATTGGGCGCTGAACTTACTGCTAGCAATCGTGCCTTTGGCGCCCAACCTCGATAGTGGTCATCAGCAATTGACTTGCGTCGCTTGGTTCCAAGGGACACCTCTTGGTTTTCACTTATGTAGTTGTATCCTGTAGAAATGAAAAACCATTTCACTGAAATGACCTATATAAGCACCTAACTTGCAATTCGGCAAACGTTTTAGCGCATATGACAGCTCACCCGCACATAGATCTCTATGGCGTACCTTGTAATCTTGGTGTTATGCTAATCGGTATCGGCTTGCCCGAGAGCTCAGCTGGGATGATTCCGACATGTTAGATGGAAATGACAGGTGGCATATACCATTTTCAAGCTTACACCAATAAATACAAGATCTATACCACAAACTCCATGCAAGTAAGTGGTACGAGATACTAAGCAATTAACGGCACAGGGCAGACATCATAGACATTGTTTGTCAGGCTTCCGGTATTGCCTCCCGCTGCCCGATCAACCTTGCGAATACCTCGGATGCAACACTCATATAACATGTGAGAGATGTAAGGCAATGAAATGAGGGTTGAACGTTGGGTGATGACTCGTTCAGGGCCAGCGTGATTCCAGAATATGACAGTTTTGCCGAGAAAGTCCGGGTGTATCCACTACTTGTCGTCAACCATCTTTACTCGTTAGTGACTCGTGGAGTGCTGATCAATACGAGGCATTGTGAGGACGAAAGCCTGCAAGCTCACCTCCATCCGTCAAAGTATACTTTCAGCTTATCGAAGGTAGCGTGGACATCATAGCAGAGATCCATGCCGTTGGAAGAACTGTCTGCGAGCCTTTCATATTCTTCCAATAGTATTTACCGACATTCTTGAGTAGTGACGAATGATATCCCACGTTATAGCTGAAGCATGTATCTGCGTAATCCAACTTGAGTAGACATGCTGACCCGGCAGAGAAATCCGTATCCAGGATGACACGTTTCAGGATGTGAGTGCGCGGTATGCAAGGTTGTCAAACCTCAATGGGCATGTATATTTTTCGTCCTACATGCCACTGAGGCGCTGTCTCGCCGATTGACCCATTAGAAATTCAAATCACTCCACTTTTTTTACCAATGAAAACAGTTTCAAACCCACTGTCACGTCGTCGAAAAATGGCAGTTGTATCACTGATCAAGATGTCGTCAAAAGTCGGCCTGGCCAGTGGCTTGGCTGGGTATTGGGTCTGATGATTGATAAGATCCAGCTGTGACTACAAAGGGGGATATCGTGTTGGTGTACGAAACAGATTTTGGCTTCGAAATTTCGGCTTACATGGCCATAGCAGGAACATGAACAAAGCCCCGGCGAGGTCGGCTTGCGGGTAGATCTGCAGATATGCATGTGGAAATAGCGCAGGCGGTATCACGCTCGGAGCTTTCGCCACCCATTTCGGGGGTGTTCCTTAGCATCGTGTCTAGAACCCTTGACACGTCCAAATCTTGCACGCTTTTGTGGAGTTCTGATTCACTTCTTCCTCGTTGCTGGTTGCTCTATCTTGTCGAGCCCGCATGAGTTGCAGTGGATATCTGAGCGTTTTGCATGGCTTCAAGTCGTGAAGTCACCTGTGTTTCGTGAATGAGCCATTTGACATGATGTGAGGTAGCAAGCGAGTGCTCCGAAAAGTACTGTAAGGCGAGTATTAAATCGCAGGCTTTGTTGCCAGTTAGTGGCTCTTGGGTGGCTCCGAACAAGTTGGCTCATTGTATTCAATAGTGTGGGGAAAAGAAGTACTTATGTAAATAAAAGCTTGATTGAATTTGACCCAGTTACGTTCATACTTTACTGCATAACAAGGCTCAAGCGCTTATGTCTTGCCACCGTTGTTCACAGTCCACCAGCACACCCGCCAACTTTCTTCTACGGTGCAGGAGCTGCAGCAAATACTGGCATCATAGTAAGTGATCAGTCGCATGTGAAGACGGACCATCTAATAAGAACCACACCCATCATTTTGTTTGTTACTAGGATGTCACCCCCCTCCCCTCGAAAGCGATGAACTCCTTAAACTCATCCGCTCCCAAAACGCAGGCGACCGCGAGAATGGCCTCGATAGTTGGAAATGCAAACGTTGTAAGAAGAATCAAGCGGCTCAAATCATTGGCAAAACTGCAGTTCAATCGCTGAAACCGAGACCGGACGACAACCAACAGCCACAGCCCTCCTTTCAGGCGCAAACATCGCTGGGACTTTCACTTTCAAAGGACAAGAGCAAAACAGACCCGAAGGTTGTAACTCGCGTCGGTAGGCCAGCGAGACCTAGCATCGAGGCAACCACCCATATACTCCATACTGCCGAACGGACACTACACAACGACCGCGGTAGCCAGCACCAACAACAGCAGGGTAATCATACAGGTAGTCAGATGAGAAGTTTAGGTGCTGAAAAACTACGCTCCGTAATTTTGCGCCCTGATCGCCTATGTTTTCCAGATAGCAATAAACTTCCGACAACTACAGTTGAAAGCCTCCAAGTGAAACGTGTGCTTCAAGTGGAGCACCTTGATGGTCCCAAAGCGGACCGTAACTACTCCAATAAGATGGAGCTCTGTCCAGATCAGCCTGCTGTGCCTCTCAAGTACGCCCGTGCTCCAGATGGAAAGAAGGTCGTCTCGTCCGGACATCCACCAAGATTGGAGCAGCTTGAAGATGTCAAATATGTAAATCCTTCACGCATAAAAAAACGTACAGCAAAAAAAGAAGATACGCCTCTCTCTCGTTCTGTTACTTTGTTCTCCGAAAGGGTTTTTTCTCCATTTACTTCACTTCCTGTTCAAGACGAGGAACATATTCACTATGATTCGGTGGTGAAGAGTCCTCGGGGCAATGGGCAAGAAGTCGGTATTCATACAGATGCTCCTTCAAGACCCCCTGTTGGACATGGCGACATCCAAATGAAGGATGTCAATGATGATGCCCACGAACCTCCTGTCCCACAGTTTAGTGGTTCCACTCTCGCTTCATCCAGTTCGAGAACAGTCTAGCGAGCAGCAAGGAGGCAGTTCTGTGACACAAGAAGGTCACCAGATCATCCAACAAGGAGTTGTTCAATTGCATCATCAACTCGAAGGCCAGAGCAGCCTTAAGGTTGGTCTTAAGTTTAGAGTGCAACCAGTTCTGTCCTGACGTGATTCAACAGCAAATACCGAAGGCAGAGGCAGAACCTTTGCTAGGCCCGGATTGGTTGAAAGCTCGATACTCGGTTGCCAATGATTCATGGCGCTCTTTTTGCGATCCACAGCGCCAAATGTATGGTACCAGCAGACGCAAGAAACTTACAACTAGATTTCTTGGTGATCCGGTACAATCGCTGGCGACAACAAATAGAGAACCACTCTGGTTTTTTTCCTGTCACGATTGGATCCAGCAGACACAAGCCCGTTCATGTTTGGAAACCAGATAATTGACACATCTTCAATACTAGTAACATGAGTAACTTAAAACAATTTCATATACGTCGTTCTTGTACACGGTTATACTAATGGTCTATAATATTCACTTGGCTACCGCTGTCATGTCCCGCTGCTGCAAGATATTGTTTACTTCTTCCCATAGCTTGCGATAATACCGACCTTTAGGTAATGTGTCTAAAGGATACTGCCACGCACTGATTCTCCTCAGCCGGGGAAAGATATCAGACAGGGCACATGCGACATCTTGTGGATTGGCCAACCTCGAATCTCCCAAGCTAAGGCGAGTCACTGCCAAATTACGTGTCAGAGCTCCCTGCCGTGAGGACTGGGACGTTATGGGACAGGGTGAGAGGGCATTTAAGACTATCGCAATCTGATAGAGCCTCGGGCACAGAGCGCACAACTGATTGGAGACCGCGGACAGTGATCGATAATTTAGGTTCAGAAGCGGACGGATGCCAGCCACGCCTATCATTGAGACAAAAGACCTCAAGTTCTGGCCAGGAGCTTGCCATCACTGTAAGATCCGAGTCACTCAGAGAAAATGACAGGCACACGCCCAGATCAAAAACTCGTAGTTTGGTGAAAGCGAAAAGTGGCTTGAATACATCCACCGTGATGATCTTTGAGTTGGGAAGAAGCTGGGAGACTGCGAGTATAGCATTTGAAAGGCTGTCGCGTACTTCAATAGAACGCATCGTGCTGCATTCTTTGTCGCATTGACTGGAATAAAGTGTGCTAAAACACTCTGTTAAGGAAGCAGAAGTCGGTGCTTCAGAGATGTCGAAGACAACTGAGTGCAGAGGCCTGCATCCAGGTTCTACAAAGGATGTGATAATTGGCATACTATATGCACGAAGATGTAGATTGCGCAGACTGCAGAACCACGAGCTAGCAGCACAATCCCTCGCTGTCCTGGAACTATGAGGCGCTAAGCTTCCGTGGTCGCTTGATACCCACGAAGGGATGCCCAAGCTTAAAGTCGTGAGTGACTTGAGTTGAGATAGGCGCAGAAGATCTGCTTCGCTGATGGTCGATGCCTTGCATTCTAAGGCAGTGAGACGAGGCAGCTGACAAATGGTCTGAACGGCAGAGGGACCCTCGTCTTCCGATGAAGATATGACAGAATGCTTGCTTATTGACACGCTGTGAAGGTTGGGGCAGAGTTCGGGCAGTAAGGTTAGGAAGGGAAAGTCGGGAGGTTTGTGGAAAGAGAAATCCAGCTCGAGGGATTCTAGAGTAGGACTTAGGAATAGTCGGATATATACATAACGTGATTGATCAGTGTCAGTCCACGATAGTCGACGGAGGTTGGGAATCAACGAGGTCGCGATGCGCATCATGCTTAATAATCGCAATCGTTCTGTAAAGGCGACTTGGGAATGGGTATCTGAAAATGCCAGAGGGGGACACGATAATTTACGGACACGAGACGCAGCTCCTTGGAAGGACGCGCATGGTATTGATGTACGCGAGTCCTTCAGGTCGAGTCAGTTATCACGGTGTCTATGATTCAATTATTCACGCACATTGGATATGATTGGTTTCATATATTGGAGCAAGGGCCTCACGTCCGGCAAGTCTGACCATAAGAAGTCCAACGCCAGAGGTGATAGGAAATGACATGTCCGAGCGAGAGCGTTGAGCTGGCTACATGAGGCGTCTGCTTCTCGCACCGCAGCAAGTATGTTCAGCACGATTTCGTTAACTAGCAATGCATGATGCATGGTAGATATGGGAGGGAAGGTGCGAGTATGGCTCCTGAGGCGCCGAGCGAGAGTGACAAATATAATAGATGAGAGATCACCCCCGATTAATTGCCTTACGCAAAGATAGGCGCTTGTTCGTGGAGGCGATGATGTTACCGAGGGTGATAAGACTTGGGTGAAACAAAAAGCTTTTGTACTGAAAGGATTCTATGATTCATGCCATGAGACTGTTCGGCATGGGAAGTCGTGAGAAGTAGAAGGCTGGGATGATGCTTCATTGGCGGAGCTACCGTGGAACTATTGTCTTGCCGTCCAAGACGTGCAGGGACATAAGCCGTGTGGCAAAGCTTGGAATTCAATGTTGCCGAAACCCGGTGCTATCACCCACTACATTTCCCTCATCCGAGGGACATCCGTGAATGACTCCTTCTTAATTATTTCATACATGCCTAAGGCAGAAGATATCGTATGAGTGTTCTCAAATGAATGCGACGAAACCCTGACCTGAAACGGCTGACTTTTAAACACAAGTCTAGAAATGATTATAGCGCTGGCTGCCATCCTTTTGTGTTCTCCATTAATGTGAACCAAATATATCGCACCCCCAAGAACAGGAGATCGCGTTATCGCATACTAGTAGACATGGGGATATTTGTGTGACAGCGTTGAGATCCCAGTGGGCCAATGCTCTCTGCAGAAGGAAGTTCCCAGAAGAGTCTGTTGCTACGTTTCCGAGTCGGAACTTGGAGATTTTGACTCGAGTGAAGTATGAGGTCGGGAACTGGGCCTGATAGCATTCGACTAGATGAAAATGACTCACTACTATGTTTACCGCCGTAAGAAGTGCAGTGCAGCGTCCTGCCATAGGTGCGGATCATGAGCTATCTCCCCCTGATTCGGGAAGCGCATCAACGGCACAAGTACTAAATGGCAAATGGCGGTGATCCGAAAAGATTTTTTGAAGAATTTCTGGACCTGCATCTGAAGTTTAGGATGCAGCCGAGCAGAGTTTACATACAGCTGCATGATTTTACCTTGAAAATAGAGACCGAGATCCCAAGCTGCGGCCACTGACTCAGATATGTACCGCCCTGCTGCGAAAGGTTGATCGTACCGGACAAAATGCTGTTGGGAGCGAGCGGTGCGTGGCAATCAAAGCGGCTTGTGCTACCGAACTAGGACAGCATCAAAATTCTGATCCTATGAAAATATACGTGATTTATATGGTGAATTGACAGTTGTTCACATACCAAACAGCACGGTCAAATCTGAGTTTGAGGCTATTGCGGAGGCACCAACTCTTGTCACTTACAAGTTGAGCAAAGCCGAAATGAAGCGAAAACCAGCGCGGCACGGAGGCAATAATATTATGTTGATGTTTCGGGTCCCATAACGTGAAGTAAGGTTAACATGTAATACTTATACACTAGCGGGGAATCATATGGTTTCCTTGAGGCAATGTACCAATCTAGATCCTAGTACGTCAAGAGCCTCATGAACAAAGGTTGATAGCAGACTCGCCGGATGATGATTTGGAGGCACAGTTTATTTTTTTTTGAGCGTGCGGGGCTGCCAAGTAAGGTTCCGCGGAGAGTGAAACATGAACAGCCGAATGACTTGCGGACACTCTGCCGTGAAGTGAAGGAAAGCGAGTGCATCGACAATGTTAGCGCCGACGGAGCAACAACAGAGAATCCACAACAGACCTCGATATCGACTCAGTTTGCCGACACTACCCCAGTTGGTTAGTCGTGAACAATCACAGTGAGGCCGAATTTACAGTCCGCTCGGTAGACGTATGTAAGAGTATGCATTGAGAATTAGATAATAGGGAGCAGCTCACACGGAACAGGCTCATCAAATTCAATGTCCGACATCGGCAGTGGCGGCAGTGGTATCCGATTAACGAATTTACTTGGAATATGATAGTAGAATGTGCTTGATCAGTCAAGTAGCTCAAGTGGTACAAAATCGAGTGCTGTAGACGAAAATCATACATTCACGAATAGACCAATAGTAAACTAGCTGCCACTCAACTCTAGAATAGTTCATTTCTCATCGCTTATCATTTTAAACGGCAAAGAAATCAACTGGGTTCTAACTTTTAAGTACTAGTACTGTACTGACTTGTGACCCCTCGCGGCGGCACGCGACCCCCCACTTCTCCTTTGCCTTCATGACATGACGATCGTCGACGAGAATGATCTTATTCGCTTGCTCAACAGTATCCAAGAACTTTCTGACGAGATTACGCAGAACCGCTCTGTATCATTTTCACTCCATGCCTCAGCTGGTGCTATAAAGGTTTTGCCTCCTTTTAGTAAAGTCACAAACTCTCGATTGATATAGAACCTTAGACTCAAGCGGCACATGCCCAGACAGGGTTCGTCCTTCGTAGGTGGGAACATGAATGTCGAGCGGTATCTGTAGACTGGACTGACCATGCCGCAGGTTCAACCTCGACAAGGTTCAAGGTTTGTCCTACTCATTGCTGATCTATTTTACTGGACTAATGAACGCAGACGTGTACGATGGAGAACTAGAGCGCATGAACGCCTCTCTTGCAGCTGAGAATCAGACGCTGCAACACGACAACAAACAACTTGGTGCGCTTATTCGAGAGTACGAGCAGACGCTTGAAAGCGTAATGAGTGCATTCCGCACAAGAGCTGTACGTGTATATATTCACGTCATGGCAGTTCTTTGATAACCGACAAAATATGACCTCTTTCTTCCCTTGCCTCGATCCGCCGCCCTATGTACATGTGTTACCCGCGGTAATTAATCTGCAGCGTGACGTCCAAGATCACGAACTCGCTCTCATTCGCGAGTACGAATCCAAGCTTATTGCCAGGGAATCGGAAGACCTTCTCCGTGCACTGTCGGCTAGCACTGCTCAATCCGCGGCCCTCGGGCGGATATCGAAGACGCTTCGCCATTTCATGCGCGTACTGAATGGCGAGGATGCCGAAGTTGCTGATACTCCTTCGCCTGAAGCAAAGCAAGGCGATGCGGAGGAATTTGATTTCGAAGAAAAGAAGGATTGGTCTCTTGAGAGGGATTGTGAGCTCGCACGGTTGGAACGAGAGAATTCTGTATTGCGGAGAATGCTGAGGATGGAGGTATATGAAGTCGAGGCTGACACTAAATGGAATGTTACAGATTATGCAGTAGACAACTCACGCCTGTTCGGATCACGTCCTGGATCAAGCAAGCATCCTCCTCAGCCTCTGCAACCACAGAAGAAAACACTAGGTGGTCCGCCAGGCACAGTGGGACCGTACGGAACGTACAAGAAGGGCAAATCAGGCTGAACAGAGCGTGAGGCTTTTCTCTCATTAACTGGATATCTGTTGACAATCGCTTCTTCAGTCTATCCACTTTCTTCGTTTTATTATTTGTGGACTCTTATACATTCATACTGTGATGCAATGGCAGGATGCTCTCAATTCTTCGATATGTCTTTACGCAAGAGCTATATCGAGCCGGATGACACGAACAGTTCATCGTACGAGCAGTGGGGTATTTGAAATTTTGTGTGCAGCTCAAACTTGGCCCGAACCTTACTAAATCTCACTCGGTGATATTCGTCAGAACTGGTTTCTCGCTATCATATTTCTGCTATGCAGCTCCAAAACAGAAGAGAGATCGAATCGGTTATGCCGTGATTGCCAATAGGCTGGGGCAGTCGTAATTACCTGAGTGCCATTAAATTTATGTGAGCATAGAAGGACAAATATAAAATACATCCATTCATTTGGTAGGACTCATAAGGCACGAGTAGGCATCTTGAGTGCCAGAGCTGATCCAATGCTGGCAGGTGGGCTAGGAGCACAGGAACCAGCTATCCGTCCATGGCCACCATGCTTCACTGGGCAACCTCGAGATCCATGGCCACAACCAGTTGCAACTCCTGCCATGATGCGCCGTGGGCAGTGTTCTGCCGGTCAGTGTACGTTTATCAAAGTTAACGTACGTTCAGCCGCGAACTTTCCCATGAATGCAAGTGAACTGAACTTGTGCAGTGCCAGATGTCCTGCTTGAATATCAGATAATCATATCTGATTGGACGATGAAGCAGGTTCAAAGTGCCGCAGTACACGGTGCGTCAACAATCGCAGAATGGATAGTACTCGACTACTACTACTATAACATCTGGTAGCACTGCTCATTTATCTACTCGTCAAGAACATCATCAACTTGAGGAAAGTCTGGATCATCAATTCCCTCGGCATCTAAGTCAAGAAGCTCATATAACTCAAGCTCAGCATCCAAACCTCAATAGCGACTTTATAAAAAGATCCCAACCATTCCTCCGCACGAGAATAGTTGACTAAGTCACTGATAGCAATGCGGGAGAATGAACCACTGGCACCGGCAGCACCAATGGGGACTGAGTGCATTGATTCTGTGGTGGAAATCTCCTCCTGAACAGCTCGGATAAGGTCTGCTGCAACATCACTTATCCCTCGCCTCTCGAAAGCGAGGCTGCGTGGTTCCCGTTTGCTGCTTTCTCCTGATAGATTGTCGCCAACTGCATGAACTACTTGAGTAGGCTCTGCTTTGCCAGTGGCCTCGGTGTCACAGTACCGGCATTGAAGCCACTTCTTGACCACATCGTTGCGTACATGCTCTTTGTGAACATACATCTTGAGTTCTGCCAGAAGGGTGAGTGTCTCAGTTGAGAGCCAATTGCGCCATTTTGTATTCCAGCCGTGCTTGCGAACGGACATCCTCAGAGTGCAATGCACAATCATGCAAGTGACATAATAGTGTTGTTGGCCGACTGATTAACCAGGTGCGTTGAGGATCATTCGGGCCACTAGCCCAAACTAGTACATTAAGTTAGTAACAGAAAGCTATAAAACAAACTTGCATACGAGTGCCTGCTATTGCCACTTCGTCCCTTGGTGCATCTCGCTGGCCCAAGTGTACCTGATGCTCATCCATTGCCTGCTCATGTGCAACACATTGCTCATAGAGCCTTGCACACACTACCTTTGCCTTTCCACCGACCATCGAAGCTGGGTCTTTGACAGCATAACCTGGGTGCTCCACAAAGTGATCCCACCACCATGCTTGGTTTGATCTCTTGCCGATCTTCATGGTGTGTCAAAAGTCGGGAGTCCATCTTCAAGTTCTAAGCCTTAAAACGTACCCTTGAACCGAACACACGAAAACCATGCGTTTATGTGAGTAATGATATGTGAAGCGGCACGAGGATAATCAAAGATTCTAGCATTGACCAGATATAGTATAGTTCATTACAGTAGGACCAGGAAACTCCTGAAAGTCGTGTTCAGATGAACGTCGACGAAGTTCGCCAGCTTTCCCATGCAATCCGGTCAATGACCGTGAACTTGGTTCACTGACTGGCAGAACACTGGCTGTGGGACACAGTGAGGAGCCTATCTCTAGTATTGATGATTCTACTGGTAAGTTCAATCATTGCGGACCATCGGAGTCCAAAGCTGCCATGTAGTGCCGATTTTTTTCAAAAATTTGATATTTCATGTGGCCACTCTGAGACCCATTAATGACACAATAAAAATCTTCTCAAGGATGTAGACTAGTTAGCATGATATACACTGGGAGAAGAAGAACAGTCCACGCACCACTTGCCTTATTGAGTGGTGCAAAATCAACCAAGATGCTTGACTGAAAATATTCTTTGATTCTGCCAAGGATGCAAAGGAGGAAGGGCGCACATGTCAGCAAATGACCACCCAGAAGAACACCTATATGCAGCAGCTTGCAGCAGCTGTTTTCACAGCTGATGAAGATCCAAAAGTCAGGGAATATTTTCAAGCATGCCCTCTCGCTTTTGTGAAGCCCATTCAAGGCCAATTTACATCGTGAGTTTCTGCCAGTGTTCTTATGTCTGTCAGTGCCAACCAGGCTACTAACAAGGTGTTTTAGGCTACACAAGAAGTATAATGAGATCAATCTACAACTTGGTCAGACTGGTGCTGGACTGTCATTTGAGGAGCTCAATGAGAATGAGAAAACAAGGATTCTTCTTGGTCAGTAAACTCTTTCTCTCTGGGTATACACTCTAACAATTTTGTAGACTGCCTCTTGCAGACATTCCCATGGTGGGTTGATCTCCATGGGTGGTGGAGAACAAATCCCACCTATGTATGATATGTCATTTTCAACCGCTGACCCAGGCCAGGATTTCAAAGCTGAGGCATTGGATGTCTTCGGCAAAGGGAAAGGGAAAGAGAAAGAGATGGTCCTGGATGATGCAGATTGCGAGGATGATGAAGGAGAAGATGCAGGTCCTCTCAATGAGGACCTTGAGCCAGGTGAAATTTTGGATAGTGAGGCCTCTAAGGATGATGATCCTAGGTTGTACATGTTCCATGGTGATGAAGATCTAGGCTGGGATAGCCTAAGTGATACCTCTGGCTCTCCATCTTTGAGCTTCCCTTGCCCTCCACTTCCCCCAACACCATCATCTGGTTCTTTGTCCCATTTTCAACCATCTGACCTTCCTATCATTCACCACTACCAACGCCCACCCATCACCTGTCTCAACACAAATGTTCCCAATGAGATCTTCCTTAACTCACCTGAAGCAGTGGATAGGCCCAAATATTTGTTGTAATCTGCCAATACCACTGGCAGCAAAGCCAGAGCTGTGTCTGTGCAGATGGATACCTCTGAGGACTCTGACGTGGCTGCAGGCCACATGATGAAATCACTTACCATGCATTCATGCAAAACTAGCCTTGGCACTCATACTTCTGGCAGTCACATATCATCTGATCAAGACTCAGATCAATCACCAATTACATCTCATAAATGATAAGTATCTCACAAATAGCCACAAGACCCAACAACTGAGCTCACTATGAAGCTGAATGAGGCGTCAGATACACTTGTTTGACACATATGTAAGGCATCCACAGTCAAGGCTGACCACAAACACCTCAAGCTAGAGACCCACTTAGCAAGCAGAGAGCTGAAGATGCACAAATCTCATGCTGAGTGTGAACATGGACTACGGAGCACAATAGCCATTCAAAACCATGAGCGTGTAATGGCAGATGAATGGATGAAGCAGCTGGAGTTGGAGATCAAGCTTGAGGAAGTGAGGTTACAACACTTGAAAATGGAAAGAGACTTGGCTCATCAGGGTCCTGGTGCTGAAAATCCCAACTAGTTGTTTGATGCTCATTCCGCTTTCGTTTCTCTTCCCTTGCTGTTATCAATTTAGCTCGCAGGTTCTTTACTGCATTCTAGGCTTGTTTTTCATTCAAACATTGTGATGTATGCTAGAAAAATTCAATGTGTATTGGTTGCATCTGCCACACCTTCCTCGCATCACTCATTTCATCCGCCACACTTTCCTTGTGTCACTCATTTCATCCACCGCACTTTCCTTGCGTTGCGGTCCTTGGGTAAATTTACTGAAGTACATATCCATGACTTGTCACTATTGATATTGCAGTAACTGGCCCATTAGTGTGTTTTGAAAAATCTGTCTGTCAGACCCAATAAAACCTTCATCCCCAGCTCCTTCTTCGGCATCATACCCATCCTCCTCTTTCCTGTCCTGCACTCTATGACTCCACTGCCCTGCTTCCTGGGCAAAATGATCAAATGTACCAGTACTGCCAAGCTGTTCCTCAATGTTGATGATCATATTATGCAGAATAAAGCAGCAACATGTCCACATGTTCACTTCATCAAGGTCTTTTTGTGCCTGTATTTGAACTTGAAGTTCACGAAGGGATTGAAATCGGCCTTCCAAAGAACCATAGCAATGCTCGGAGTGAACACAGACCTGCAGATGTTGAGTTGACAGTTGTGACTTGAGAATGGTTTGTACTACTACCTTTGACAGGTGATAATTAAATGTTTTTTGATTGTGTGTCAATCTACCAGCAGCTGGTCAGTTGAAAGGTACAACACATCATAGGCGAGCACCATAGGCTGAATCTGCCCAGATCCACTTGTTTCCCCCCAAAACGTTTGCAGATGGTGTGCAATTCGAGCTTTTGCAAACACATTTGAGTCATGCACACTCCCAGGGACTCTGATCACATAATTGACAATATGCAGGTTGTGGGGCATGATTACAGCCTTTGGAAAATGTTGGTTTTATTTTCTCTGCTCTAACTCATGATGCACTTGGGCTGATAGTGAATAATTTGATTTACAGTCATAAAATCCCTTGCCATGCCACCCAGGCTTCTGAAACAGGTTGAATGGTGTGCCATCAACACTAAGAAATCCACCCCTCCACTCCAGACAAGTTTGTTCTTCAATCCAGTCCTTCGCTCTCTCTCGCTCATTTTGATCATTGTGATCAAGCGGATCAAAGTGTGTGACATCATCATGGTGCTGAAGGATAGCAACCATGACATGACAGTGACAATTGTATACTGTCCTGACTGAGACACTGGCCCAATCTGCAATATCTTCTGTTGTTGCAGCATTTCCGTAGTGGCTGACACTATTCAAGAATACAGTAAGCTGTATAGGGACTGGTAATTGAGGGTTGTGTGAGTTGTTATAGAATATAGGATGATTGATGATTTTATTGACAATCTCCATGAAAACAGAGAGATTGACATGAAGTTTACAACAGAACTTCTTGGGTTTATCTAGTGCCTACTCCTCAAGAAGATGTAGCTGTGGGGCACAGCTAGATTTTGGTTGCACGAAGAGGACCTGGGACTTTTCCACTTCATCAGCTAAGGCTTGAACTGTATTACTAAATTCAATGAAGGGACATGAGGACGTCAGCATCTCCATTGCACTTGTAGATGTTGCAAATGAGAAAACCGACTCACTAAGTGAGGATTCTGATGATGTGGACATGCAATCAGAACCAGAATCATCACTACTATCATCCAAGTCTTCAAGTCCTTCCATGGTGAGTTTGATGAGTTCAAAGTAGCGAGCATATTGGAGATTGAGCTGCTTGGCATGCAGTGCCTGCAAGATCTGTCGTCGAGCTGATGTGTGAGGCATGATGCATGCATATGATAGCGATCTTTGCAGTACTTATCTTATCATATTGATCATATTCTGGCGGAGCTTGAATACCTTTGAATTTTCTTTTGGTTGGATGTTTCTAAAGGTTCATAAATTTAACTTTGAGACCCACTATTGATGTGCCTCTGACTTACAAGAGGAGAGCTTTGTTTTGATGATCAAGTGTCCAAGTGCCTCAACTTTCAAGTAAGATAGGTGTCACTCTTATCCACCACCCCTTACATAATCAGATTGAGAGCCTTACTATTGCTCAAATTATAGACACATAGATTCATTTCTGATATAACTGGATCCTAGGAATTTAATAGTAGTATAGCTTGAATTGCTAGGAAGCAGAAATAAAAAATCTTCAAAACTGGAGGTCCAAAAAAGTTTTGTCTTATTATGTCAGAAAGTAATTTATAAAGGCTATGGGGTGCAAGGGAATAATTTTCAAGTTTCGGCACACCAACATTTGGCCGCTTATATAATGCATCACATGACATATACCTAGGCAGGACTGTTTTTTTTGAAGGCACCAAAAACCAGTGATATTACCTACATAAAGTATCTCAAAATGTCACCTTGAAAAGTATGTCACTTCCTGTGGCCACATTTGCAATTTCTATCAAAAATTTCATTGAATAATACTGGGGCGTGGCAAAATTTTGATGATATTACCAAATGAGTCAGTACACATGTGATATGGACACAATGGAGAGAAATATCATTGAATGCCTTGATGATTAGTACCATTACTTCAAATTCATGCACAATATAGTGTTTCTACATGTACTAATCACACATTTGTTCTGCAGTCTCTCGATCTCAATGGTTTAAAATTTTTCCATTGAAGATTTTGCTGTTTTTAGGGTTAGGGTTGTGATTATATAAGGGGTGGTGGATAAGAGTGACACCTATCTTAGTTCTATTCAAGTGTATCTGCACTTAAGTTAACATTCAGGAGTATTAATACTACTTGGCTATTGTAGAAGGCTAGTGATGCATCCTTGTCATTTATCCCCTTATGAACATTTATGACTTCAGTAGTAGTGCACTCCTGCAATTGCATCAGTAAATTGCTTGAACTTCCTTTTTTGCAACTTGCCACCAGGCAATTCCCAAAAAGGAGTGGAACAGTTAGTGTTTAAAAGTCCAGTTGCTGGACTGCAAAAAGACTGGCAACTGGACTGGACCGCAGGTTTAGTTGCCTCCCATCAGTCCAAAAATGAAAAACTGATGAAAACCGGTTGCAATTGGTCTTTTGTAACCCTAAACATATCCTATATATTACTGTATGATAGTGCTAATTGAGGTGCATTTATCACTGGTTTAAGGTTTCATCCTGATACAGAGATGTGTAATGGCTACTCAGGAGAGCAGCCTAGGGAATTCCTTCCTAGGCCTGAGATGGATATTGACTAAGTTGGAGAACTAGAACTTGATATGAGGACTTAGTGTGAAGACTAGTGTGAGGACTAATATGATATTCAGACTAAGGAAATACAGGAGTATCTACTGGGGTTTATATACTAGAGGCAAGTCTGTGCAGATCAGTAAGCAGAGGGGTAAGGCTATGTACGAGCATGTGGAAATATATTAGAAAATAAGACAGATCATAGGAAATGAACTTGGAGATGAAAGTCATACAAGGATCAATAAGCAAAATGGAAACAGAGATAACCAAAGACCAGAGATAGGTGATTACCATAAGGGGATGAGTGCTGATTCAAGGCTTGGGTTTGGATATGAAGCATAGGTCAGATCCGGAGATCCGGAGATCTGGATATTAGATGCAAGAGTACAGAGATCCAGATGGATAGAGGATTAGGTCTGGAGACATGGACAGGGGGTCCAGAGGTCCGGATGAGGTATGGGAACATCATCAGATGTAGGTCCAGAATGCAGAATATGACAGTATCCCCCTTTTAAGGCTGAGCCCTCGAGGCTGAAGACTCAGGAAGTCCAGAACAGAGATTGTTGGTATATGGCAAAGGACAATGATGGACGGATTCCGGAGGATTGATTCCTATGAGCTAAAAATTTCTGGAGATCTCAGGAATGTTCCTGATACACGCATGGTTCATTATTATGCCTAGTACTTCATCCAAAAACAGAATGTCATAGACAGTGATGAAGAATGGCAATGGGATGTGAAGACAAAATGGGTTTCCAGAGCGGAAGACTGGAACACTTTGATGATAATTCCAAAGGTGACTGGAAGTCCACAAAAAGTGTGGGAAAGTTGGAGGAAGCTCACAGAGTGGAGGACATCATGTCAGGATAGTGGAAATGCAGCAAGTGTAGGATAAGAGGGCAAGAGTGGATGTGGAAATGCAGGTCTCTTTTTGATATAACAGAGGAGTTCTGTGAGACATATCTACCTCCATGAAGCAGAGCTTGTACTGAGGTGTAGCTAAGGATAAGTGCATCATCCTAATTGTGGAAATTAGCCCCTATGACTGGAAAATGATTGGAGATGTAATCACATGATGACAGATGAACTTCTGGAGTGCAGGAAGTGAGGAAGGAGTGTTATGAGGCATGATTTCTTTTGTCTGAAGGTCTGGGGTTGAATGGATTTCAATCTGTGACATGTACTATCACTCGAGCCAGAAGTGTGTCAGAGGAATCTGCTAGATATGACTGTGTGCTTCTGGAAATTGGCCCCTAAGACCAGAAATGTTCCAGAGCATGGATTGCACACTATGAAAGGTCATGGATGGAGTTTCTAGGTGCACTGAAAAGTCATTGCAAATAGCAGCATTTTGCATCTGGTGCGAGGTTTCTGATAAATGTATATGGTAGATGGAAATCCTTATGATGGGACAGATGGATCTGAATGATCCAGAGTAGGGCTATGGCGTAGGAACCAACAGGATTTGGACGGAAGGATGTTGATAGCGGAGGAATGGGTCAGAAACATGGAGATCAGAAACACAAAGGGTCAAAAACATAGGGTCAGAAATGCAGAGGAAGGATGGGAGTGCAGAGAGTATGTCTTTCTGGAATATTCAGTATCCATTGGTACAGCTGCTAGAGCAAAAGGATAGCTAGTGTATAGGCTCATAAAGGACAGAGTGAGCTGTTTGATGGGCCGGAGATTGTGTGGATTGACAACATCTGCAAAGACATGATTTTCTGATGAAACTCCAGAAAACATCTGAACTATGGTAAGTTACATGGAATGAAACACAAATCAAGAAAACACAAAGCAAGTCATAAACCTATATGAGCTACATGTCCGTATGATTCCTTCATTTATCCATGGTCAAGCTACACTCCTCAGCCCTGAGCTTTTCAGTCCAAAACCACTCCACTGACAGAATTTATTGCAGATATGCTCCTTCTCGAATTTGCTCACACTAACCTTAATATTACCATCCCCAAACATGTCCTTGCCTCTGTTAACTGTGCTAGAATTCTAAGTTGAGCAAGATTTGAATGAGACACAGGGGGAAACATACGGGTGAGTCAGAACTTGGGGGTCTGTCAAAAGTTCAGAGTTGCCTGTCAACAATAATCATGCTCTCATTAACTCACTGATTGACCAGAAGAAATGTACGCACCCTGATAGTCTGAAATAAAAGCAAGACTGCCAGTTTTAACATATTAGATGTGTTGTGTGCATGCCAGGAACTTGGCTATTTCATAGCCAGGTTTGTCTGGGTCAAGCATTGGTTGACAGTCCATGTTATGAATATACTTCAGGAAGTTGCTGCTAATCAACTCTTCAACGAGGTAGCCATACTGAGGGATGTTCACCTTTGATTTTTGATGAGATGTAGTAGGTGGTGGTTGTACATATGACACAGCTAGACCAGCATCAACAAAGCACAAGTGAGGGATATCAAAAGGTGGTGGTTCAGATGAACAGTAAAGGCAGTGGTCAATGAAATCATATGCGAATTGAAGAAGTGACCCAGCCCAGTACAGTACATTTGCCTCTCTGAAAAGCTTCACCATCTCATCCTTTATAGCATATCATCCAATCGTAAAATTGCCAGGTGCATTGCTGCTGCCTGGGGGGTAGTTCTTGTAAAATGGGTGTTTGACTGCCACATTTTGCTGTGGGCATGAACCAAGTTCAGTCTCTAACATGGTTGGATATGCTGAGAAAAGTATCAGCCAGCCAGGGTGCGCCATTTTAAAACCTCCTGCTCCTATCATCTTTATTAAAGATGTTTTGACAGAAAGCATGCCAGCCTGGCTTGACTCAGGATCAAGTTCAAATGTGCGATGCTGTTTGTCTTTCAGGATGTCAGAGAGCACATGGTTTTTGATGGGAAAAAACTGAATTGTTTTGTTAATGAGAGTGAGTACTATAACTGGAATCAGCACTGACATAGTTAGTGATAAATAAATTTACCTTGTTGGACATCTAAGTCAGCAGTGCCTCCAAACTGCAATGCCTCCCTAGGATGTTCATGGTGTAGATGAGGAATCTTGACTATAGGTGAAAACACTTAAAACTAATGGGTGCTCTACAGCAAGACCAGGATATGAGACAATGACTCGACCCAAAGGACAACCACTGAGAAAAGTTCCTCAGTAATAAAATGGAGGGAAACTCTATGAGCTAGGTGGACACTAGCAGGCGTGAGAAGATAATGTGCACGAAGGTGCGCGAGATGCGCGCATGAGCAAGAGGTTCGAGGGGCGCGCGCACGTTAGCGAAGGCACGTTCTGAGTGATAAGGGAAAGTTTCTTTAAGGACTAGTAGAGGTGCAAGTGATAGTCAATGGAAGGTATAATTAAATTTTGAGCAAGGAGCAGGACTATACACTTGTGCAGTATACTGAGATAAGGGGAAAGATCCTACCAGAACCAAAAGAATCCTTCCTCTATTTAAGAAGGGAGATTATGCTATGCGGCACGCTTCGGAGCACACTCTCAAACCAAGTAACCATATCAACTCTAAATATAAACTAAGTTTGAACAGACTTTCTATATGCAAGCGTGGACATTGGACCAAAGGATTTGTTAGTTCAATGAAGAGGTAAGAATAACACACCAGCAAATCAGCAAGGACATGGGACGAATGGACAGACAGTAAGAGCGTGAAGGCCTAAAGGGATGCACGTACATAGGGTGCGCACACGAGCGCATATGACTGATCCTTTAGATAGGAGCTGGAACATGTAGGAGGATTATATAGTTCATAAGGCTGTATATCTGGCATTGAGAGACGCGAGTCTCTACAATGGTCAGGAGATTTAAAGGCTGGTGCTGACTTCTTATGAGGAGGTGACGACAGGGGAGTGTCAGGAGTGCTGTCACGTTCAAATGTCCTTTTGAAGCTAGGGCCAGATGATACAGCAGCATCAGCAGCATTGGAAGACTCGGCTAGTGGGGGATTAAAGAGTGGTTGGTGAAATGATGTACTGCCAGACGAGGTGCTTGCAACAGTGCAAGTAACAGTGCAAGTGTGGATAGACTCGAAGACATCAGTGTGATCTTCCAAAGGAGGTACCATCGTGGATCTGGTATGAGGATGAAAATCTCAATTTTCCTAAGTATGAGTGAGTGGTGGTCCTGTTTCAGTAGGTAGATAAGGATGAACCCGAAGTTCTTCAATCTTTTCAAGCCATGACTCATACTCATCCCACTGAGCCATAGGCACGACAACTGACAGTTGAAACTGTTTGGTCTTGAATACCGAAATGCATGGGCCTTTAGTATGAGAAGGTTGGACACATTGTTTGTAGAAGTAAGTGAAATTTGGTGGATGAGTTGACAAATCCACCCATCCCCCATCATGAATGATAAATTCATCCTCGCGCCATGGAAATCCCAGTGCAAAAGCCGAAATCTTTGGCCTGACCATCTCAAGAGCCAGGGTGACGAGCCAGGGTGTATCAATCTGAGTATCAATATCCTTCTTGCCCTCACAGATGTTCTATGAACTCATTAGCTAGGGACATTCATTTATATGTATACATACCCCAAAGGAAACACTATGGCCGCCCTTCCTCTTGTTGCCACCTTCGTGAATGGCCGAAATCTCTAAGCTGATGGTCTCTGCAGAAGGAATGGAGTATGCCTGCTTAGCCCAGCACTCCCACTCTGCACCATACATGGTATGATGGGCTGAGTACCCTGGAAGGCCTAAAGAGTAAGCAGCAGGGCATGCATCATGACCATGGAGGCCTGAGCAAGATTGTTGGACATGTGCATCACCATGGTGCCAGCTAGAAGGGATGGTCACATTTGATCCTACCCTGTGTCTGAAAGATGTTGCAATAACAGGAGGTGGATGCATGGATGCTGGGAAATGTTAATGATAGAAGATGTGTGAGTGAAAGCAGAGACAGACATGATCTTTGTGCAGCATTGACCGATTGTTGGATTATGCGAGGGTCGGGAGCATGTTCACTTGTGGGTCTTACTCCGGTAGCGAGCTTCAGCTCATAGTGGCGGTTGCATGGCCTGCAGACAAAGCGACTGGCCTTCCCAGGAACCATGGTGGCAATATAAAGGCATGGATCACCTTTATGAATCTTGGTGGTGTAGGATGGGCGTTCACATGTGCAATCTTGGTCTGTGAAAGCATCTTCTGTAAATTGTATGATGAGTTCACTGGTAGACACCATTAGCAGAATTGAATTGATACTGTAAAAACTGCAGGACATACTCATGGCTTAAATACCGCAATGTCACCCTCAGAGATGGTAGGACATAGACTGACTGTATCCTGTGCATGGTGAGTGACTGTATTTTATATATGGTGAGTTGCAGCTCAACTCAGAGGAAATATACCGGAGTCATGATAATGATGTGGCTAAGGTCAGGGTTCAAGGTGCTATCTTTATAAAGTTCTTGACATATTACCTGCAGGATTAGGGTTGCTTGGACCTCTGTTCCCATTCTCTCCAGAGTCGTATTAGCACTGCTTAGACCTCTGTTCCCATTCTCTCCAGATGGGCTACTTTTAAGTACTAACCCAGATGTGAAAGGTAAGTCCTTATTAGACGCAGGCACTCCTTTCTTACCATCAAGCATATTCATACAGCCATGCATGGTCATGCTGCTGCCAGTCACACTATCATTGCCTCCTGATGCAACTCCCTGGTCCACATAGCAAGAAGACTTGACACCTCAAAATGTAATTACCATTGCTATCACCATGGGTGCCGGTCTGGTCAACAGCTGGTGAGTTACAGAGTTGCTTGTGCGGATAAGCATGCGCTGATTGTGTGGATGCGATCATACAGACAGGTATTTAACAGTGCACTGCAACCCATGATTAACTAACATTCCAAGTCACCGATGCCTAACCAATAGAAGCCCACTCGTATGCACTTATTTCCATTCAATGTGTCCAAACTGACAATAGGTTTAGCACCATTAGATGAGATCACGCCCCATATTCTCCATCTATGGAAGGCACATCAGAATGATGGGCAAATCATTCACACTTTGTGGGAGAAGCACATTGATACAGAGCATTATGGCATTGGGTATGTACAAGGCAACTGCTCACTATTATCATCTAATCTATATCTTTAGGCTCACCAAATTTAGAGAGATACAGGAGAGCATAGGCCTCTAATGTACTCATCAGCAAGGCCATATAATAGAGTCTATCTGTGATGCTATGATTAATATCAGCCAGATGTATCCGAAGGCTGGAATCCAAGAAGTGATCAGTCTTCTCTGTCATGAAAAGAGCATGAGTGTCTCAAGGTCATTTTTTTAGTTCTTTCACAGTTGTCAAGATCTAATTTATAGTTTAGGACTGTAGTCTCTTCGTACTTCACCATCTTCGAGCCTGAACTTGTACGTGAACGCAAGGCTAGGTGTCTCAAGAGGAGGCACTTCTGGGCTGCCAGTGTCAACAACTTATTCACTGTCAACCAACACAACAAATGGTTAAGGTTTGGTCTTAGTCTTCACACTGGGATTGAACTGTTTTCTGGATGTATTATGTGGATCTGTGTGTGGCATTCTAATAGAAACCCGCAGCTGATATTATCATACTACCTTGATACCGTCAAAGAACTTGGTTGTGAGTCATCATCATCCTACTACTCAAACACACCAGCTAATATTGTACCACTATAGACATGCCACTTATTACTCAGAGTGATTTAGGTACCAAAAATTTCGGTATTGCAAACACTCAAACTCTTCTCCACCAAAACTACAATCCTGACCTCCAAGGAACACTCCAGCACCACTGGATGTGTTCCAAAAAAAATGACATGCCAGAAATTATGTGGTCTCAGCTACGATGGACCGGGGGTCCCAAGGCATAGACCAAAGGAAGAGACATAGACAAGAGGCAGTTGGTCCTTCGGCGATAGCCATAGCTTAGTCAGCGACACGCGCACATAGCCAAACTCTGTTCATAGTGTAACACATCATCATGCATCATAGAGCTCTCCCCTCACTGCTTTCGTCCTAGTCCATCGTGGTGAACAGAGAGAATCCGAACCAGCGCGATATTGCATCACACACCTATCACACAAAAAAGCACGCAGAAGAAAGAAGCATTAGCTCGCGGTCTAGATTTTAGTCATAGAATAGAACATAGAAGCTCCCAAATAGAAGCTAACGAACCATTTACAGAAACATACAGTCTTATTACGTTGCAACTCACATCAAAAACAACACCAATTACAAAAAAGAGCAGTGTTCATCTTACTCGCATTTACGTTTATATTTGATGCCCAAAGCTAACAAATTGAGACCCAGAACAGCAAAAGGACAAGCGGTAACCAACGTTCGTTTAAAAACGAACTGGGAACTCTGGTCAGAAAAGACATCAGCAGCATCATCTCCTCTCGATACACCAGATCCATCAGGACACAACACACCAAGTCACTGTAGCACATCATCACTAAGCAGCCTCTCGGAAGAAGACGAACAGCAGAACAATCAAGTCCCCTTCCCAGAACTAGAAGTCCAAAAATTAGACATCTACATACCATCGTCCGAAGTCCAACAACCACGTCGTCGCACGAAGACAGAGCAGCTCACATCCATCTCCACAGTACCGAATTACAATCTAGCCGAATTCTTTGCACTCGCACAGTTAAAAGCCGTCATGCCTGTAGAGACCCCGCAGATATTTCACGGTGATGGAAGAGCATCAGAAAATCCGGCGGATTTCCTGAAATCCTTCAATCGAGCAATGCGTCAGCAGACAATAACAGACAGCACCGACAAATTAGACGCTTTTGGTGATTACCTCGGAACAAGTTCACAAGCAGAACGATGGTTCAAAGCGTTGCAGTCGAAAGACAAAGCGACATGGAATGCATTTGTGATAGCATTCGAGAAACGCTGGCCGCCAGTCCAGATAGCGGAAAAGACAAGAGCAGAGTACAAGAAAGAATTGTTAGAGCATATACTACGAGAAGAAGACGTAGGAAAGAAGAAGACGCTCTACGATAGAGAATGCTGGACGCACGTAGCATGGGCGATGAAGACGCTTCAACTCGCAACAGACGCAGGCATCGAACAGAGCACGTCGATGATATGGCAAGTCTGCAGTAAACTGCCGGACATCGTAAAGGATCTATTGAAAGACGAAGAATATACCAAGTGGGAGGAGTTCACGAAAGCGGTGACAGAGCTCAAGGGAAGTCGGCTTGTAGAGAAACAAGAACAATACCTCAAGCAATCACACGAGCTCAAAGCGCTACGCGCAGACCTAGCTCGAGTCCAGACACGAGCACCGCAGCAAAACCCAATTGCAGCATTACAAAGTCAATTCAATAGAATGTCGATTAACCCCACGACACCGCCAACGCTTCCGACAGCGAACAACACATATAACCGGGTACCAGCAGCAACCAATCGTCAGAACGCACAACCAATGTATAATCGGCAACCGGCCACAACGCAACAGCCGTTAGTAGTAACAGAGGAGATGAAAACAATGGTCAGGCAGTTAGTCCAAACGATGCCGCAACACCCGGATAGCGCAGCAGGAAAAGCAGCATATAGAGCGCAGCTCGCACAGTGGAACACGAGATGGGGAGAGAACGCGAGAGTCACACAAGAGACAGGATACCCACTAAAGCCGGGCACGGCAGCCATCGCATCCAGCGAATGCTTCGCGTGTGGGACACATGGACACAACGGACGGGATTGCCCGTTACCGCCGAACCACGAAGAGAGGCTAACGCGCAAAGAAGCAGCGTGGAGAGCAATTGTGAGCAAGACGCTGGGCGCATACAACAGAGCAACGGCCACACCGATATCACTAGTCATGAGTAACGGCTACGAGGAGACACAGTTAGAAGCGTGGATTGAAGAGATTCCCGAACAACAGGGAAAAGCGGACGGGTCGACGTAAAAAAGAACATTACGTCGACCCAAAGTCTCAAACACATTCAAGCCGGAGTCGAAGTCCTTGCATGCGAAGAGGCAACATGCGAGGACAACTCTAGGACCATTAGCCCCAAAGTTTCTGCTGAGCGCGTAGCTAAGGATATCGCATGTACTACCGAACTTCACGACGCAATCGAAACCGATGACTTGTATTCGGTTGGACACCCGGTCGTCACAAAAACTCAGTTAAAAAATGGAGAGGCAGTTCCGTTTGCTCACCGAATAGAGCTAGAAGGTCCACAAGGAGAAAGAGTCAGAGTACGAGCGATATTCGATGACGGCGCAATGACCAGTGCAATGTGCACGTCGATCTTCGAGAAGATCAAGCACAGATTGGGAAACTGGAGCGCATCAGACAAACGATTAAAGATGGCAAATGGAAATATAGTCAAAGCAATCGCAAAGTGGACGGGAATGATTAGGATTGAAGAAGTCGGAGTGCGGAGCACGTTTGAAGTCTTTGACAGTGGCGGAAGCTGGGGCTTCTTACTAGGAAAACCGACACTTCAAACATTAGCAGCAATTCACGAATACGAAACGGACACAATCGTGATAACCGACGGAATCAAAACAGTCGCAATAGAAAACCAGATAGCGGACAAGCGGATGTTACAGAGAGCAGATGCAGTCAGTCTCACGCTAGACGAGAAACAACAAAGGACGTTAGAAAACAAAACAAAACCATCAAACATCCCAATGGGCCAATGGAAGCCGACAGGATACTGGATCAGAAAGAAGAGAGAGAGCGCGTCAAAAGAAAGAACAGCAGAAAAAGAGAATAACACATCAAAGGGAGTGACAGCGGCCAGAGTATCGAGAGAACAATCAAGCACTGACACACATAATCTAACAGAAGAAACAACGAGCATCAACATATTAAACGCACAAGAAGGACCAGACGAAGGAGGAGAGCAACTATTAGAAGAACTTCCAGAGTTAGAACCGATGAGGAACGACGCGTCAATATACTCAAGACAAACGAATCCATTTAATCCGGCAAGAGTCAAAGAAATTCTCCGACAGATCACGTTCAGGAACGACCTGACAGTAGACGAGAAAAAGGAGTTAGAACAGTTTATAGCGGAAAACGCAGACAGTTTTGCACTAACGCTAAGAGAAGTAGTCCCTATTCCTGGAGCAGCGCTGAATTTAAACGTTCCAGATAACGCAATATTCAACCTACGGATACATCAACGCCCTTTAACGCCCGAACAAGCGAAGTTTTACAATGAGCGAGTAACGGACATGTTGGAAGCAGGTATAGTAGAGAGAGCATCCCCAGAACTGATTCGATGTGTAGCAACCACGGTTATAGCGCAAAGAGCACACGAAACGGGCGGTCTACCATGGGACGAGCTAAAGCAACGAATCAACGACCAACATAGAGCAGCGGGACTACAACCAGCCTATGAGTTACCGCCACGAGAGATACAGAATCCTACCTTAGAAGAAACAAGAGAAAAAGGACCGAAAAAATGGAGGATCTGTCAGAATTTCGCGCAGCTTAACAAAATAACGGAAGTAGTCCCAATGCCGCAGGGGGATATATTAGCAAAACAACAGAGGTTAAGTGGTCAACGTTACATCTCAATTTTTGACTTCGCAGCAGGGTATTATGCGATAGAAGTGCCGGAGAAGTGGCGTCCATATTTAGCGTTCTACATCGAAGGAAGAGGGTACTTTCAATATCGACGAATGCCGATGGGAATTACAGGAGCACCGACAGCGTTCTGCGATACATTAGCAGAAAGGCTACACGATTTCCTAGTGACGCACTATATGGAATTGTTCATGGACGACGGAGGATGCGCGACAGGTACGTTTAGAGAAATGATGGATAAGCTAACAGTTTTGTTCCAACGTTTTCGAGAATGTCGATTTTCAATAGCTCCGAGCAAGACAAAGCTTTGCATGTCAGAGACCGAGTTCGCAGGAGGAACGATAGGAAGAGAAGGAGTGAAACCAGATCTAACAAAGCTGACAGCCATTGTAGACTGGCGACAACCCGAAGACGCACAGAACTTAGCCTCGTTTTTAGGACTAACAGGATTCTACAGAACGTTAATCAATGCATACGCGAAAAGAGAAGGCCCACTAAGAGATTTACTACTGCAAGCACCCATAGACAGCACAATGTCCAAAACAGCGTATCGACGAGCCATGAGCGGCTTCAAGTTAAGTACTATTTGGACGCAGGAACATACTAAAGCATTTTTAGATCTAAAAACGGCGATTACATCAAGACCAGTATTACACGCACCAAGATACGATGGGTCGCACTTCATAGTGACATCGGACGGATGTATAGAAGGCTTCACAGCGGTCCTAGCACAGAGAATCAAGACGCGAACATCAGCAGGGAAATGGGTCGAACGTCTATATCCTCTAGGCTTCGCATCAAAACGGACATCAGCGACAGAAAAGAAGTACAAATCGTACTTACTAGAATTCGCAGCGCTCAAATTCGGGTTGGATAAATTCTCGAGCATCATCTGGGGATTTCCGGTCGAGATTGAAACAGACTGCAGGGCGATGAGAGACACGCTGCTGAATCCGCATCTGAACGTAGTACACGCAAGATGGAGAGAGGGAATATTAGCGTATCATATAGTGGACATAAGGCACGTACCAGGAAAGCTGAATGTCGTTGCTGATGGCCTTAGCAGAAAATGGGAAAACACCGCTCCAGTAGCAGGAGACGGAAACGAGTGGACGGTAAGCGAAGACTGGGAAGCAAGGATAGGACTAATTAACGACATCATGAACGTTACGACGGTGGACGCACAAGTAGACAAGCTTCGCACACGATTCGAGAACGAGCCAGTATTCAAGGAAGTCGTAGAAGCTATATGTAACCTAGATCAAGCCACGGAGATCAGAGAGAAACGGCAAGCAAGACACAGAGCAGAACAGTACGTTATAGAAGAAGGGAGGCTCTGGAAGCTACGAGGTGGCACAACGACGAGAGCCAGGACAAGAGTAGAATGTGTCTCGAGAGGAGAAGCCAAGGTACTAGCAGCACAAGAGCATGCAGAAGGAGGCCACTGGGGACGAGATGCGATCAAAATCGCATTACTGGACCAAATATGCAGCCCCAAGCTAGACGCGTCAATCCTAGATGCCATCAAAGACTGCGCAAAATGCAAGAACTTCGGACCGACGCACATAAATTCGCTGTAGAGAATTATGCCTCTCATGGCGTGATATGGTGCTTTACACTAGGAAGTACATAGCACGAACTTGTAGCGTCACTCTGTGCACTACCCACAGCTATCTCTATATGACGCGCAGCTTTCCCGCGCAACGCGCGCCATGCGCGCACCATTCCCGCGCTTCGCGATGTATACGCGCGCGCGCGCGTTCCCGCGCTTGCGCGCCCTATGGCGCCAGCCATCCAGAAGCATCCATCCACTGTCCACCAAGCTCCCTAGTGCGTATATTTCCATTTCCTTTATTAGCATAGTTCCACCTTTATTTTTATCATGCATTCTCACTCATATATATATTTACATACCTACTCCGTAGCGCTTCGGCTCCGCTTGACCGCGCTTAGGCGCGCTATATAAGCGCCAGCAGTACATACTATTACTTACCTTACTTTTTCCCTTTAACTTACTAGTTATCACCCACTATTTACTTAGCAGTACATAGTAGAACTCCATTTTGTCTACACTTTGCATCTCTCTTTTCTTATATTGCATCATATTATCACTTAAGCTTAGTCTCTCTTATTACCGCTTACGCGCGCGCGCTTTCCCGCGCCTTCGTACCTTGCGCGCACCTGCGCTTTCTCGCGCTTCGCGTTGCCGCGCATACCTCTAGATCTTTGCTGTACTCACCTCCCCTTTAGGGTCGAACGCACTTGTCTCCTCAAGCAACGCAGACTAGGCAACGCGCGACCTTACAACTTTTACAGATACAGTCAGGAGCATCTTTTGTTCCTCATTGTATTGTTGTTTCTACATCGCTACTAGAGCCAATAACCAGGCGGCACCCATTCGAACTGTTAGTTGGAGACTATCTCACCCTCCCGAAAGGGAAAGGAGGATACAATACGCTCGGCGTGTACTTGGACACGTTTTCGCAGCATATCTGGGTGTTTAAATATAAAACATCAGGTAGTGCAAAAACGACGATTGAAGGACTCAAGAACATCTTCAACGCATTCACAACACCGGAAACATTCATGGCGGACGGTGGCAAGCACTTCAACAACGAAGCAGTGAAGGACTTCTGCGAATCGAAGAAATGCAAAGTACACATTGTAGCGGCGTACTCCCCGTGGATCAATGGCCTTGTAGAAGGAACAAATAAGCTTTTACTACACGTTTTAAAACGCTTATGCGCACCAAGTTTAGGAGAAGATCAAAGTCAAGGACAAAAAACGACAGAAAGCGGCTTGACACAATCGTGGCCAGACCATCTGGAGGATGCGGTGCACGCTCTTAACTATCGATTATTGCCAGCGCTGAAATTTTCTCCAAAGGAACTTCTTTTAGGATTAGTAGTCAACACACCGAAGACGAATGTAGAAGAAAGCGCGTCAGCGACACGCACTTCAGACCCACTAACTCAAATAGCATACGTCGAACAACAACGGTTGGACGGATACGATGAAGTAGTGCGACATGCGATCAAGAGGAAGGCAGCATTTGATAAAAAGTTGCTACAACGAGCGCCAGGTGAGGTTATATTTCGAATCGGACAACTAGTTCAAGTATATCGCAATGATTTAGATTATACGTTCAAAGCGGAACGAAAGCTCATACCAAAATGGTCAATCCCAAGGCGTATACGAGAGAAGATCCTAAACTCGTACAAGCTTGAAGCGCTGAACGGAATCCCAGTTCAAGGAGAGTTTAGTGCAAGACGACTCAGAGCATTCACCCCGAGAACGGGAACGAAGTTAGCAAGAGAACAAGAAGAGCATGAACGCAGAATCAGAGAGAGAGGAGACGACGACACGGAAGCAGATACAGAAGATAGAACGGAGAAAGAATCAGAGAAACAGAAGGGACATGAAGAAGAAGAGAACGACCAGACAAGAGACGAAGCGGATGAAGAAGAGAACGAATAGGACAATAGAAGTGATAGTAGGAAGAACGCCAAGGACGGCGTTGGTTGTTTTTTAGGGGGGGTGCATGGACCGGGGGTCCCAAGGCATAGACCAAAGGAAGAGACATAGACAAGAGGCAGTTGGTCCTTCGGCGATAGCCATAGCTTAGTCAGCGACACGCGCACATAGCCAAACTCTGTTCATAGTGTAACACATCATCACGCATCATAGAGCTCTCCCCTCACTGCTTTCGTCCTAGTCCAACGACACCAATTCACGCCAGGTTTCGAGACATTGCTTGACCATGGAGTCAATGAAGGGTTGTATGATGTAGGAAATACACTTCAAAAGTTCATACTCTAATCTTGGTCTCCCTACTATCTAATATCTATTGTGCATCTTAGTATGGTTTTCTGTTGGGTTTTCATCCCTTGGCTGTAATAATAACTGGATGTGTATCGTGACCATGTTAACAACACAGCTAAGAGACGTGACTGGAATAAGGTAAGTACATTTCAATTTTTAATGTCACTGATGGCATCTGACCATGTATCAGATACTCCTGCACAGTGTCCCAACACTCATTTACAACTTGCCTCAAGATTTCAATGCTTTAGACTTTAAGGTAAGTCGAGTCTTATCACATTGGACATGGATCTCATGTGCTCTAGGTTGTTATAGACTGTGATGGTGTTGATCGCATCCGAAACCAGTACATAAATCCTTCTCATTCAGTGTTCGACATCATTCCACCCACCCTCGGCAAATTTATGCAATGTTGTTATGATTGAATGTATTGCCCTGAAGTCACACACTCATCTGCATGGACAGTTTACAGGAACTTGCTCTCTGTGCTCCAACTTGCCGACAATATCCCACCCACATCATTACTGAATGAGACTGAGACCAACGAAGATGATGTCTTACCTCTAATTGAGGGTTGTTTAGATTTACCATTCTGTGACGAGCCAAATGGCCCTTACTATATGGGTGGTGTGGGAGGAGGATTGGGCTTAGGTGTGAGATGTTTTTCTCAATCTGATATACTTACTAACTCAGACATTAATAATTTGAAGATACTTCCCATCACAACGAGCTAGACACTCTAGTTGATGATGACAAGCCTGATATCTCATAGCATACTCTTGTTGAACAACCAGGGTTGGTTGTCTGGCATTTCTCAGATGATGAGCATGATATTAATGTACTAGCTGGAGATGAATGGTGATAGTGTATTGCACATGTCCATATTCTATTTACATTCAATGTACCTTCTGTATCATAAAATATTATTTTAAATAGTGTCAGGAGTCCTTTAGAAGCTCTTGTCCTGTTTAGGATTTTTTATCACTAAATTACTTATGAAAGTGAGTACGATTGTCTGACTTTCCATATAAATGATGCTGTAAAAAAGTTGTTGGCACTACCTCTGATACACTCAAGAAATGGCACCACAATATCAAAGTCCAGAAAGCTGCAAAAGTTTAGCACTGAGAAAAGGAAGAAGAAGCTTGACACTGGAGAGAGGAAATTTGGGAGAGTATAGCTGAAGCTGAGAATGATATATCTGTTCATATTACACTTTTGAGCCCCCTCTAAGTACTAAATCCATATCATTATAGCTTCCTTAGCCTGCAAGCCCTTTGCCTTCTCTCATTTGTCTCTCTGGGCGTCTAGGCTACCATATTCATTTACCCAATTGTTCCAGGAATGAACAACCTCTCCTTCTCACTATTGTTTTCCTACAGCACTCTGATACTAATGTTCCTGTGGAATCTGATAATCCTATTTCTCCAGCAGATACAGAGGATCATGCTAAGGATTCCATTATATACACTGACCCTAATCACTATAGCATCTATCACACTTATCATAGCAATCTCTTAACTCACAGTCCAGATGATCTTGTGTCCCTAGTATCTATATCTAACTCATTCATATTTGGCCAATAGTGTAAGCAGACTGGTGCTCTGCCTTAGTGGTTTGGGTTTTGGTTATCAGTACAGGCCATACAAGACAATTTCTTCATGCCTTTCCTTAATATTATAACTTTCCTCCTTATGTATTAGTTTTACAGCAGCTCTAATATGAAGTCATTATCAGAACTAGATTGCCTCATCAATAAAGTGGTCCTGATGAAGGTATTTGATAGAGCTGACTTTCAGGATTTCTATGCTGCTAAGAAGGTTGAGTACCTAGATATATACTATGGTGATCCAAGAGACATTCACTCATTATTCTCTGCAAATGATGGTTAGCAGGAGATGAATGAGTGTGAAGATCTATGTTCCTACTGATAGAGTTATGTACCAGTCACTAGATCATGCACCAGAATTCTCAGATCCTGGTTTGTTTTATTATCATCCTATCAAAGTTATCAAGAGTGCTTTTGATGAGAACTTTCATTTCACATCTTTCAAACAGCACTATTGCTTCAACCCTGATGCCCTCCCTCGATGTATCTATTCTGAAATCTACACCTCTCCTGCAATGCTTGAAGAGCATGATCATATATGCTCTCAATTATGCAAGGATATGTGTACCCTGGAGACTGTAGTAGCTGCTATCATGTTTTGGTCTGATTCTATACATCTTACCAGCTTTGAGACCATATCTCTTTGGCTGATATATCTGTTTATTGGAAATCAATTAAAATATATATAGGAGAAAATGTCTGCATTTGCTGCATATTATATTGTGTATACACTCAAGGTAGTCCCATAATCAATAACCATCATATATTTTCTGAATCATTCACTAACTTTCTGACATGACACAAGAGTTTTATTGTGATACTTTCAGTAAAGCTGCTAAAGCACAGGTTCTTATGTACTGTCATCATGAGCTCATGTGGGCCATCTTATTACTTTTATTGATAACAACTTCATGCATGCCTATGAATTTGGTATTATAATTGAGTATCTTGACAGAATTCAACAACACATATTTCCTCACTTCTTTACCTGTTCTGCTGACTATCCCAAGAAGTATATTCTAAGTTTCTCTAATAGACTATGATTAATCTTGAAATTTAGAATGCTACCAGTGGCTTGTATAAAGTTTCTTGCTCAGTGTCTGTGTCCTCACTGCTTAATCTTGAAGAGCAAAATCAGAAACTTGGGGAAGAAGGTTGACCAATACAAGTGCAAGCATCATATTTATGAGAATAGCCATTGGCTCTAGTCCATAGTAACTATGGTTTGAGACTAGTTATATAAATAGGGGGTAAACATAAATAGTAAGTGTGTAAAGGATAACCTTGGTCCTAGGTCACTTATTCTAACACTTGTAAGCACTATTTATGATATGCTTACTGCTAGCCTCACTCATTACACTCTATGAACTTTTTGTCCCTGACCTCCTGCATGAGTTTGAACTTGGGGTATGAAAAGTAGGTTTCACTCACCTCATTTGCATTTTTTATGTACATGGTGAGGAGGCAATCTAAAAACTGAATTGAAGGTAAGTTATTTTGCATGTGTGAGACTTTTCTCATGATGTCCACAAAGATTTTGTCAAGTTACAACCTTTGGTCACAGAATAATCACATAATGCAGTGACATATCTCCCTACTTATAGGACAGCCCATGTTGACAATGCTCCCTAGGACTCAGGCCAGCCCACCATGGGCCCACATTACAATGTAAGCCTGACCTAGGGGATGGGCCCACATATAGGATTGTACCCCAGTATAGAGGGTGGGCCAGGGGCTAGATAATAACCAAGGCTCAGGGATGGGCCTACTGTATATACATTATGAAATACAATAATATATAGGATAGTGGTATATAATGCATAGGCTATGTCTGGTAGGTTGTACCCGATGGTAAGGGGTGGGCCCTACATGAGTTCGCCGATACCTTAGCGCATTGCCGACACAGCATAGCGTTGGCAATGCCGACGCCTGAAATTATTTTTGGCATTGCTGACACTTGAGCATATCTTTGGCATTGCCAAGATCATATATAACAGCTGCCATATGCATGGCACAATCACAGCATATATATATATCCGTATGTGATATCAGCAGGGTACATATTCAAGTGCGGTATGGTGCCGGCATCTATTGCATAGGGGTTGAAGCCCAGTGCCTTGACTTGTATGTAGCATCAGCAATTATTGACTGGTACTTCGAGTAGTCAGTGCGGGGAATATCTACAAATTCATGCACATCATCCCTCATGTGCCACACCCACACTATTCTGTCACTGTCCACCATATCCACCCCATGTCTGATAATTCTTCCAGAACCAACCACCATGGCGTCTGAACTATATTCAACTTCGATGCCTATATCATATGGAAAGCAGGACCACTGCGCTCGATTTGTCAGCGAAATTCATACCATATAAGGCAAGTGCTTCCTGAGGACCTCGTACACTTCAAGAAGTTTAAATTTAGACGTGGTTGATATATACAATATTTGGTGCTGTAGACAAGTCGAGAGCCAAGAAATACCACGTACAAACAGACATAGCTCTAAGGAGTTGTTGGAGCACCTTCCGCTTCCACTTCGTCTTCCACTTCGTCTTCTGCTTCTTCCGTCTGCTCGACAAAGGCCTCCAATCCAAACCCTGGCCACTTGCAAAATTTATTGCACTTATGCTGCTTCCCAAACATGCGAACCGTGCATTCAATATTCCCGTCTCCAAAGATATCTTCCCCTTCACCAACTGACCTGGTGAAAAATATGATCAACATTGCAAGGTGAAATGCTATTGATGCACGGGTCTGTCAGGAGCTCTGTACTTCCTATTGGGATGTTACTATCAGCAATGTATCAAGCCGCCAACAAAGAATAAAATTACCTTGATAGTCCGATATGAAAGCCAAGCCACCCGTCTTGATATACTGTACATGCTGTGTGAACGCAAAGAACACGGCTACTTTGTAGCGATAATCGTCGTAATCCAGCAGAGGGTTAGAGTCCATATTGTGAATGAACTTCACAAATTCAGCGTGTCCACCTTCAATAAGCTCCTCGATGAGATATCCTGCACACGACGACCCTACTTTTGAGCCCCCCTTGGCAGGAGCTTTAGAACCATGTTGAGAGTAAGATAAAGCCAAGCCAGCATTGACGAAGCGCACACGAGGGATTTCGAATGGCGGAGATTCAGTGGAAGAGGTAATACAGCGATCAATGAAGGCATATGTGAGCTGCAGAAGAGAATTAGACCAATATAAGATGTTCGCTTCCCTAAAAAGCTTGGGTATTTCATCAGCGAGAGCAAAACGTCCTATTTTGTATGAAGGGTTCCCAGTGGATGGATACACCTTGTAAAATGGTCGCTTGACTGCGACAGCCTGACCAGCGATTGATCCTAGCCCGCTTTCCATAAGAGGAGTGAGCGAAAGCCAGCCAGGATGAGCTGTCTTGAATCCGCCAGCCCCTAGCATGCTGCATTCACCGTCAGCTGTCCAATGATAGACTGTGATGAATCCAGTGTAAAAGAACGATACTTGACATTCTTGAGAATGTCTGCAAGTGGACAAGTAGGGATGTGATAAAACTGAACGTGCTCAGTGTATGTGTCGAGCACTACAAGAAAGAACCAGTCAACAGTACATGCTGATAAATCATGCCAAACTCACCTTGTGCAACATCCAAGCTTGCAGTGCCTCCACTCCTTAGTGCTTGCTTCAGATCATTGCGATCAGGTGAGCTAAAGAGGGATCTGGGTGGTGCAACCTGCGCAGGTGTGAGTTTCTTGTGAGGTGGTGATGAAGACGTTGAAGAAATGCTCAGATTTTGCCTGTGTGACCGCTTGGTGGAGGCACTGGGCTGATGTGTTGATGGCACAATAGTTGGCTGGGACACCTCTGAGGCAGGAATGGATACCGGCACTGCTACATGCTGATACACCTCCGAGGCAGGAACAGATGTCGGTACTGCTACACGCTGATGACGAATGGTAACCTGCAACATATAGATGATCAAAACTGATGCTGGCTGAGACTCAAATCAACATACCTCCTCCGCTTTTTCAAGCCACTCCTCATACTCATTCCATTGAGCCTCGGGGATGACAACCATCAACGCAAATTGCTTGGTCTTGAACATCGATGCCTTGGAAACCTTCTTGCTTGCGACCATGCATTGCGACAAAAAATATGGGATTGAGGCCTTGTGCGTAGAGAGGTCAACCCACATTGCATCTCGAACAACGAACTCCTTGATGCACCATGAGAAACCTGCACCAAAAGTCAGAATTTTAGGAAGGATGGTATCAAAGGCGATCTCCATGAGCCTGGGAGCATCAATGTGTGCATCAACATCTCTTTTGCCTTCACGAATATTCTATGACTGATGAGTGAGTGATGCGCTGGCTGAATGAGCAATACTACATACCCCAATTGGTACCCCATGTCTGTTTTTCCATGTTCTACCCTCATGAACAGCTGAAATCTCGAGCGTGATGGTGTCCATTGGCGGAAGCGCATATGTGAGCTTTGCCCAATGCTCACGCTGAGCACCATAGTGGGCATGGTTTTCTGAATAGCCCGAGGCACCACTGCTGCGATGAGCATGAGCCATGTCCTGCGGCTGCCCCCATGATGATGGGACTGTGATGTCTGGTCCAGCAGAATGAGTGGCTGATGCAGGACACATACTCTGACCTATGTATGGCTGAGAGAAGGGAACAACAGGAGGTGGATTGATTGTTGCTATATGTATGAGTAGTCAATTAGTTCGAGTGCACAGTGATAAGAATAGATGGGACATACACTTTCTCTGTGCTGCATTAACTGCCTGGCAGTGTCTTCTTAGATAGATGATCTATAGATAAACACCTATAAAACAAATATCTCCACGGTCAGCGATTCAGACAAATACCAATGACTGATAACGTGGTCGTTCGTGGGTGGCTAGTTGTATACTACCCAAGGTATGTTCAGCTAAGGATACTTCTGCAAGATCAGTAATACGATGGTCAATCCAATCTATGGACTTTGACAGGAAAACAAACAAACAATGGTCAGCCCGACAGTATGGCAATGACCAAAAGAATATACGGGTTTCTTCCTCAAGTTCCCTTTCAACAACAGTGCCTCGTGCCAACTATACTCCAAAAGAAATGGTGCGGAATTACAATGATAAACTCCCTCAGCACAAAACAGGTAGAATCAAAGGTCAAGACTAGTCAAATGCTTTATTGTAGAACTCTTAGCTCGATATTGAACCTGCTGTCAAGGAACTCTTCTTTGAGTATTCAAACAGACTCAGGAACGGACATCCTTGGGTTTACTACCAAGTCCCCTCTTCAATGGCTAAAGCCTAGCAGGCACAGAATATCTTGGCTCAGTATCACTACTCAGATGAGTGAGGTCAAGCTTCACTATCAATTCCTAAAGTCTCCCCACTATGCTACTACTGAGTCTTAGGTGGACGTAGAGACAACATGAATATTTTGGATCAGTATTTTTGGACAAAGACCACCAAAGGTTGGTGAAAGTAAAAGAAAAGAAAAAGAATAATAGAAATCAGAATATAACTGTGGCTGTACCTTGCTTGCTGGTTGTTGCACACAGTGAGCTCACAGCGGATCGTTCAGTATGATGAGCTTGCAGTATTACTGTCTCTTGAGAGTGTTCCTCTCAGTCTTGAAACAGTTCTTGACACTGGTACTGACACTTATCACACCTTACTTCACAACTTAGTGTTAGTTGGGCTGAGAAACACCCTACTACCTGCTGGTATCTGCTTCTTATTATTTCAAAAACTGAGGTCATTATATACACAATAAATGTGGCTGTGCTACTAGTGTATTCAAGAGTCATTAAGAGTCATAATGAGTCATATGTGCAAGGTGAGTCATAGTGAGTCATATATTCAGAGGGAGTCATAGTGAGTCATTGGGTATTTTGCTAAGTCATGTGACCTGTCCAACCCCTGATGACAAATCCAGAAAGAGAGTAAGAAGTATGGTTTCAAACGGGAAAAACGACGGTCGGGTCACGAACGGTCACGACGTGACCATTCGTGACTGATGCCATCATCAAGCGGTTGATTGACCGATACCAACACGAGCCGTCAGCTCGATCGATGCAGAGGACTCACCCCCCCTGGTTCTGGCACCAGATCTCTGCCCGTCGAATCAAATCTTTGCGACCCACCGGCATGCAACGGGGAGGAGGAACAAAGGGGAGAGGAATCAAGAACGAAGGTGAGCCTGGTTGCGAACGCTAAGAGCATTCAGCGCTAATGCTAATGCTAACACTAATTTCTCGTACTAGAAACTCGGATGACACGGCAGTATCGCGGACATCACGGAGGCGAAAGCACGACAAATCGAGCAACTCACCAAAGGCATCATGCTTTCTGGCCAGCCTGGTTTTCTTGGAGAAGGGAATGGGAAGGATGGTGGTTGGGAAGAGAACGGCGCTTTGAAGAGGGTGACTGCTACCCAGTACCACCATTTTTATATGGTGAGTATGCTCATTGCTCGTGCCGTCATCCCTTGCCTTCCCTCTTCTTCTGCCCCTGCAAGGATCTCGAGAATCAGATCCGCGGCGGATCGCGCTGTTTTAGCAACCGATTTCAAAACAAAAGGTGTGTGCTTCGATTTTAGGCTCCTCCGCTCACTGCTGAATACAAGTATTTTGCCAGCACTAAGTAAGAACTTCCAGGGACTCTCTGATGGACAGCTTTGCATGATGGCGACGATCGAGCGTGTTCGGACTCTCTTGGGTGAGTCACTTTTCTTGTGAATGCTTTGTTTCACGATGTCACGCAGCTGAGACCGTCATTTTTCAACAAAGAAACCTCTGGTGGACGAGTGCGCCTCCCTGCAAAGCCAAGGGAGGCTAGGTATAGCAGGGCATGCCCACCAATGAAAATGACTGTCCGAGCGAGCGCTAAGATGGTCCCAGGTGTGTCACCAGACTGTCCAGACTTGGCTTGGCTCTCACTTGTTTTCTTTTTCCTTTCCCCCTTCGCAACCCCAGGTTCTCGAACCCAACTGCATGCCAGGCAAGTGGCTTGATTTCAAATTCATCTCCGAGAGGGGTTTCGTGGTGAGCACTCCCTCGTACCTTCAAACCATCATGTCTACTGTACTACCCAAGTCCATTCAACACTTTCCAGGTCTATGCGGTCTCCTTCCATCCGCATCAGCCAGCAGCCTCGAAATGGATGACATCACAGAGGATGTCACTGCTGAGCAGGAGACTCTCGTTGATGTGCCCCTTCAATCAGTGCTCTCAAGCCCAACAGACAGCACCATCGACTTCGCGAAGCTCCAGTCCACACTCATGGATGCGTCCAAAGGTGTCACCGAAGGCACGGACTCAGAATACAGGAGGTTTGTGTTTGTATTTTCTTTGACCCCCTCACAATTACTTAAGGTGGACTACTACCTATGGCAGGCTAATGAATCAGGCAGTTGCTTTCCTCACCGGCTTGCACTTGCTGCGCAAAAATGAGGTTTTTTTTGGCAAAAGACCACGCGCTGACACACCGTGGCTGATAGTGGCCTGGATCATGAACTCGTGAGTGACACACACTCTGGCTTGGACAGGTTGATGATGATTCAAAGGTGCAACTCGATCAACCTTGATGGCACACAGAAGCCATTGAGTGAAGAGCGAGGGACATATGGGCATGCCCAAAAGATGCGTGCCTCTATGACATACGCGTTTGGTAGGCTCCAGGGGCTTGGAAATATGTGGTGGCACGAGTCGGATGTTGGAGGTGGTGTCATGGTTGGCAATCCCTCCATATCAACGGAGGTGTCCTCTTTCATGTGCTCGCTCCGACGTCGCAAGGTGACCTTTTTTTTCACCCTGATCCTGACGAGCCTCAGTTACTGAACATCTGGGTAGGTCAAGGCTGGTGAGGTGGCAACTAGTGCCCGTGCCATAACAACGGTGAGCAATGTCTGGCCTCCTGAGTCGTGGATAATGATAGTCAACCCCTCACAGGACATTCTGTTCAAACTTTACCACCACAACCACCTCGACGAAAACTGGGCTATTCAGCCTTACCAGCCTGGCGAGCGCCTCAACTCACACCGCTGGGGTGGTGGCCGTGCTCGGAGGCTGTTGCAGGCCGCATACACCATAGCATTTGTGTGCATGCTGCGCTTCGACGAAGTCCTCAAGATCCAGGCGCACGATTTTGGAGTGTTCGAGAAGGGGGTGACACTACACCTTCCTTTCCGCAAGACACATCAGAATGGAGGTGCATGATGTGCCAAGGTTGATTTTGTTTTCATATCTACTAACTACCACCCAGATATCAAACCCTTCCACTTGTGGGCCTTCCCACCACACGAGGCCCACATCTGCCCTGTCAGAGCCCTTGCAGCCTGGCTGTCCGAGTCGAGGATCAAGTCTGGGTATGTTTTTCGGAAAATAGCCTCAGGTGACCGCATAGCAGAGGCCAACACTCCAATGGTGAGTTTTGGTGATGCTCTGGTAGCCAGAAACATTGCTGATGAACTTACAGACCTCCGAACAATTCTTAGAGCTTTTTCGCAACAACTTGCTGGACATAGGCATTGATCCGGCCCCATATGGCACCCACTCATTCCGACGAGGAGGCTGCCAGTACCTACACATCGAAAGGCATTGGGCGCTAAGGAAGATCTGTGAGTGGGGAGGCTGGAGTGCTGAATTTTCGAATCTGACCATAGTCAAATATCTCATCTCATCGAACGACGACCCTGTCGAGCCGAGGGAGCATTTTTTCAATCCTGATAGACCTCCCACTGTCAAGTGCCCACACTGTGGGAGATGCTGCCCTTGTGGCTGAATTTCATATGTTCGAGGCGACGATGAAGCAATTTTCAGCAAGGACTCTAGCCTAGATAGTATGCAGCACTCCATGTATATTGACAGCAACTGCGCAACATGCTCGTTTACTCCTCCTCTTCTTTGACTTTGTCCTGATCCTGATCTTGTTTTGCATCCTTACTCTCCTCAGGGCCGTTGACACCCTCATCCCCCTCTAAGTCTTCATCACTGTCATCCTCGTGTCTTTTCAAAATCTCAGTTACTGCCCGCTCCTCTGCATCATCTCGCATCATCTCAATGATGTCCATGGCCTCCGCATAGTTTTCTAGTTGTCTGTATACCTTCTGAATGACCCCTTCGGTAAACCCATGCTGCTCTGAGAGTAGTTTGATGGATGCCGCAAAACCAAGACGGGCAAAATGGAGGATATCAACAGCATGAATCTCAACATCCAAGTTCTCAAGACTGCTGCTGCCTGTGTCTCTGGTGTATTCATTGAACGGTGTCGACATGGCAGCTAGTATAGTAGGTTCCAGGACTGCAGTAGTAATGCTGTCAGTGCAGGCCTTTGTTCAGTGGAGATGAAATTCGAGTGGTACCTAGTAGATAGATATCTTCAAGCTGTAAGTGTGATGGATTCCCAAGTTACAAGTGTGAGTGATTTCGAAGTGGTTTAAGTTCAAGTTCTGGGAGGGCCCCTAATGTAATCAACACCGTTTTCAGCCCCTAGCTGCCAGCCCTACAAGCACCAATTTCCCGACTTCTGCTGCAAAAACATGATCAAAAATGTGAGTTGGCTTTCATTGTGAATCATTGGCATCAGTCGTGCATTTCCAATCACAAAGCCTCCATTCTTCGAATGGAGGCTGATTGGAAATGTGCGACTGATGCCAATGATTCACAATGAAAGTCAACTCACATTTTTGATCATGTTTTTGCAGCAGAAGTCAGGAAATTGGTGCTTGTAGGGCTGGCAGCTAGGGGGCTGAAAACGGTGTTGATTACATTTTGATCACACTTTGATTGAGGAAATGTGTTTATGAATACCACAGTCCATAAGGTCATACTAGCGAGATAAAATTTACATTGTAACGACAAGTAGAGCCTACTACAATTAATCACAGACCTCCTTCGAGTTGCTAACCATGAGTTCCTTGTATTTCTTTGCAATCGCAGATGGCCTCGTCATGGTGTGCTCCTCACCTCCTTTTCGGTAAGTAAAGAAAAAGTCTGAGCCATATTCCTCGCGAGCACGTTCCACAAGTGCAAAGTGTGCTTCCTTGCGCTCCTCACGAAGCCTGTGAATAATGGCAGTGAACTTCAGAGGCTCACCATTGGCAGCCCTGAAACTGGCCCAGAACTGTTCTGGGGTGCCTCGTCGGTACCGCTCGACAATGTCCTGTGAAACAACAAATCAGATCAGTCAAGGCCAGTTAGGAGAAGCTTGCACATACACGCCAGTCAGTCCACTTGTTTTTCGTACCTTTCCATTGCTGATCATGGCCATAGCGATAGAGCAAAGGCCAGTACTCAATTGCAATTGGGTGGCCTTGTATGTTGATGATGGACGTGCCCTGCCAGTGCTCCGTGTGATCATCCCACATTCCATTGAGCCGAGGGATGTCGTTGACGAAACTGATGGCAGGTGGGTCTGGGATTTCGTCGTCAGCCACTTGCAGCAATGTGCCATTCCCAAGCTTGAGAACCCGCATCCTCTTGGTGCTCGTCTCCATGGCTGGTGCAGGTTCTTCTGGTGTGCACCCAGCAGAGGTGCCTGCATCCTGGGGCCTGGCCTCAGGTAGCCCAACCTGAACTGGATTTGGCTGGAGGAGGAGGGCACCTTGAACAATGTCGACGAGCCTTGTGCCCACACTCTGGACAATCGCATCTTGCAAGCTCACATCAGCACCAGCACTTGCAGGAGTGGGGCAGGGGGTACTCGCAGCTGGTGCAAACTGACCATCTGTCAGCGCATATGGGAATGCACAATTGATAGCATCAGCCTGCCCGTGTAGCGCATCAGTATTGTGAAAGGAGGGGGGCAGGAGGAAGCAGTTACTCACCCAAGGTAACAGTGCTGCAACTTCAGCTATCGTGCGAGTGTCTTTGGAGCGGGTTGTGGCAGTGGTGTCAGAGGCCATTTCAGAGTCACCAAGCAACTCGGCACGACGCTGTGTTGACTGCTTCATGCGGCGTGCCTTGGCCTTGCTTGCTGGATCTGTCCGTGGGCCTTTGTGAGCTTTGCGAGCTCCGGGCCTGAGGCTTGAAGATGAGATGACTTGTGAGCACGCTGAAACAGACAACAGGGAGAAGCATGGTTTCACATACCTATCCCACAAGTTTCGGTCGCGACTGAAGCCTTCGAGGCGCTCGCGAAGAATGGCTTTGGTGCCTGACGAAGGTAGGTTGAGCTGGAGGCATTGCTGCCTCATTGCTTTGACGGTCATCGTGTAGCTACCCACACCCATTAAATTTCAGCGAGGGGAGGGGGGGGAAGAGGGAACTGAAACTCACACTGGAAGGTAGTGGATCTCCGGCTCACCGTCCGGTTTGAAACGAAGCGGGAAAGGGAGTGACTGGTCAGCATCTCCTGGACCAACAGCCTGAGACAGCTGTGATGTCCCAGCATCAGACGAGACAGAGAGCTGAGCTCTCTGCTCGAATGCACGTGCATCAGCGCTGCAGAACGAGTCTGCTGCAGCAGTGGTGCATGTGCCCCTGGTGGCTGCATGGCTGACAATCGGGGTCATTGTGACGATGGTGGAGCGGCAGCTCACGAAGTGGGTGTTGCGATGGTTGGTGCGGACCGGGATAAAGCAAGGGCACCAGCCGAAAAACGACTCGAGTGGGATGTGCGGCCTCCACCAATGATAGGTGACGAGGAGACCAAAGAAGACGATGAACAATGCCAGGGCAATGGCACCACCCACAGAGAAACCTCCTTGCGAGTCAGGGGTGGTGCTGGGTGGGTTTGCTGCGATCTAGAAGAGCCAGGGAAAGGGTCAGTACTCTGTGTCGAACGGTTCCGGGGGCCTAAATGAAAAGGAAAGCACCGTCGAAGCGTGACTGAAGCGGATGACGTTCCTCGCTCACGTCATCAAGAAAACGGCGTTCGCCGAAGCGTCACGCCCGCCAGCGGACGGTGTTGTTTTCGAGAGAAGTGTCACATGATATGAATCCTGTGTGTGGCTGTCTTTGCTTTGCTTTGTTTGAAGGGTGAGAATGACGCGAGCCTAGTATTTAGGGGTTTACTAATGTTTTTCCAGGACAACATATGTGGGAAATATTTTTCACAGTCACTTGACATGTGTGGGATTTTGTCTGAGTCATCACCATGGCTGACTAAGCAAAACTCATCGCAGAATTAAATGTACTAAAATATTCAGGCTGCTGGCATATAGACTTGAAAAATAAAAAGAAAAGCAAAAAATATTCCCTTAGCCTCAGTCCAACTTCAGATAAAAGGGAAAAGGGTTTCATAGTGGTATTTCAGGGTATATGACTCATGAGAGAGTATTGGTCGTCCATGCACCGAACCGGTTTGGTGCAGGTCAGCGGATCGTTCGTGGGTCAGGAAAAGTACGGGAGCATTGTGGTCCGTTTGACATTGAATCGGATTGAGAACTGGCTGCTGCAAAAAATGCTGATCAGTTGTTGTATACCATGACACTAAGCTAAGCATACCAGCAGTTCTGACGGGTCTAACTGATGTGGCTGCCTTGGTTTGATAGTGGGCATAGCATGGACCACATACATGGCGGCCAGGTTTCCCTGGTTCAATAGTAGCAACATAAAAACAAGGAGCACCTTTTGCAATCTTTGATTGACAAGCAGGGCGTTCGCAGAAATGATCTTCCATAGCATATGCGTCTTCAGTGAACTGGGAGACGAGCTCGAACCGAGACTGAGACTGAGACATGATAGTGGCAGTAAGAATACAGCAAGACCACAAGGCTGAGTAGATTAAATATTGTTCAGAAAATATCTGTCCGGCGCCAGTGATAAGTTACACCTCGGAGATACTAAACATAAACAACACTTGTACCATGCTTGTGTTGTCTTGAGTAACTACTAAGACAAAAGTGCTCATCAAGATGCATTCAGAAAATATCTGTCCGGTGGCGACTCACTTGAGCTACTCCTATGAGTTTGCAGAGACGAGCTTACTGGAAGTATCCGCACTACAGTTCTAGACCTCCACCTAGGGTCAGAAAACACCTGGCGAATGATCAGCTGCATGCTTGGTCTGCTTTCTGTCAATGAATGCTTGCAGACTGATGTAATTCAGCAGTAAGCGGAGGTTTTGAAGAGCTTACTCACAGTTCTGGACCACCTAGGGTCTGTATGCTGGCGTCTTTGGTAAGTAATTCGTAATTCGGCCGTCACAGTTCTAGACCTCCACCTAGGGTCTGTATCCCGGCATCTGTTGAGTATAGTCAGTTATTGTTAGGAGTCCCATCCTGCTTCTTCTGCACTATTATATTACCTGTTCTGCTTGTCAAATCTGAGTTTACATACCTGAACAGTCATAGCAGCCCAGTGACTGAGCAGTCAAGTTTGGTAGGCAAAAGGTAGGCAAAACCCGAGCCGATCAGTCGAATGATGTACCTGAACGGTCATAGCAGCCCACTGAGTAGCAGTCTAAATGCATGACGCACATAATCTCCTCGGTGACTGGGCCAATTCTCCCTTCAGGCTGCTTCTGCTGAATAGAACAAGGGTCCGAGTCGGTGCGCACCATACTAGAGAATCTGCATTCTGCATTTGCTGTCGTGGTGCCACTGGTGCGGCAAAGTCAAACCACTTATATATCTATTGTTCACCACCAATGTTGACCGTGCGTGCTTGCTTCAATTCTCTCTCGTCTTCATTGACACCTGCGTGTTTGATGCCAAATCAGAATAAGCCATCCCGTAAGTACTTGATGTTCTTCAATGCTACTACTGTGTTGACGTCAAATTCTAGCACCTCTCGAGGTCATTTCTCTGCATATCTTTCGATTGTGGAAGACCCGACAAACCAACAAGCAAATTGTTCAGAACCTATGGAATCATTATGATACCTCACGCTATGGACTTGGGTAAGTCATCCAGTTGGAATGTATCTGTGGTGCTTGCTCACTTTAATCTAGACTCATGAAATTTGTACAGATACGAGTTGGAATGGGCCTTCTGCGCACACAGCAACAGTCTCATACCATCGAAAGTATTCGCGACGCTATGATAGATCTTCAAGAGATTTATCCCAATGCAGGGGCCCGGGAGATGGTCAGTTTTCTCTTTCACGAGTGAGCCATGAGTGTTTCAAGGTAAGAGCTATCTTGTGCATCATGTTGTCCACTGAATTTTCTATGATGCTGCAGAAATGTAGTAATGGCATACTTCGCTAAATATGAGGTCGACCTTGTTCGCCAACGCAAGGCTTGTAGGCTCCGGAGAAAACGGTTCTGGGCAGCAGGTGTTAACGACTTGTTTGCCGTCGATCAGCACGACAAGTGGCTTAGGTTTGGGCTTGCATTACACACTGGCATTGAGCCGTTCTCTGGGCACATCATGTGGATGTGAGTATGGCACTCAAACCGGAATCCACAACTCATACTAACATACTACCTCGAGACCATCCAGGAGCTTGGTCGTAAGTTGATTCTCTGTTCCATAGCCCCATCATTGATTCACTGTTGTAGACATGCCTATGGTTACTCAGAGTGACCCGGTGTAGAGACTCGTGTGTCTCATGGTCTGATATGACAAGTTTTCACTAAGGAGTACATAGCACGAACTTGTAGCATCACTCCGTGCGCTACCCACAGCTATCCCTATATGAGGCGCAGCTTTCCCGCGCCATGCGCGCACTCTTCCTGCGCTTGAACACCCCTATAGCGCCAGCCATCCAGAAGCATCCATCCACTGTCCACCAAGCTCCCTAGTGTGTATATTTCCATTTCCTTTATTAGCATATTGTTCTGTCTTTATTTTTATCATGGATTCTCACTCATATATATCTTTACATACCTACTCGGTAGCAATTCGGCTCCGCATTACAGCGCTTAGGCGCGCTATATAAGTGCCAGCAGTACATAGTACTAGGGACTGGACATTTTTACCACTTACTTTTCCTTCAACTGACTACTTACTACTCACTTACCACTTAGCAGAATATAGTAGAAATCTATTTGTTTACACTTCGGATCACTCTTCTCTTACCTTGTATCATATCATCACTTAAGTTTAGTCTCTCTTATTTCCACATACGCGTGTGCGCTTTCCTGCGCTTCGCGCAATACATGTGCGCGTTCCAGCGCCTTGCGCATATCTGCGCTTTCTCGCGCTTCACTTTGGCGCACACCTCTAGATCCTTGCTGCACTCACTTCCCCTTTAGGGTTGAACGCACTTGTCTCCTCAGGTAACGCAGACTAGGCAACGCGCGACCTTACAACATTTTTAGATACAGTCAGGAGCATCATCTCTTCCTTTCAGTATTGTTGTTTCTACACCGGGATCAGAGAACTTCGGTATTGCCAATGCTCACACCATGCTCCATCAGTGGCATGATCCAACACTGCAAGGTACCCTACAACATCACTGGATGCAAACAAAGAAAAATGTAATGCCGGAAATCACTTGGTCTCAGTTACGACACCAGTTCACTCCAGGATTTGAGGCTTATCTAGACCATGGCGTTCAATCTGGCTGGTATGACTGCAGCAACACCTTGCAACGGTGCGTGGTTCATTTCTTACATTGCACAATCCTTACGCAGATGGTTGCAGTTTAATCTTTCAATGGGTGTTTATTCCATGGCTGCAACGAGAGCTTGATGGGTACAAGGACCATGTAAACAACTCTGCAAAGAGACATGACTGCAATAAAGTTGACAAATTCCTGACGCTGTTGTCTCCTTGCTCTCACTGACATGGCCTACTAAGGTGCTCCCTCATGGTGTGCCGAACCTCATTTATGAGTCACCTGAGGATTTTTGGGCTCTTGATTTCAAAGTACGTCTCCTGCCACTTCCGCCCGTGTGTGGTATTCTAATTGCTTATATCTAGATCATTCTTGAACCAAGTACTATAGACCATGTTCGTAGTACCTACATTGATCCTGATCACGCTCTCTTCGACCTTGTCCCTCAAGAATTCGGTCACTTCATACAAGATTACTATCATGAGCTAGGTCGCCCTTCCGTCAACCGCCAGTCAGCGTGGACCGTTTACTTGCACTTACACCATACCATTTCTCGGCTTTATGAACAGCTCCCACCAGTGGTGCTCACTGACAATGAAGATGATCCCTTACCACTCCTGGAAAACCACCAGGACTTACCATTTCACAAGAACGATGACAGAGACTACTATATGGGTGGTGTAGGCAGAGGATTGGGCCTCGGTGTGTTTTCTTCATTTGATAATAACATATTATTCTTATCATTACGCAGGTGAATCTCATTCACAACAATTGGATGAGCTTGTATAGGATGATGAACCTGATGTTGGAGACAACTACCTGGAGGGGCTCGATCATGCTGGTCTGGTGGTCTGGGAGTTTTCTGAGGATGAAGATGAGGCTGTGGTAGATGAATGGTAGTTTGCTTTATGCAATTCTCTAGAATGCACTTGAAATTTATGCTCAACGGTGCACACTGTGAGCCGGCGGCATCAGCAGTAAATCAATTGGATGGTTCTTTTTTTTAATGTATCTGGGGTTTCCGGAGTCCCATACCAGAAATAGCTGACAAATCGAGCGTGGTGGTCCTGCTTTCCATAATATTAGGCATCTTCATCCTTGCTATTCCATAGTCACCGACGGTAGTCATGACATTAAACCATTGAGGATGAGATATGGGATCACAGTGCAAGGGTGAACACCAGTTGCACATGACCAAGACAGCAGTAAACACGGATGCCCACTCTCTGAGATACTCACCCATTTCATCCAATCTCTTGTCAGCTGCCCAGAGACCAAGGGCCAGTTTCATTGCCAATGAGGACCAATACAGGTTAGGAACTCTTAATGCCGGAGCGATGAGCGCTGCTGGTCTCTGTATTGCCTGACATAAAGACCTTCCATCTTCTTTCAGAGTTGCCAAGACATGCAGATGAAACTTGGGAGCCTGCAGTCAATGAGCATGGATACTACTAGAACAGCCATCTCACCAAACTCAGAAAGAAGTTAAATGTACATCATCATTCTTTGCACTATCATCTGTTATGATCTAATGTCATATCCTAGAGTGAATCTGTCAGCAGTGCCATCAATGTTACATGTGATGCATGGCAGGCTGACAACACAGATGGCTATTTTGCAGTCACTGGCCACTGGATTGAAGAAAAGATTCTGATGCAGTGGGAACCTGGGAATGTGTTGCTTGGTTTTACAAAGCTCAACAATGCTCATAATGGCCAGTGCCTAGGTGGTACCTTATTCAAAGTGCTTGATCGCTGTAGAGACTCATGCGTCTCATGGCGTGATATGGCAGTTTCCACCAAGGAGTACATAGCATGAACTTGTAGTGTCACTCCGTGCGCTACCCACAGCTATCCCTATATGAGGCGCAGCTTTCCCATGCTTTGCGATGTATATGCGCGCGCTTTCCCGCGCTTGAGCGCCCTATAGCACTAGCCATCCAGAAGCATCCATCCACTGTCCACCAAGCTCCCTAGTGCATATATTTCCATTTCCTTTATTAGCATATTGTTCCACCTTTATTTTTATCATGGATTCTCACTCATATATATCTTTACATACCTACTCGGTAGCGCTTCAGCTCTGCATTACAGCGCTTAGGTGCGCTATATAAGTGCCAGCAGTACATAGTACTAGGGACTTTCCATTTTTACCACTTACCTTACCTTACTTTACTTTCCACCCACTATCTGCCTAGAAGAACATAGTAGAAATCCATTTTGTCTATACTTCACATCTCTTTTCTCTTATCTTGCATCATATTATCACTTAAGTCTAACCTCTCTATTGTTTCTCCACGCGCGCGCGCTTTCCCGCGCCTTCGTGCCTTGCGTGCACCTGCGCTTTCTCGCACTTTGCTTCAGCGCGTACCTCTAGATCTTCGCTGCACTCACTTCCCCTTTAGGGTCGAACGCACTTGTCTCCTCAGGTAACGCAGACTAGGCAACGCGCGACCTTGCAACATTTTTTAGATACAGTTAGGAGCTTCATTTGTTCCTCTCTGTATTGTAGTTTCTACATCACCTTGGTGTTACACATAAAGTATGTTATATTGATTCCTCTCAGAGCCCCTTCAGTGACAAATTCCATATTATACGGGCCACCCGACCTACATAATATCCTGTATGAGATGGGCCAGCAGATTATGGGCCCATGTTGTGTATATTCTCAATGATGACGGATGGGCCAGGACACATATTATTTCTGATGGAGACAGGTGGGCCCATGTATGCCAATGATATATATATCCTTGATGTTGAGGGATGGGCCGGGGGAATGTGATCATTCATGGAGATGGGTAGGCCCATCTGGGTGATATGTAGAGTAGGATATTATAGACAGCTGGGCTGAAGAGAGATGTAAGGCAAATAGATGGGCAGGCCAACAGGGGTGTACTACATATATGGGTGGGCCGAGGTAGGGGAATATTACATAGATGGGTGGGCTGACATGGGGTGTATTACATATACAGGTGGGCCAATGTAGAAAGTATTACATATACAAGTGGGCCGAGGGTGCGATAAAATATTTATTACATAGACAGGTGGGGGCCAAGGTGGGGTATAATTATATAGACAGGTGGGCCGATGTCGGATGTATTATATAGATGGGTGGGCCAACATAGGATGTATTACATAGATGGGTGGGCCAACATAGGATGTATTACATAGACAGGTGGGCTGACATGGGGGAATTGTACATAGATGGGTACATATATGGGTGAGCCTAGATACATTTCATCAAGACATACAGCTGATGTAGCCACCAGCAAATCAAAGATGTAGGATACATGTACACTATGAGTGCATATACCTACCATTGACCACTGAATCTAAAGCCCTCCGTGTTTCGGGAGTGCCGAGTCCTGAAACCCGGAAATTGAAACTCAGGACTTGACATTTGATGAGACATCTTTCAAAAATGTTTAAATCAACCTTTCATATATCCATACACATTTTACCAACCCCCAAACCCCAAAATTGTGGACTGCTGGGTTTTGGGGTTTGGGGGTCCCAGAACTTGGAACTTGAGAAATTTGGGGAGATCAATAAAGTTTGATTTACAATCAAGTTGATTGACAAACACATTGACTTACCCATGTTTGAAATATATTTTTGTTGTCTCACATTCCGAGTTCTGAGTTCCGGGACCCCAAACCCCGAAACCCAGCAGTCCACAATTTAGGGGTTCAGGGTTGGTAAAATGTGTATGGATATATGGAAGGTTGATTTAAACATTTTTGAAAGATGTTGCATATCAAATGTCAAGTCCTGAGTTTTGATTTCTGGGTTTCGGGAGTGCCAAGTCCCAAAGCCTGGAGTCCCGAAACCTGGAATTCAAAACTCGGGACTTGACATTTTGATGAGACATCTTTCAAAAATGTGTAAATCAACCTTTCATATATCCATACACATTTTACCAACCCCCGAACCTTGAAATTGTGGACTGCTGGGTTTGGGGGTTTGGGGGTCCCAGAACTCAGAACTCGGAACTTGGGAAATTTGGCGAGATCAATAAAATGTGATTTACAATCAAGTTGATTGACAAACACATTGACTTACCCATGTTTGAAATATATTTTTGTTGTCTCACATACCAAGTTCCGAGTTCTGGGACCCCCGAACCCCAAAACCCGGCAGTCCACAATTTAGGGGTTCAGGGGTTGGTAAAATGTGTATGGATATATGAAAGGTTGATTTAAACATTTTTGAAAGATGTCTCATCAAATGTCAAGTCCCGAGTTTTGAATTCCGGGTTTCGGAACTCCAGGTTTCGGGACTCCAGGCTTCGGCACTTGGCACTCCCGAAACCCAGAAATTGAAACTTGGGACTTGACATTTGATATGCAACATCTTTCAAAAATGTATAAATCAACCTTCCATATATCCATACACATTTTACCAACCCCTGAACCCCGAAATTGTGGACTGCCGGGTTTCAGGGTTTGGGGTTTGGTGGTCCCGGAACTCGGAACTTGGAACTTGGGATGTGAGACAACAAAAATATATTTCGGGGCTTGGGGGTTAGTAAAATGTTTATAGATATATGTAGGTTCATATAAACATGTCTGAAAAATGTCGTTCATCTCAAATGTCAAATCCTGAGTTCCAGGTTTTGGGTTTCGGGACTCGGCACCTGGCACCCGGCACTCGGGGTTCAGCACTAAAAATTTGACAACTCTGGGTTTTGGGACTCTGGGCTTCAGCACTTGGCACTCCCAAAACCTGGAAATCAAAACTCAGGACTTGACATTTGATATGCAACATCTTTCAAAAATGTTTAAATCAACCTTCCATATATCCATACGCATTTTACCAACCCCCGAACCCCGAAATTGTGGACTGCTGGGTGTGGGGGTTTGGGGTTTGGGGATCCCAGAACTCAGGACTCAATATGTGGGACTGGACAAAGATATCTGTCAGGGTTCGGGGGTTAGTAAAATGTTTATGGATATACGTAGGCTGATTCAAACATGTCTGAAGAATGTGTTTCATTTCAAATGTCAAGTCCTGAGTTCTGGGTTTCAGAACTCAGCACCTGGCACCTGGCACTCGGGGTTCAGCACTGTGAAAATTTGACATTTGGGTGTTAGGATTACACAGATCATTGAGTGCTGAGGGCCGAATCCTGAAACCTGAAGCCCGAAAACATGTATGCCACATGCCCATCTACTCATTGCACAAATTACCAAGTGTCGAGTACCAAAACCCAAAACCCGGTACTTCAAATGGACATGAATTCTATATTTGTATGTATTATCCATTGATGTAGGGTTCAAATAACTTGGGAATTGTATTTGTCAGTGCTCAGTACTCGGTAGTTGGTAGTTGATAGTTGGTAGTTGGTAGTTGGTAGGGTAGTTGGTGGTTGATGGTTGGTAGTCAATATAGGCAAATGATAATGAAAAATGAAAGTTGTTATTAGGCTTAACTTCCTTACTGAAGGTTGTAGTCCAAGTCTAGGGGAGTGTATTGGTAGTCTTTTCTTGTCCATCAGTTATCATTTGACCAAGATATAAGCTAAAGAAATCAGAAACATGGGCGATAATGAAAAATGAAAGTTATTTGTAATGATATTTTCGGCCTGAATCATCTATAAATGTGACTTTGTATAAAAGATGTTTATTGTCACTTTCCACACATATGTCATTTGCCTATCATTACATCAATCCTTCATGAATCTTTCTAAGCTTTTAAGCTATTATAATGGATGTATATAGGTGTTATTCCAGGTCTCTGATCACATCACAGGCTTGTTATGTTGTATATCTCGACATAATGTGCAAGTCTTGCTATTAATATTCATTCTTTTATCTTTAGACTCACTTACTGCACACATGTATTTCATTTGTCATTATTGATGTTTTGGATTTCTTTAGCTTATATCCTGGTCACATGGTA